CCGGAGCAGAGATGGGTATGTTTGTTTGCTCAGCTGGTGTTTTAACAGTTTCTATGTGTCCCCGCTGTGGTCTGCAGTGTCCCATCGCTACAATGAGTGCTATCAGAATGAGCTCCACACCTCTCTCCTCACGCCTGCCTACCTGTGTCCACACTCCTCTGGTTTACTCGCAAATCCAATTCTGATCATTTCACACCTTTACACAGTGTACCAAAGTTTTTTTTGTGTGCTTCCTCCTGACAACTCACACTATTATGACCTATTTAAATTTTTCACATTGCACCAATATCCAATTCTTTACAGAATTTAGTGGCAATCTAATGCTGGGGTTATGGACACTGTGTCCTAAGGCAAGATACTTCTCCCACATTGCCTAGAATGAGTCTGGTGTGTGTATGAGAAGAGTTGTTGGTGGTGGTCGGAGGGGCAGACTGCTTGCCTCGCTTCTGTCAGCGTGCCCCAGGGCATCTTTGGCTAAAGTAGTAGTTTATCCCTCTGTGTAGAGGGAGTGAAAGAATAATGTCATGTGAAACGTCTTTGAGTGTTGAGAGTATTATCATCACAGATGTACAGAAAGTCAGCCTGTAAATTGGCCATGTAAACTGAAAACTTCACAATCACGTCGTAGACTTTGTTTCCTTTTGCACTTGTGAAGTGTTGACACAACCTGCAAAGCTGATATACACGAATGTCTCATTATGGTGGATAAATAAGTAAATAGTTCTAATTGCTCAGACTGTTAGTAAATATTACATTTAGGCAGTTCTAGGCTGCTTTGACAAAGACTGACAAGTTAATTTGAATGTTTAATGTCTCCTGAACAGTTCAATTAGGGCTCCACACAAGTAGAATATAAGATGATAAAATATAAAGAATAATACAGGAATATGTTGATTGAATGTAGTATTTTAGTGAATCATGTTCTGTATGCTGTACTATGAATATTTGCACCTGATTTTAAATGACTGCATGTTTATATACTTTTATTAGCGATGAGAGATGGAAATTAGCATGGTCCTAAAACAGATGCAGCGATCTTCTTTAATGTAACTTCTTCGTTGTTCTTTAACAAAATAATCTACACTAAGCATAATTCACAAACCTGGATGAGTTTCCAAAATATTAAACAGAATTTAGATCGGAGAGAGTTAACAGATAGTAGCGAGGAAAGCAGTTTAATTAGGTTCAGTGGTTGCCGTGGATAGGTTGGAGGCTTCATTTCTTGCAAAAACAGACTATTGGTTCAGATAAACTTCAATGAACTCTGATTTAAAAAAAAAATTGACAATACAGTTGTGAATCCAGCTGGAGCCTTTTCGAGGTCACAAGAGAAAGTGAATTGCAGGTCAAACTCCCAATTAAGAATGTCCTTCTCATTTTATCCGCCTCTTGTGGAACCCAATGTAACGAAGGCTGTGTTTGAACTGAATAATTAATTAAGGTAATGCTCTTTCACAAGAAGATCCTTTTTGCTGTGGGCCACCTCAGCACCTCTGTATCACGTGCATAGAAGCCTGTAGGAAATACTGGAGCGTTTGTGTTAAAATGAGAATCTTGTCAAACCCACCATGAACGCCAACATGATATTTCCAATCGCTCACCTTGGGGCATAGTATGTATAATGATAACAATGTAATATTCAAGCCAATTTGTTAGTATGGGCTGTAAATGAAAGGTACTTTACATAAAACGCGTTGTTTCTGATGGGTCTTTATGAAAAATGTGACAAATAATGGCTGAGTTCAAGAGATTTATAGACTTCATAGAATGGCTCGGTATGTAAATTACTTTTATACAAAATCTAATTTGTCTAATATATCCTTATTAATGCAGCTGATATTATGATGAGTGATTAATTGCCAGCGGCTATGCTTTCACCACTCATGACTCTCTGACACCCTGGCATACATAGTTCATTTGGCAACATTGAGAAATTATGACTGCCCTCAATGATATCCCATTTCTCGGAAGGTTGAAATTTACAAGAAAAACTGCAGTATTCAATTTATTTCCTTAATTGTTTGTTGAATTACAAGAACCTACATTCATTTCATTACATTATTTATGGCTTATCCTAAAAGCGATACGTTTTTTTGCCGTGCCTAAAACATTCGATGCAGCGGCCACATTAATCTGGCATGTCAGATTAGAATAAAGTAATGGGATTAACCAAAAGGCATGAAGCGTCATTGTACACATGATAAATATGCAGGGGGGATTTGTCTTAATGATTCAACTACATAAAACATTACTATTAAGGTGAAGTCATGGTTAGATGTAATATGGTTAGAGATGGATCAAGCGTAATTGTGCGGTATAGCAGATCAGGACTGGCTTCAAGTGAGAAATAAGAATGTTTTATATATATCGTAATTTTGTTTTAGCTGCATGGCACATTCAATGACACATCAAACACAAACCACTGGGATTGAGAGCCATAGGGTTGCGGCTTCAGTCCATTCCCAAATAGAAACGCCAGCTTTTGTATGAGCATTTTGTCCCTAATTAGATTGATTTACTTCAAGACGAACATTTTATTTGTTTTTAAATTAGCTATTTCAGTGTAGTACCAGTGAGTGGGATAATATCAGAGGCACATATTATATGGATCAATAATCAGGGAACAAAATGATTTTTGATTAACCACATATATGGACTAATTCATTCAGCCTTCATCCACTCGATTCACCAACTGTAAAAACATATTCTTTCTTCTCTGGCCCCAAGTTGAATGGCGTGTCGACCCAGGACATCTGTGTGAAAGGTTGGCTAGTTTTTTAGACCCGTGTTGACTTCTCATCCTTGAAACGCATCAAAATAAAAAGGTCAAAACTATCTTTCAAAATCACAACACAGTGTACCCAGGGAATCACGTTAAAATGGACTGCAGCAGGTTTTATCATCAACATAGCAATATAAATATGTTAAAACACCTTCGTAATCGTGGGTGAAGTGCCTTGCCTTAGGACACAACAACTGTTTTGTACTATCAACCAATCGGGTACAGATAACAAGACTGCTCTTTCATGGTGCACAGCCTTAAAAGAAGCTTGTAAGAGCAGTTTGAAAAGGAGCCTTTCTAAACTCCAGGGTCAAGTGTGTATGAAAATAAGTTGTGCTGAATAAAAGCACTTGTTGACAATGTCTTTCAGAGTCTGTAACTATAGGTCTGGCCTCTCAATGAGTTTCCACTTCACCTACTGTACTTTATTTCTCATTCTTTTTGAGTAATAGAAATGTTCCACAATTTATAATCTAACATATTTTCTTTAGTTTATACATGTTTGAATGCTCAGGTCAACTTCTGCACAGCCTTTGTCCTCATTCTACATCCTGAGTCCTGGATTTATAGCATGTGTGTCTGTGGGAGAGGATCTTTCTCTCAATGTGGGCTTTCCTGATGTTTAAGCAGGTCTAAGGACAGTGGTGAGGATCCAGAATATTTAAGGACATTCAAGGACTTTTATCAACTTTATGGACATTGGTCATCCACCCCCTATGAACTAATGGCTCCTATGTGTTGGTTATGCTATTGCATTTCCTGTGTCCGTTTCATTCTCTGATATGAAGCTGAAAGCGCAAATTCAGACTGAAAGGCCGACCACAGCTCTCACCCGTCCAGGGCCTGCCAATCGCACAGCGCTGCCAGCCTCGAGCCTCTGCCAATCACACAGCCCAGCCAGCCCCTTGACAACCCACTGACAGCAAAGCGGGCAGTTTAAAAGCAGCCACTCTCTGATAAACAGCGCTTCCTTAAGCTCTCAACACCCACCACCTCTCCAGCGCCTCCTCAGCTCCTGGTTCCTACTCGGGTTTCCGCTCTGGCTTCTGCTCTGGCTCCTGCCCTGGCTCCTGCCCTTGCTTCTGCCCTGGCTCCTGCTCTCCTGCTCCGCCTGAGCCACATTCACACTATGCTTCTTGCCATCACCAGTGCTTGACCCCGGAGGGTCTGAGATCATCTTCAGCTGCAGACAATCTTCCCTCTGCAAGTGTCACTGCCGGGGTCATTGCGCTAATCAAATAAATATTTTTCATGCATTAATGTTTCCGTCTTTGTCTCTTCAGATTGAACTGTGGTGGCAAATCAACAACTTTATAAAGTTTCTGAGACGACTGCTGTTGTGATTTAGGGCTATGCAAATATACATTGAATTGAATTGTTTGGTGAACGCTTATCATTTACACCCACTCCGCCTCATACTCATACAGTGCTGTAAGTGCAGTGCTGTTATTCCCTACAATTGGAGTCTTATTAAGGTCTGCATCCCACAGAGTTTTGCAATGTTTTGATGCCAGAGATCTTGGACTGTTGGTCGTGGTCTGACTGCATAATCCCTCCACAAGCATCTTATCTCTGGTCTGGTTCATGTTTAGATAACAATACTTCCGATTTTGTTTGTTGACTCGGGCAGATGCTGAACAGTTTCCCAGAAGTAAAATACATTATTCACGCTCTGTTGCTGTTGAACAAATTGTACTGATATGCTATTTAATCCAAGTCAAGTCAACACGCAATAAGATCCCTTTTCTTCTTAAATACATCTTCCTGTTTTGTGTGCAGCTCGTGGCATTTCAGTTTCCAGCTTTTTTGGCCCAGGCTAAGCCGATGTTTAACTTTATGCGGAAGGCCACGGTCAGCTAATCCAATTTGTAATCAAAGGTTTCTCCATCCACAAGTTCTGAAAGGCTGTTGTCTATGGAGCAATCACACTGACAGCCTCAGGTCAAGCTGACTTTTAAGCGTATCTATTTTTCCCCCTTTTTAGCTCTGCACTTCTGCGATGACTATAGCCATTGGCATTGTTATTGTACTTGTGCAGATGCAGAGATAACTTCTATATTAAGATATCAGGATTGTTTGGTTTTTTTCGTCGTATTCATGCACAGTCAAGCATTTTTAAATCTTATCTTTTAAGGCTTCACTAATGCATGAAGTGGCACATTTTGCAGTGATTAATGTGATGTATGGCTTTGTGTTTGTCCTTGTCTGTCGTGGGCAGCCCCTGCAGAGCCGCTCCTGTGTAAATTTGCTGACGGCGGGCAGAAGAAGAGGCAGACCCAGGTCAAATATCCCCAAAATGGCCGACCGTGGACAAGGGACGGAGAGGTGAGAGGCGCAAGTTTATTTATTCTTCTCACTAAGGCCAAAGCATACATCACACACACCTAGATCTATCAAGGCTAAATTATTGATCTTGCCAAGACATCTCTGATAGGGTTCAACTCAAATTAGGGGAGTAATAACGTTTGTACTTTAAATTCCCATATAGCAGTAGTTTGACAAGTCTTTATTTTTTTACTTTTTTGTGTTAAAAATTACGAAAATAGACAATTATTTAGTTAAGCTATTGAAAATGCGATTACCAAATTCCATTATTAGCGACTATCTACCATTCACGTAGCACTCATGCTAGTAGGACAGGCACAGGCTCAAATTCCGTGCTGATTCGGTCTTTCTCTGTATACTTTGTATCCTGTGTTTGGGTGGGTTTCCTCCAGGTGCTCCTCCCAAAAGGTGAAATCCTACATTTACCAAGCCAAACATCCACATCTGGTGCTGCACTGTTGCAACCACTGCTCCTGACAGAGGCCTGATGGGTTAAATGCAGAAGACAAAATTCCCTACAAGGAGGATGAAGTTAATCTGTCTGAGAACCTTGGGTTTGGGGAGAGGATCTATTTGACTGTAAAATTACAACATTTTAGGTTTTTAACAATTCCTCTTTCACAGCTGAGACAAATTTCACTATAATTAGGATTAATGATTTAAAGCAAAAAGCTCCAGGCGGAACTCATGCACATGTTTTGACATAATTTTATTTGTAAGTTTTGAGTCTAAACTGGCCCAAGTTCATCCCAGAATGTTTGATTTACCTTTAGGCAAGAGGGACACATATTCATTATTTCACAAATCCAGAAGCATGATATAATATAAAAATCAGTGAAATCCAGTTGTTCCTGCTATTACATCGGTGCAGAATTAACCTTAATCTTGCTGCCTGCTTCACTGCCCACACCATTGTGGACATTACTGTATTTTAGCTGGCACCCACAATCCATTTATATATTTAAAATCATGTTCTGTTTGACACCAGGCACATTTTACATTTTATAACAAAGCATGCAAGGTCTGACAGGGCTCCCTGCGGGGTCATTATCAGTATTCATTTTCAATAACCCAGCGCATGCCAAATCGGAGATGTGTCTGACAGTATAAAAGCTGGCAAATATCAAGGTTGTTAAATGTAAAATATAAGGCTTCTGCAAGACCCCAAAGCCAAGTTGTTTTTCCTTTTGTTGAAACTCCCACCTCCAGTCTGTCATGTGTGGATGAAATGAAAGCAGATTAGAAGCAGATTGACTGTTGCACAATGCACACAGTTCACAAGTTGCTAGTGTCGATACCAAAGCTTTAATTTACAGAACAAGGGAAAGTGAATAATAATCTTGCCACCCACACGACAAGTGCACTTTCAAACAAATTCCCAACATTTAAATTCCACAAGCTCAAGCCAGCGCTGTGTGGAGAAATGAAATGAAACAGAACCCAGTTGAGTCCGTGTAATAATAACAGGAGGACGCCACAGTGCTGCATGTTTGTGTTCCTCGGGAAGTCAATATATAAATGGTGTAACATTACAATTTTATGGAAATTCTAATAAAGCCTCAGTACAGTGTCATATGTGTTTGTGTAATTCCCCAGATGTACATTCCAAACACTTTTTTACGTTTAAATCAATAACTTGTATTTGTATTGCAAACGTAACCTCACTTTCTCCATTATTTTTTTATTCTGTATCATTTATCCATGTCCTTGGACTTCTGGCTGGAGTCAGTTAGGGATCTCCCTGTCCAGCTCTTTACATCGTCACTCCATCTCCTGCTTGGTCTCGTCCTACTTCTAGGGCCACAGATCTTCCCAAAGTACTGTTTTTATTTTTTGTTTTTTTAACCACGGTTAGTAGCCTTCAATTTGTCCCAATCTCCTCCGGCACTGAGGTGTTACTCAGCTGTCACTCAGTTGCTTCCTATAACACCTCGTGTCAAAGCTTATACAACATATTATTCAATAAAAATTATCTCAAATGTAAAAAAAAAAAAAAACACACACACACGATAGTTAGATTTTAAAGAATAATTTCTATCTATTTCTTTTTCTTTACAGGAAAATGTACTACATAGAAAAGTCAAAACTAAAAAGTCAAAAATTCACTATAGACTAGAAATATTGACTGTTTTTACTGCAGTTCTTTTTTCATGCTAAACTTTCTATACCACCATCTGAGGTAATCCCTTTTTGACTCGATGTACTTTCCGTCTTAATAACAGTTTTGCTCTAATCAGGTCTGAAAAAGTATTTTGTGGAAGAAAAGCAAACAGCATGGCGGAGTTCGGTATCAGGGCACACTTTCAACTCATGTGCCAATTTGGAAAGCAGAGCCCTGTGTGGAACGAGTACAAATGACTAGTGCGTGTAGAGACTGCGGCTGGATGAAGGGAGAAGGAGAATAATAAACATTTGTAGACTAGCAACACTACTGCGTGCGTCCATGGGGTTAAAGGCTTACCAGGTGGCTTACCCTGGTTTCACTCAAGAGGTTAAAGCTTAGGTATCTAACTTTATTTTTTTCATAAATAACACATGCTGTCCCAACAGAAAGTCTGAAAATGTGAAAAAGTCTTTCGTGAAACAAATCAGACCAGAACATGCTGTCTTAATTTATTAGATTTATTGATTTATCTTCTGTTAGTCAGAGAGTCATTGTGAGTCACTATTGGACCATTTGGGCTGAGAGCTGATTGAGGGTGTTCTGTTTCACTTATAGTATTATATTATGATTTAATATTTATATTATATTATATGCAGATGGCTTTAATTTCATAGTTCAATCTTCAAACAACAAAGGGGGCGACAGCGGCTCAGTTAGTAGAGCCTTTAAGTCTGTAGGTCGTGGGTTTAAGCCAACCACAAAACCTTCTCCACCAACTCCCACTGATGTCTGCTTAATCCTTGGGCAAGACACTTAACCTCACTTTGCCTGAAGCCCCCCTGAAGCTGAAAAATCATGGCTTTGTCGTCACAGACAGCGCAGCCATCCTCCTGTGGCCTCACCACCTGCAGGATCAGTAATCACGATGGATGGAGTGCGATTTGTAGTAGTTTGATGTTGGTTACTCCAGCTTTAACATAAGTAGTAATACAGTCTTCTGAATATAAGTAACAGATGCTAAAACAATTATTGTATTATTGGAAAATATTGCTGTTTTAGAGCAATTAGGAACTAGTGACATGGATTTTATACCCATTTTGTTGCGGTGTGAAAGTTGGTTACCACTCTCTCATTTCTCACTTCACAGCAAGAAGGTCCTTGGTTTCAATCACAGTCGAAACAGGGTCTTTCTGAGTGGAGTTTGCATGTTCTTCCTGTGTCTGCGTAGATTTCCTCTGGGAGCTCCAGTGTCCACTACCACAAACATGTACAATAGGTCAAATCTTCCAGCTCCGGTAGGAAGCAATGAGGGTGCAGCATAATATTATCTGCCAATAATAACAATGTTGAGACTGATGCTGTTTGCTTCAGTAATATTCCAAACTGCCAGCTACAAAGTATTCTCTGTGTCATTTTTACAAGTGCGACTAAATCAACACGTTCTATCTATGTCGTTATTTTTGACTAAAGCGTTTTTGGACACATCACATTCCAAGTGACAGTGCAGATGTTTTCTCTGACAACATGCACCAATTTGTGTTTGTCGGGCTGACTAAATCTGTCTATTTTGTAGTGAAGAAGTGAGACAGCTGCTGGCAGGAACCACATTGTTTTTGGTTGAAAAATGTGTTCGGCAATTGTCCTGAAATGTTGCAATTTGAAACGTCATCATATTTCCTGGAAGTTCTCGCCATCACTCAAATACTGACTGAGAAATGCTTTTGTTTAGTAACTAGTGTCTTATTGTGTGTTTTCAGAGTGGCATGGCGCTGACATATGATCCCTCTGCAATTCAGAACGGGTAAGCCATCATCATTCTATTTACTTTTTTAAGCTTTTTTTTTGTAAGAATGGTCTAAAGTTACTTCAACTAAAATATGTCTTGAGTACTGTTCATATATTTTAAGCTGTGTCTTTATTCCTTGCTGATGCTGGATTAAAAGGGACATATAGGGACATTATGGACTATTTTGGACATTGGTCATTCAATCAATCAAATCTTTGTAGAGCACATTTAAAACAACCTAGGCTTACCAAAGTAATGTACAGACAGTGAGAAAAAAAAAAACCACACACATACAAATACAGAAATATATATTTATACACATAAAAACCGAAAACTTGACTCTTTCTACCATTCCCCTTCCTATAGACCAATGGCTCCTATGTTTGTTATTATTGCATTTAGTTTGGTTTGATTCTCTAATCTGTTGTTGCCGAATTGACAACGTTGTAAAGTCGTCCAAAGTCAATGTGATTCAGGGCTATACAAAAATACATATAATTGCATTGAATATATTTCTTGCCATAAAACAGGTGCTTTCATAAAATTGACGATTCAAATCTTTTAACGATGTAGTTATTTAAACAGTTTACACACAAAAATTGTTTTATGTCACGTTTGAGTAATTAGCCATTTTTCTTCACTGACTGCTCTGACCATTGTCGCGATATAGCCCCACAGTTTTTCTTACTCCTCTTTGGTGTGCATAGGGCTTTACATATTCCTTGCATTATTAAAAGTAAAAGTAACTCACGTGAAATTCCTCTTTTAACCATGGACTGTGTTATTTTTCTAAAACCTATTTTCATGCATTACAAAAAGGGTGGAAAAAAGCAGAGACTACTCAATTAATGGAACATAATACAGCGTTATAATATTCCCCAATGACTAAACCAATAGGTGCATAGTCATTTTTTTATGTGACCATGTTTCACTGACGTTGTGTAAAGAGATATAGATCCATCTGACTCGACTGAAGTCTGCAAACCCGTCTCTTTCTTAATCTTGTTTTAATAATAGTAATGCATCGGTTTTATATAGCACTTTTTTGGACACTCAAAGACTCTTTTAGCTCCACATTGACATTTCAAAGGCACTAAATGAGCCACAGGTGCCAGATATTGTCATACACATCAGACAGGACCGTCTTATGTCTTGTTTAAGTGTTGTTTGGGTTAATTTTTTACCAAAGTTGACATTCTTTCCGACACCTCACGCTCATTAATTACCTTTCCCGCGTATATCGCTCTATCTTTCACTCGGCCTGATAGCAGCACCGTGCACAGCTGCTCACACGTCCACATCAGCACTTCTGTCCAGACGCACACCTGCATGTAAATGAGACCGCACACGCACGCCGCCGCCGTCCGCTCTCTCTGCAGTCGTTAGCAGAGTGTAGTGGCGAAGGAGTGATGCTGAGGGTTTGAGCCAGTGGGGTCTGTTGCCGTGGCGCTGTAAGACTTTCGTCATCCGAGGCCGAGGTGCAAGGCTGGATGTATGGGGCTGTTGGGAGTCGGGAGGGAAATAGTAGCTCGGTGCTGTCTATGAGGTGATGCGCTCCCAGGAGGCTCTGCTCCGCTCTCAGCTCAATGCGGCTTCCTCTTTGTATCGTATTCCTACTCTTGCTGATCAGGGGTTTGCTTACCTTCTGAACTCTGTGGCCTTCCCTGTTCTGATTTTGTTGTCTTTATTCATCAAACCTAGGGGTGCAACGGTTTGAAAAAATCACGGTTCGGTTCGTACCTCGGTTCAGAGGCCACGGTTCGGTTCATTTTTCGGTTAATTTTTCAAAAAAAAGTGTTGTCTTTTTAATAAACACAGCTCATGTGGACTCGGCACCTGCTCTGACTGCCCCCCCTGACCTAGAAATGAATTAAGGGGAAGGAAATGGATGGATGGATGGATGGAATATTCCATCCATCCAATTATGTCTATTTAACATAATTAATGAAAAACAACACAAAGTGCAACATAAGAAGGCACTTTATGAGGATATTTACTCTCATATATTACACCACCTTCCTGATTCTCCCGAGGAGGCGCTCCATTCTGGGCCCAGCCTCATTCACTGCATTTATTTAATTTTTGGCATTATCAGTTGTGACTGGGATATTAGTACTGGGCCTTTGTCTTCCATTCCTCCGCTGCTTGTGTCAGTACCTGCGCTGTGTGACAGTGTGACTGTCGTAGAGGGGGCGTGTCTGCAGCGCCAGACTTTTCATCTCCCAGTCTGCGGTGATGAAGTGAGCGGTTCCGCTCATGGATCTATTATAGGTTCCGCGGGACGTCCGAGCGTCAGTCGTGAGCGCAGCTGAGGATGCGCGGGAGAGTTGACTTTAGCCCGGTCTAACTGTGCGTAAAGGAGCTGCTTAAATGCCGCGACAATAAGCGGTCATTGAGACGCTTTTTTCACTCATGTCTTTCTTGGTCCACAGTGCTTACACATCGTGACAGTTTTGTCGAATATTAATTATCAGTGTAGTTACAGTGAAGCCAAAATGCTCTCATACTGGGAATTTAAATGACGCGGGGCTTTCAAGCATCTCCGTTCCTCCGCTCGCAATGACCGCGCTGTGTGTGGACTGAACAACGTGCGCACAACTTTTTTTTCATAAATCAAACCGCGGATCACGTCTGTACCGAACCGAAGACGTTGAACCGAACGGATCACGGATCAGTGATGAACCGTTGCACCTCTAATCAAACCACATATTACCTCCATATTTTTTATTGCGATTTTTTTTTTTTACAAAAGGGGGAAAAAATACATGTACTGTGTAAATGTAAAAATGATAGTTGAAAGATGTTTTGTTACAGATTCATTCTTAGGAGACGTTTTGTGCAAAATAAACTTCTTTGAACTTTTAACCTTGTTACAACATTGTTCCTGCATGAAAAACAGCCCTGGAGTTGGTTTTAGGTCCGCCCATGCTAATATTAAGAACTTTGGGCATAAACATGAGCCTCTGCCCAAATGAAATTTCCCCACTGTGGGACGTACACAGGATCTGTTAATCCTAATTCAATTCATTTAAATTCACTTTATTCTTGTATAGCCCTAAATTACAACAGTAGTTAACTCAGAGAACGTCTTGCAACGCCATGGCAACAGACCCTAATCTTAATCTGTCCCATACTCCTGTCTCAAACCAATAATAATATGATGTCATAAGCTTTTTATTTTAGTTATCGTCAGAACTGTTTTCTTCCTTTTGAAAGGAAGAAAAGTATGGCCCTCAATTAGTTTTGGCAATTAACAAATAAAATGTTACACAATCACATTTCTGTGTTGCAGCAATGAAAAATAACAGAAATTCAGCCTCTTTCTCTCCTGTTTCCAAAGCATCTTTTACATGAGGATGGCATTTTTGGTCTTTGATGCATACATTTGCCGCTGTATATTTTCACCTATGTATTCACATTTTAGAACAAAGTAAATAGTCTCATTATTTTTAATGGCCAAAAGCAATGCATAATATTTCTTTTTTCAAACTAGCTCGAGGCTAAAGGGAAAAACAAACAGATGAACCAGCAATTTTGTTATGTATCCCAGATATTAGGGATTTATAACACTCACCAAGTGAGTTGCTTTTCCTACGCCAATCATCTTTGCATTCCGCTTCAGTCCACCCAATAATCAACAGTGTGTTTTCATGGCTTAAGTCCTCTCTGACCTCTTTTTTTCCGAGGTCAAAGAAAGCTCCTTCCGGCAAACCACTAAATGACTGTGAAATGCTAATGCAGCTAATTAGAGAAGCAAAACGCACAGAAGCAGCTCTTGAATAGAGAGCAGGGTCCGGATGAGGTTATGAGGAGGGCAAAGTCGGGAATAAAGTCAGTGCAAGGAGAAAGAAAAAAGTACCAATCAATGACACCTCCTCTGACAGTATAAAACCTGGACACATGGATTTTTGGATCTGAGACCGATTGCACATTAAGGGGATACCAGTGTCCTTATTAACCAAACCTCAACGTTTATCAATGACATACAAGACCGAAAGATTTAAATGTGCATAATGTCGCTGACAGAATGAGTTGTCTTTGTTTTGCTTTTCCTTTTTGTGAAGCCTCTGTCTGCTTTATATTCCTGTATTTGCTCATTTTGGTATTTTATAATATATATTTATACATTGTTTTTGAAAAATGCCATGTGTATTATTATTATTGTGTCTAGAAAGTAAATTAACATTTCCAAAGACACTAGTCTCAAAGCTGCTTCAGTATGTGTGTATTGCTAACATATTATATTTTATGACACTTTTGCTTATCAGCCCACGCCAATACATTAGAAAAAAGGAAGTGCTACAAGAGTTTCTGAATGAGCACACATTATTACTAGATTAATTGCACAGACATAACTTGCATGTGTTTTCCCCTGCTTGTGTGTACTAAAGGGCTTTCTTCAGTCTCTTGTTTTCCTCTCATCCATCTTCATTCCTTCTTTCTTTCCCCAAACATACAGACTTGTGTTTTAGCATGCTACCCCACATTTCGCTGCTGAAAAGTCACTGAGGTCGGCACTAAATCATTGGCTAATTTTTCAGGGCAAACTCCTGACAGTGCGGCAGGGTCACACCAGGGATCCGCGAAGAGGTTTTAAATTCAATCTGCTAGTAATGTTCTGCTCGCAATTACATGTTTAGTGTATTGTTTAAAGAGCTTGCAACGCGGTCCCTATTGACAGCCTGCAGCTCGGGGCTAATAGCCTCCATCAATAACCTTGGATCTGTCCTCTACGTACTATTCCTCTCTCTCAATGCATATCAGTCTAATGAAAAATACAATAAACACAATCAGAGGAGCATATTGAATAACCAGGGCATGTGTGCTCGTTTGTATTCATCACTGACACTAGTATAGTATTTCTAATGCAAGTCGTACATTCATTGTGTAGTCAAAAGGAAGATCCATAGTGCTTTATGATTATAAAGGTAATTTTAGCCTTGTCACTAATCCTCAATTTGACCTGTTCTCAATATAAGGAGATGTAAGGCTGCTTTTACTGGGATTTCCCCTCTAACAAACCTGTTTTATAGCTTAAGATGTGACGATAATGGTAAGTTTATAGTCTGCACCCCCATCTATGTACGTGTAAAAGCATGTCCACAACCTGTCCATTCAGTGGCAATGTAGTACGCCTTGTCTTTATAGTTGCTGTCACAACATTCATTTTCTAGTCTTTTGCTTAAATCCTTTGTTCTGTCCACATAAAACTGTGCAATGGCTTTCAAAGGCAGAAGAATAACACATAACCTCAGTGTGTATCCTTTGAGGGCAAACACAAAAGAAAGCAAATGGAGACATTAAGCCACCGTTTAAAGCAGCACCGGGAAAATTAAAGAAAATCTATGTCCCTCCGAGGAATTAGAGAAAATCTGAGAAAGCTGAGCCAGTGTCAACACAACTAAAAGACAAAACACAGCTGACCCACACATGAACTAGAGCTGGAACTTGGCTGGGGGAAAATTATGGTGCTAATAATTCATAAGATTTCTTTTTCTGGGGCTGGTGAAGTGAAGCATTTTGTATCCAGCTTTGTGTTGTCCAGCCTTTTTTACGTCCAACTACCGGCCCTTCACCACGCCAACTAGAGCATAAACGACATCCATCGGGAGAAAGGCTGCGTTGTAGAGCTTATCGCACACCGCATGGCTGAACCGGATGTGGGTTAGAAAGACCTCTATAAGCTTGGCATCTTGTTCAAAAGTGTGACTATCGGTTACCTAACAAGTCCAATGCAAGAGCGTGTGCGTTCACAGCCGTGCAGGTGGTCGGACCTGTCTCACATCTGAATTAAGAAGTGATTGTGTGAGATCTGGCTGGCACCTCTTAAAAAATGGGCTGTTGTGAAATGCTTTGAGATGCATAATAAACGCAGTGATTATCTGTTACTTCCTGCGGAGGTGTATTTAATTTTGTAAGGATTTTGTAAGATAAGAAATAGGTTGCCTTTTTTGGGGGGGAATTTGTGAGACATTGTAGATGCTCTTTCAATGTAGTTGCATCTTATGAAAATGATAGGATAGTTAGAAGAAGAACACTGAGAATTAAGAAACAATATGGCCAGTTTTGAATACTTAAAATAATATTATTGGGGATATTCAGTTTTAGATGCAGACTTTGAGTTTAGTCCCAAATTGGTGGATTGTAGATCGGAAATTGGCTGTAATATATTCAGCAGTGGGAGTAGTAGCAACACAATTATGTACACTATATTTCATTGAGGTGAAGTTCATGGCATAAATTGTCTCTGGGGTTTTGATTCACATTTGACAGAACACTACACCACTTAACAAATAAAACTATCTTTGTCGGTAGCTGGTCATTTCTTCATCCAATCATGTTAGCTTTAGATAAAGAGGGTTTCTCCTTCGGCCCTTGCCTCCTCACTCCTGTCTCCCCTCCCCTACTCCATTATTCAGTCAACAGACACTTTGGGATCGATCGCGCACAGCAACACGGCCTGCTGGATGAAACATGTCCTCTCTTGGTACACAATGATAAATAAAGCACCGCAAGCCACTGCTGGGTTGAGGGGATGAAATATAAAAAAGAGGGAGCAAAATTAGAAGGGCAAACAAAGGTAGGATGGGAGGTAAACAGATTTCAAAGGCACTTGTCGAATACAAAGTAGAAACGTGTAGGTGGAACATGAAGGACAATATTGGACTGCTTCTCCCACACACACACACACACACACCACAAGGTGGTAATATATTACTATGCACAGCAGTGGGGCTGGCACTTTTGTAATGCCATGTGCACCGGTGCTGTGTCAGGTCCCATTTGAGGGCGTCTTTGATGGGTTGGTGGGAATACGATGCAAAATGTATTGTTTCCATGACAGCCCTGATGAAAGCTGATTCTTTTTGTCAGCTATATCTTCAAGAGACTGCCGTGCTTGAGCAAACAGAGATACTAAAGGCTCAATTACACCTCTCCGTGTGGGCTTCTCTGGGGAGACGGCATGTATTCAAAACGCATAATTCAGTGTTTTGTTAACCTGTGATTGTATTTGTCCAGGTTCTACTCGTCGCCGTACAGCATCTCCACCAACCGGATGATTGCGCAGACATCAATCTCGCCGTTCATAGCTGCTTCTCCTGTCTCCACATATCAGGTACAAGCACCGCTAACGGCTACACAGGACACCATGAGCTGCCCGCTGCATCGACAGGCTCTGGCATCAGAATGAATCCGTGTTTTACTCTTTTAAACAAGCCATTCTTGTTTGTGATAAATAATTAAATGTCATTTCATTAAAAAGGAGCACATAGACCGGCCTCCTGCTGGTGCCCAGAGGCAGGAGTAAAACTAGGGAGTAAACATTTCGGAATATAATTTGGAACAGTCTTCCTGAGAATGTGAGACAGGTTTCTGCTCTGACAATGTTCAAATCTAGGTTAGAAACAGTTCTGTTTAGCTGCGTTTTCAACTGAAGAATTGTAGCTTCACTCTTTTCTATGCACTGTGATTATTTATGATGCCTTGTGTTTCTATCGTCTTTTGTTAAGCCTTGCGTATGAACTGTGCTGTGTGTATAAAAAAAAAAATGCCTTGCCCTTGCCTTGCCTTAAAAACAATTGGGCTTTATTGGGAAGTGTACTTATCTGGAGGAAGTTTACTACCTACTAATCTACATATGGAATCAAAAATGTCTATCTCCTGGAAGCCACGCCCCGTAATGCATATACACAGTATACATATATATATAGTTTTTTCACCTTTATTTAACCAGGAAATTTCCATTGAGATTATTATTTAAGGGAGTCCTGGGCAAAGTCATATATGCAAACAATAACTCTGCCTATAATAAAGGAAGATTGCTTCTTGCCATTTGGTAAAAATATCAAAATTTCTATGGAGTCGACAAGAATTCCACAGACAGAACTCACTTCAGTTCCAGCTTATCCATATTGATATTGGATAAAGGATTTCTTGCAACAGTAGTACTCCACACAGATCTACAGTATTTGATATATAGATAACTCTGCAAATACCCTTTAGTTATTGCGCCCTCCATCTCGTTATATAAAGGCCATACAGAGTGAACTCAACAGAGACTTGCAATTGAATTAGCAAGTTTTCTGTTTCAATGTATTCTTTCAGTTGCAATGATAAAACTGCGGCTTACAGCAGCATCCCTCTCATCGATCTTTCATATTTAGAGCAAATCCTCTTTTCGGTTTGCGCTCTCTTTTCCCGTGTCTCCTATCTCCAATCTGCTTTGTCCTCTCACTGTAACTAGATAGAGGCTTGGACCTGACATAGTCCTTGATCCCCGTTAGTCAAACAGACATTAAGCCAAACATTCCGCCCCCACACATTTACACAAGCGATGCATAAGTCCAGAAGACGCATGCGTTTATACACTCTCTCACTCTCTCTCACACACACACACACACACACATTTGAGGACGTCATAATATTTTGGAACTTGAAGACCTAAGATTGTCAACACATTATGTAATGTTGCTCACATTTTCTTTTCATCCTTCACTTAAACAGTTGGACAACATTTGGCAGGTTTTTGTGCCAGATGTGCTCCCTGATGCAACAAACCACATGTGTTCTGCAACTTGGAGATTGTCTTTCTGCATAAGTGACTGAGAGAAATAGAACAGTAGTTGAAAGTTTAATTCTCAAGATGGATTTCCCTGGTGGGCCCTAATTTTCTCTTTGAATTTACCGTACTTCAGCAGTGGCTCTCTTGATCCTCCTGTTGTGCAAGACACTTATTATTTACTTGGGCAAACTCATTTTACACATTAAAGGGATACATACATAATGCACAAGTATACAAAAAACCAGTATTCCTTTTATGGTGTCTTTTAGAACTAAGTCAGCACCGCACACCTTGTGCACATAATTAACTTATGCCTCTTTATGCATGTGACAAAACGCCTTTGGGGACCTGTTCTGGCGAGTGTTAAAGCAGGCCAATGGGCAGCAGGAGATGAAAGTGGTGATTTGTGTCCAGGACAGGCTTTGATGATGAAACCTCCACTGTGCTGCAGTAATTATTAGAGCCTATTGCTCTCTCTGGTCTCTGTATCCTCCTATAATTACAACATAACACTGTGTGTAGTGGACCCTCAGTACGCACTACTGTGTCCCCTAAGAATACTTATATGCAGTAGTACCTTAACATCAACACTTCCTCTACAATTTTTATCAAGGACTTGAACAGGAGCTGAAGTTCATAACTTTGGTGCAATTAATCTATTCAACAAATAAGTCTTATAAAAGTTATGTTTTGTGAACAAGGATCTTATCTTCCCCCTGCTGGTACCTAGACTCACTGTGTTTACAACAGAAGGATTCATACTGTAACTTTTTTCTCATTGTCGTCTGACCTGTGTTTTTGTTTCCTCCCCAGGTCCAAAGTACATCTTGGATGCCACATCAACAGTATGTTATGCAACCCACAGTAAGTTCATTTTCATGTATTTTGGCTTCGCCTTTTCAGCTAAAAGCACACATTTTAGTTTGCTTCATTTCTTCTGAGAACAACATTTCCCTTTGCATTGGGCAGATGCTCTGATTGCTGTAAACATAGCATGCTTAAGTCAAACCTTAGGAAATATAGAAATAAAGCCATTTCTTTGGTGCAAAGTCCTGTTGTGCTGAATCAGCCTCTGTAACCTCCTTAAAGCCCCTCTGAAGACACAACTGCTCTCAATAAAATACATGAGAACATGTCGCCTCCTGCTGGTAGAGAAAAAAACAGCAAGGATGCGCGGTGAAAACAGAGATTCAACCTTGAAGGAAAAAAGGTTTAAAATTCAGCCTGTAATGTTAAAACAATTATCCATCACTGTCTCCCACATGAAATGAATTAGTCAAGTAAAAATAGAAGCTCTGTAGCTCAGACAGAGGGTAATGAACAAAATTATGTAATGTATTATTGTTAAAAGAAAATAAAAAAAACCTTATGTTTGCTTCACTCGAATTCAGAATAGAGCAGATCTCATCAGTGCTTGTGCCTTGGACTCCCTCCAACATCAGAGACACATTCTACCTGCAGCTTTGTTCTGCTCCATTTCACAGTACATCAGCAGCACATCAGCTGTTCATATAAAGAATGTGTTGCTGATTATTTAGTCACTCTGCAATGTACAGTAGTCCACACTGCGAAAATAGCAGTAACTAAGGGCACAAAATAGCAGTAACTAAGAGCACATACACACGCCTGGTTCACTGTAACTGGACCAATTCTGGTTAAGTAGAGAAAAAACAAGTCAGTATTTTTTCAATATTTTTTCCCGTTTGATTTATTGTGACCCATCGGCTGAGTGGTCAGTATGGCGCCTTTACTTTCTATCGCAGTGGTCTATAGGATCAATTGTTGGAAACCTACCAAACAATTGACTATGGCGCTTATGTAGATGCAACCGTAATCAATAGTAAAGGTTGTGCCCACTCTTAAAGGTCAGATAAGATATAGGGTTGCACAATGCCTCTTTAAAATGAACCAGACCAACAAGTATGAATTATGAGTTTGCACTGTTTAAATCTTCACATTCATGTTTTCAGACTAGAAGCATATATCCTTCCACTATATGTGATCCTCTAGGTTTGGAAAAAAGGATTTGAAATTTAAAAAAAGAAACGTCAGAGTTACAGTATGCCCAATTAAAGTTTGTTCCTTCAGATTTCTATCCTGGGCAATACTGTCTTTGTAGTGCACACCTTAGTCTGCATTTTATCAAATTCTGGAAGACTGCAACTCAATGGCTGCCTATATCTCATTGTTGTTCCCCCATCTGTCTAACTGCCAACTCGGAGAGCGTTCTGTTGTGGTCTGATTCAAATGATGGCTCTGGGAGGGGAGATTATTCCTCTGTAAATGTGCTTTCAAACAAATGTCCCATCTAATTATTTGGCAGGCGTCTGGATATGACTTCCTCCAGTTTTACGTGAGCAGGGAGTAGAGAACAAGCGGCGGGATATAGATATAAATAAATAGGATGTGTATTTGACAGTGTGGAGAAGAGAAAACTCGCAGAATATACGACATTCCACACAAAACTAGAACAAAAGGGGCTGGAAGAAGAATTGTGTAAAAGCATGTCAGAGCTTCAAAGACTGAAAAGCAGTTTCATATTATGGTTGGGAATAAATAAACCTTGACATATATGTTACAATAGTGCTTGAAATAAAAATGTATAAATTGTATACATCCATCTATTCTATCCGTATACTTCAGGGATATATTCTCCACTCATTGTTAGGTCTGGTTAGGTTCAAGGTGTTTGTGTGAAGCCAATGTTGTTTACAATCAACATGTCTTCTCTGCCATTACATTTTTCCGTGTTATATTGTGATATAAAATCCTGCAACTCCTGTTTCCATAAAAAACATAAATACATAAATAATTCTATAATGTATACATATTTTTACACATTTATTTATACAAAATGTTCAATGCAGATTCTGACTTGTCTTGCACTACACTCCTGCTCACGGACGAGACATCAGAAAAACAGTAGCATATCACAAGAGCATATTTGTCATTAGTTATGTACAATAGATAGTGCCTTGAATTTCTTTACACCGAATACTTTTTTGTTATGGTTTATATAATTTAAAAGCAGAAAAAAGTGTTCATAATAAAAACACAAAATAACCTTCATACTTATTGTTTATTGTCTGGATATATTGCTTCGAAATGTGATCGTGATACATATCATATCACCAAATACAATACACACCCTTGTAGATAATGTTCTTTGTCCTCTGATGGTAAAGCTGCCCATTCTTTGTGGTAAAAATCCTCCATTTCCTGTAAATTCCTCTCTGCCTTGCATGAACTACACATCACAACGGCTCATTGATGTTGACGATAGAAACAATATTTATCTGACAACAAACGGCTTCACACGACCACTTCTGACGAGCGGAAAACTGTTTTGTCGATCACACATAATCTCCAAATGTGGCCAAAACAATAACATATATAACTGGGCACTTTCAAACACAACTGTATGTAGAAATATACCAATCCTTTTATATCTTATACCAATCCTACTTATATTGTTGCTATTCTGCTTTTGATTTTTGTATGTAATTCGCATTCAGCATCACATTCTTCTTCTACTTTTGTGCATAACCTTTGACTTTCTGTTTCATTTGAGGCAAAGAATAGCCCTAAAAAAACACCCACAGTATGTGAATAGCACAGCACAAGAGAGCCTTGTGTGCCTGTGCCTAGATTCCCATAATCATATTTACCCATGCACTCCCCAATCTGAAGGATACCATTTCTGTATTTAATCTGTCCAAACACACCTCGATGTGCCGTGGAGAGCGTGGAGGGCCGGCTCACTTCTGCGCCTTGGTGAAACGCCCAGATTACTTCAACTCAGCGTCGTTACATCTTAATTAGTGAGAGGATGTCTTTGTGTATAATTACTCACAAATCCCCCTACAGGAAATGAATGCATCAGAATGAGAGCGCAGCTTATAGGGGAGACTCGTAATGAGCTGCACAAAGAATTGGGATTCCGTATCTTCTTGAGTTCAGTTGCTATGTTAAGCCTGTGTGAAGAGACAGTGGAAGGAAATGAGAGAAGGAGGTTATTTTTTAGTTTTTATCTAAACATATACAAAATAACATCTACGGGTATCACTTGGTTGATCAGAAGCATGGTTTATTGGCACTTGCACCAATTTGTTGTGGTTTTGCGGCTCAAGCGTTACAATATTTTATGAAATGTAAAATTGAATTCAAACATTAAGCACAAGTACAAGGAAAAATATCAACAAAGAAGTCAATTACAGACATAGGCCAATTAGTTCAGATAGCTGGAGCCAATTTACGTTTGAGATTCAGATTTAGATTAAGACAAGATCCTTTATTCGTCCCACAGTGGGGAAATGTCAGTGTTGCGTCACAAGTCACACAGCTGTAGGAATGGGGAGCACACAGCACAAGATTCAGATTCAGATTCATTTATTTGCCATTTGCAGTAAAACCACATTGGAAAAACTGTGCAAGACTACCCCAGTGTGCACCAGACGACACACACCAGAGCTCTTGCCACAGATAAGTGAACAATTGCTATACTAATTCAAATTAAAAATTAAAATCTCCATCTCTAGCATCAATAAGTATACAATCTCTTGAACTTCTTGAATATCTTGAACATAATAATAATAAATAAGTATAACCATTTTACATTTGGCAAAATAAGAGGCAAGTTTATGAGATTCAGATTCAGTTTATTTGCCATTTGCAGTAAAAAAACCACATTGGAATACATTAGCAAAAAGTCTCCAGTGTGCACAGACAAATACAGACGTAAAACCACATTAAAAGACAAAAATAAAACAAATAAAACAGTAAACAAGTGTCACTGTGAAATTGTCAGAGGATGTGTTCTGACAAGGACAAATATAATAGTAAACAACAAATAAAAATAGTACAACTTCAAATCCTATTTTAATGACAAGCTGATTGTTTGTTTTGTAATCTTTTTAGGGTTATGCAAATACAGCCCAAGGTAGACATAAGCAAAGAAATTATAATAATGGATAGGATTGGAACAAAGAGCTTTTGGCATGTGATAAATCTATTTGCCTTTTTTAATCTACTGCTACCTGTTCAAAGAATCCTCACTAAATATATTTTCTCACTGCAGTTATGAAGCTTTTTCTCCATATAATCGCAGCTTGTTATCACTAATGCTGGGTTTTGATGCATCAGGCGCCTAAAGCGGTCTACTGCACTGCTTTATTCCTTGCTCTGGAGAAATGACAGCCAGAGATTATAAAAGAGGAGAGACTCAAAGATCCAGTTCAAAGTTGAAGCCTGTTTTGTTTTTCGTCTGTGTCTGGTCCTCAGGGGGAAAGGAACTGCCTGTCTCGCATTCGCCGAGGAACAAAACACACACACACACACACACACACACACACACGCACATAGTCTGACGCAGCATTGAGTTAAACAATCATCACAGAAAATAAATTGAACGATGCAGACACACGCAGAGTTAGCAGGTCTAACACTTGTTCAGCCATAAATCAGCGCCGTCAATTAGTCAATGCGTTTCCTTCCCACTCATCTTTTTGTAAAGCAGATTTTTTTTTCCACGCCTGAGAACCCCTGCTGTAAGATTGGAGGCAATGAACAGACAAAAATAATACAGAATGACAAATGATTACCCGAAAGAAGGCATTATTGCTGGATAAAAAGCTGTGGGTTTAAGCAGATTTGCGTGTAAAATCCACCTGCCTCGGCCTCAGCTCATGATTTGTAGATTCATATGTGTCTCTTGTGGCATACTTAAGACCGGAGAAAAGCAGTGTTTTTTTTTTTTTTTTTCATTCTTATTTTCATACAGGCTGTTTCATATGCCTTTGTTATTGAAAGAAAGAATCCATGAATTTTGGAGAGGAAAAAAATGTGTGTGTGCGCATGAGTGTGTGTGTGAATGAGCAGCGTCTGCAGCTTATACTGTCTGATGTAGACCGGGAAAAGGTCTCACATTACACCTCGAATCTCCACTGGCTCCCGTTCAGGACTGGATTGACTTTAAAATCCTTATGCTTGTTTATGAAGCCCTCCACAGTCTGGCGCCTTCATATATTTCGATTTACTCAAGCCTTATGAACTTGTGTGAGGTCGTTTGAGACTGAATGTGGAAGAAGTGGCTTTCTCCCATTATGCTCCTTGTAAATGGTGACTTTTTTCCAGCTTAGACATTCCTCATTTCTTTTCATTGTGTTTTTGCAATATCTTTTGTTACACTGTCTTTGCAAAGCACACGCAATGAAAAGTGCTTTGTGAATAAAAGTTCTTCCTCCTTTATGCTTGATAGTTCATTTTTACGGCTGCATAAGAGATTCATTACCGTGGACTACTGCTCCCGGGTGAGAATTGTTGACATAAAAAGCTGGAGACAAATGTTATTTTGTACAGTGTATCATATCTCCCCGTAAAGGCTGAAGACTGACTCATATCTCTTTCTGTTTGTGTGCTGCTCACAAACAAAACGCCTCTCCGTCGAACTGCCTCTGCTCAGCTTTGACAAACTGTAGGCGCATGCAAGACTTCAAACTGCCATCATTTTCATCGCTCCTTGTGTCTACCGTGCGCGTGTGAAGCTCTCCGAGGCACGGCGGTTGCCAAAGAACCTGCAGTGCTTTTGGAAAACGCCTAAATTTAATACCTGTGTTCCTCCAGCCTCTCAGAAGTGCTGACTGCTGTCTCTGCTCGCACTACAGAGCTCCCCTGTGTGTCTTACGGCAAGTGTAGTTCAACGGCGCTCTCCAATAACCGCTCTCTTCTTTCACACGGTGAGAAGAGGGTCCTGTTTAGTCAGACAGAGCCGGGGTTGAGGAGCGCTGGATCTCGGAACATCAAGGTGTTAGGGCCGTGTCAAAGCCTTTCTCACTGAGAGGTTTACTGTAAAAGGATTGTGCTGTATCCAGGAGCAAGCTCAGGCAAGACGGCTGCTCTCGTCTGAAACACAGCGTTTGAACTGTAGCTATTGTTACAGGATATAGGTTTTGGACGTACTGTGTGGTGTGCGTCCATGTTATAGAATTATATTTCAATGGGAGGACGTGCACCACAATAATGGAGGGAATAAGTTGAAAAGTAAAAAAGTAAAATATGTTTTCAATTGAATCTTTTTTTTTTTTTGTGTCATCAGATTTTGAATTTCAAAATACCTTGAATTTTTTCCATTTGAAATTTTTAACCGTGAAAAAGCATTTTTGCCTTTGCATTTCATTCATTCATTCATTCATTTGCATTTAATTCACTAAAATTTCAGTTTACAAATTTCAATGTGAAATTTAAAATTTAAAAATGACATACTGTATTTTCAAGATGAATTCTGGTCCATTTTTATCGAAGAATCTGATGGAACAAATTATCCGTCTTTTTTAATCAAATATCACAGTGCATTGAATTTGTAAACTGATTTTTTAGTGACTGAAATGCAAAAACAAAAATATTTAAACATGCATTTTTTTATGGTTAGAAATTTCAAATAGGAAAAAATCAAGCTCATTTAAAAAATCTGACAACAAAAAAACCTTCCATAGTTTTCCCAGATATGATATGATAAGCATTTCTGATCTTGGTTATTTTCTATATCTGGATAGTGTTTTTTTTTTTAAAGGCTTACAATTTGCTCTTTACCAAGTTCTTTTAAAAAGCCAGATCTATTTCAGTGCCATACAATCAAATCCAATCTAGTTTATTTATATCGCACATTTATAAAACATTTTCAAAGTGCTGCACAGTGATAAAAATAACACATTTAAATATACAAGTCTTCCAGCTGTATATGTATCAACAATAGAATAAGTTAAACAATTATGATGTATGAAGTAAAAACAATACAAATTGAATGGGGAAAAAACAGTTCAATCCAATATGAATGAAGTTCCCCCCTCCCTCCTTCCAAATGTACTGCCAAAAACAAAACATGTTGACAACTGCTACTAGTGGAATCTTTTTGACACACTTTCAAAACGAAGATATCTTTTTTTTTGCAAAGGCCCTCTTCACTTGGACGTCTTTGTTCATTGTTTGTCTGAACCAGTGTCTGTGGTTTTCGTGCCCTGACAGAACATAAGTGTCTGTTTTGTCTTGTTGTTGAACATTGTGTCTGTTGTGCTCTCTCTGCGCCTCAGGGTGCTGTGATCACTCCGACCGCCACCATCGAGCCCAGTCTGTCCCTGCACCCGTCCAGTGTAATGGCTCCACTCATGCAGCAGATGAACCACTTGTCTCTGGGCACTTCGGGAAATGTGAGTCTGCAGTCATGTGACCTCATGTGAATGCTATTGTTTATTGTATTGTAAGACTATTTACGTCAGTTATCAAGCACAAAGTATTCTGAATCTTGATATTGAAATTGACTCACCACTCAATATTGCTTTTTCAGAAACATTTTGAATGACGAAATTTTATGCATTCTGTTTGTACTGGCATTTACGGATGGGTGGCTATTAATGGGTGATTCCAAGTAATTGTAATTGTACATGAAATTGCTATCATATATGCGCCGTACGCACACAAATGTAATCATGCAGCATTGAACATTTGATTTTCCCACACGCGTGACGGCAGCAGCACAAGTAATTTCATTTATGCAGTGCAATTAACAAAACCGAACAAAACGATGAAGTGTGAGCAACGAGGGACTTGGTTTGGTTTATTGCAATGAACAAGATGAGTGAGTCACCGAGCTGTTTATCTGTCTTTGAGCTTAATGTCTCTGTACAATGTCCCTTCAAATAAAGACTAAACAACAACAAAACTTTGGGCGTCGAAATACAAACATTTTCAAATACAAGTGTGTCCTTTCCCTGCGCTCTTAGCTGCATCTACCAGCCGTGTCTCAATAAGATCTGGTGAGTGGCAAAGATTTGATCCAGTTGTTCCAAACAGACTGGGTTTTCACACAGCAGCACATGGGTTTGGGCGACACGGCGGCTGAGTAGTTCTACATTATGGTGCTAACGCCCCTTAGGCTTCGCTATGGGTATACTCCAGAAGCACCTAGCTTCCCGCCAGAGAGAACTAAATGCTCCAATCACATGCCAGTCCCATCTATAAATAGCCCTCTACGGCCCGTACCAACCACTTTTTACTTTGGCGCCACTGAGAGATGAAAATAACTCACCGATTGAAGATGTCGTCTCCTTCCCCGTCGCGTCCGAGAACCCCGTCGCCCTCCGGCGTCGGACGAAGACGGTGCAGGAGCTGCAGGACCAGGATCTCCCGCAAGGACCGGCACAGTCTGTGCTTCCTTTGCCTGGGTGTATCCCACTACCAGGGGGACGAGGCTGACTGCGAAGCGTGCCTCTCTCTCCCCAGGGAGGAGAGAGAGCGCCGCAGGGCGTATGTTGGCTCCGCGGTGGCTCACCCGGGTTCCTCCCAGGAGGACGAACTCGAGGTGGAGTACGTGCCGCTAGACCTGCCTCCCGCACCCAGGGAGTGGGGAGACTGCGTCGTGGAGGAGGAGGAGCGTGATGAGGACCAGGGTTCCTTCATCACGCTCGACGAGGCTTCCTCCTGGTGCGAGTCGGACCGGTTCCCGCTCGATCACATGCCCCGCCTCTTCATGGCTGCGGCGAGGACCATGGAGGTTCCATTCCCCCCGCAACCCGTGCAACCCAGGGAAGACTTTACCTCGGTGGGGTCTTCTCAGAGAGGGAGGAAGAGGCAGGTGCCCACGCTGTGTCCGCGTATGGAGCCGGTGTTCCACTACGCTACACGCGACTGGACCAAGCCTTCCACAGCTAAGAGACCTGCCCTGGGGTACGGTCCTTACTGTGAAGTCCAGGACTGGTCCTGGTCCAAAGGCGTACCGGAGGTCGAGGATGCGGTGAGGCTGGCGCTCCTCCCCAAATCCTCCCTGTGGCCGGGCAGCAAACCGCTCCTCCCCACCGACAAGGACCGGGTGTCCATGTCGGTACTGGACCGGTGCTACGCCAACGCGACACAGGTCGTTGCGTTGGCGAGCAATATGGCGCTCATCACCGGCGCCTTGGACAGGTCACTCGCCGCTGGCGAGGCGCTGAGCGGCGAGGACCTTACCAAAGCCAGGACCACCACGGCAGCGACCCTCCGCATGATCCAGGCGCTCGCTATTGACGGTGGTCGGACAATGGCGGCGGCGCAGGTCGGTGCCCGTCACCTATGGCTGGGGCTTGCTGATGTCCGGGAAGCGGAAAAGAAGCAACTTCTGGACCTCCCCATCTCCACAGAGTCTCTCTTCGGCCCAGACATGAGAGGCCTGATGGAAAGACTCGACGGAGCGGCGAAGGACTCCGCCAAGTTGGCTCCTCATTTGGCGCCGCGGAAGCAGCGCCGCCTCTTCGAGAGCAGAGAGAGAGGGAGGGAGAGGGACCGGTCCCCGCTACGTCGCCCTGCCTTCCCCCAGACCGCTGCACGCTCGGCACAGCCTGCTCCAGCAAGATCCAGGGGCCAGGATTGGACCTCCGGAGGCCCACGAGACCGATCCTTCCAGCGTCCTCCTCCTTTCGGTGGTGGGAGACGCGGGGGAAAAGCCTTTTTCAATAAAAGAAAAAATCAAGCTTATCCACTGTCTCAGTCCTCTGTTCTCTTGCACCACATGCCGTCACAGGTAGAGGGCAGTGTGGTCTTACCTACAGAGCAGACACATGGTACAGAGGGTGGTTTGATGAGACTGTCTCAGACCACCGCTCCGGGTAACAGATCTAGCGTTTCATCTCTACAGGGAGTGTTGAAACGCGAGGGTCCCTATAACAGGGGATTTACGGTCCCTTCTAGCTCCACTGTTCCTCACACTTCCTCATTTGGCATGGGTCTGAAGCGTAAGAGGCAAGCTGGGGTTACCGAGGCTACGGGTCAGGGTCCGTCTGCCTCGCACTGCAGATAGGCAAGGCACGCTGCTATAAGCGATACAAGGAGTAAGGACTCCTCTGTCTCGCGCAGCAGGGCAAAGAGAAAAGCTGTGGTTACCGAGGCAACGGGTCAGGGTCCGTCTGCCTCGCACTGCAGAGAGGCAAGGCACGCTGCTATAAGCGAAACAAGGGGCAAGGACTCCTCTGTCTCGCGCAGCAGGGCAAAGCGAAAAGCTGTGGTTACCGAGGCAACGGGTCAGGGTCCGTCTGCCTCGCACTGCACAGAGGCAGAGCACGCTGCTATAAGCGAAACAAGGAGTAAGGACTCCTCTGTATCGCGCAGCGGGGCAAAGAGACTGAGGCAAGCTGTGGTTACCAAGGCAACGGGGCAACACAGACTTCCTCGGCCCTTTCGTGGATCCCCCCTCCCCTGTGAAGGCACCAGAAGAGTGGGGGGAATTAAGGTCAGGTCTCACGAGCCCGGTGCCCCCTCTCACGTCTTTTTATCGGGTCTGGAGAGAGCAGGGGCTCCTCTCAGACGCATGGTTGGACAAGACGTTACGCAGAGGTTATGCCCTACAGTTCGCGAGGAGACCACCGCCGTTCCAGGGCGTTCGAGCGGCAAACTCCAGGCGACATGGGACAGAGGAGGCTCTCCAGGAGGAGGTAACCTCCCTGTTACTAAGAGGTGCTGCGGTCCAGGTCGACCCACAGGACGCTCACAGAGGGCTGTACTCCCCTTACTTTCTGGTCCCCAAAAAGACAGGGGGGGGTGCGCCCTATTCTGGATCTGCGCGCACTCAACCAGTGCATCTCCAGGCGGCCGTTCCGCATGCTCACTACGAAGCAGCTACTGGAATGTGTCAGACCCGGAGACTGGATGTCCTCCATCGATCTGACAGACGCTTATTTCCACGTTGCGATAGTGCCAGAGCACAGACGCTTTCTGCGCTTCGCTGTGGGAGAAAGGTGCTACGAGTACTGCCGCCTCCCGTTCGGGTACGCTCTGGCCCCCCGCACCTTCTCGAAATGCGTGGAGGCAGCCCTGATGCCGCTCAGACGAGCAGGGGTCCGAATTTTAACCTACATCGACGATTGCTTAATTCTGGCACAGTCCAGGGAGGTGGCCCTGGAAAACACGCTCCGGGTTCTGTCTCACATACAACAGCTGGGTTTTGTGGTGAACAGAGAGAAGAGCAGATTACAGCCTGCCCAGCGCGCGCTCTACCTCGGTCTGCAGCTGGACTCGGTGGAGTTCCGAGCGGCTCTGTCCAGGGACAGACAGGAGAGCCTCTCACAGCTGGCCACCAGGGCGCTGACTGCCCCCAGCGTGTCTGCTCGTTGCCTCAGATCGCTCCTGGGGATGATGGCAGCGGCCCATGCAGTTATACGTCTGGGCCTTCTCCACATGAGAGGTTTTCAGAGATGGTTCTCCGGTCTCAGGATTCACCCCTCCCGGGACGCAGCGACCATGCTCGTAGTTCCCCCCAGGGTGAGATCAGACATCAGCTTCTGGCTCACCCAGGGTGTGATGAGGAACGGGGTTCCCCTCAAAGGCGCCGTATCACACGTGGAAGTGTTTACGGACGCCTCTCTCGAGGGGTGGGGAGGGGTTCTGGGCCAGAGCTCCGTGGGAGGGCTCTGGTCAGACTCATCTCCGCACATCAATATACTGGAGATGGAGGCAGTGCGCAGGGTGCTACTGCACTTTGCACCGCTGTTGCAGGGGAGGCACGTGATGGTGCGCTCAGACAACACCACCGTGGTGGCCTACATAAACAGGCAGGGGGGCACGAGATCCCCCGCTCTCCATCGTCTGGCGGCTCTCATCTTGATCTGGGCAGATGCGAATCTGCTGTCTCTCAGGGCACGCCACGTTCCCGGAGACAGGAACACAGGGGCGGATCTAATGTCCAGGGGGGGCCCACTCAGGGAGGAGTGGGGCCTGGCCCCGCAGATAGCAGCGCAGGTATGGCAGAGGTTCGGTCGACCACGGGTCGACCTATTCGCCAGTGCAGGCAACGCGCTCTGGTTCACTCTGGTTCGCGCTGCGGCCCACAGACAATCCACCCCTGGGGGTGGATGCCCTGGCGCATTACCCGTGGCCGGGGGGTCTTCTATATGCGTTTCCCCCGACTCGCCTCTTGCCGGTTCTTCTGAGGAGAATCGAGCAGGAGGGTCGGGAAGTGATCCTCATCGCCCCGGACAGCCCGCATGCCCTCTGGTTCCCGTTCCTGAGGGGCATGGCGGTGTGCGACCCTTGGCCTCTCCCGGACGAGCCCGGGGCTCTGGTCCAGGGAGGGGGGACGCTTCACTCGCGTCCGGTACTGGGCCACAGACTCTGGGTCTGGAGGCTGAGAGGCGGACTCTCGTAGGTCTGGGTCTCCCTCAGTCGGTTGTGGAGACCATTCAGGGCGCGAGGGCCCCGTCCACTATCAGGGCCTACGGCTGTAGGTGGAAGGTTTTCAGTGACTGGTGCGCGGCCCGGTCCTGGGACCCCATGTCCTGCCCTCTGGAGGGAGTGCTGGGCTTCCTACAAGAGCTATTGGAGAAAGGGAGGGCTGCCGGCACCCTGGCGGTGTTCGCGGCAGCCATTACCTCTGGCCACGAAGGGTTCGGAACCTTCTCGGCTCGTTCCCACCCGCTGGTCAAGCGTTTCCTTCGGGGGGCCCATCGAAAAAGGCACGTTCTCCAGAGGACCCCCCCGCTCTGGGACCTTAAAGTGGTCTTGAAGGGATTATCAGGATCTCCCTTCGAACCTGTGGCCCAGGCCAGCCCCGAGTGTGTGGCTCTCAAGACTGCCCTCTTGCTGGCGTTGGTCTCAACCAAGAGGGCAGGGGAGCTATGCGCACTCTCCGTTCGCCCGGAATGCCTGGCATTCGGTGCTGAGGACGGTGTGGCTGTACTTTGGCCGAACCCAGCCTTTCTGCCTAAGGTTGTTACTTCGGCTTTTAGGTCAAGGGTCATCAGGGTCCGACCCTTTCACCCGCCGCCTCATGCCTCCGAGGAGGAGGAGCGGCTGCATCTGTTGTGCCCAGTCAGGATGCTGAGATCCTACCTGGCGGTTACAGCCTCCTTCAGACGGTCGGATCAGCTGTTTGTATGCACAGGCCCTAAGAACAGAGGCGCACCGTTGACGCCCCAGAGGCTGTCCCACTGGGTGTCTCGGGCGATTCACTTGGCTTACCAGGCTCAGGAGTTGGTTCCCCCGGTGGGGTTCAGGGCGCACTCCACACGAGGAGTCGCGGCCTCCACAGCTCTGCTCCGGGGTGCCTCTGTGGAGGACGTCTGCCAAGCCGCGTCTTGGGCTTCGTCCTCTACCTTTGCCCGGTCATATTTAGTGGACGTGGCAGAACGGTCGGTTGCCCATTCCATTCTGAACGCAGGGGTCTGACTCACCGTGGCCGACCCGCTCCCTGTGGTTAGTCTAGTCCGAGCTTCAGGTACGCTGGACGGAGGCGTCTTGGGGTCGAGACCCGCTCTTCCCGTAAAACGGTTACCATACTCCAGGAGCTCTTGGTAGAGGCGTTCGGGGTATGTTTTTACTCTTCTCATACCTCAGGAGCTCTTGGTAGAGGCGTCCTAGGTATGTTCCCTGCTGGCTCCTACGGGAGTCCTGCCTGAGCGTGGGCGTCCTTGATAGGAGCGGCCCTTGCTCGGTGTTTTTGCTCCTCAGGAGCTTGTCAGTGTCACTCAGGCGTCCTTGGTAGGAGCGGCCTCGTACACTGCTCCTTCTTCTTCCTGCCCCGAGTCCATGCGCCTTGATAGTGCGGCGGGAACTCGGGCAGGGCTCCAATCACTCTACGCTGGCCTGATAGGAGTACATTCTCCGACGGCTTACGCGTGGTTACCCATAGCGAAGCCTAAAGGGCGTTAGCACCATGATGTAGAATTGTTAGTTACCTAATGTAACTCAAGTTCTACGAATGGTGCGTAGCCCCTTAGCTACGGGCCCATCAGTCCAGCATGGCTTTGGCTGAGTTCAAAGTGGTTGGTACGGGCCGTAGAGGGCTATTTATAGATGGGACTGGCATGTGATTGGAGCATTTAGTTCTCTCTGGCGGGAAGCTAGGTGCTTCTGGAGTATACCCATAGCGAAGCCTAAGGGGCTACGCACCATTCGTAGAACTTGAGTTACATTAGGTAACTAACAATTACGACTCGATTCTCAGCAACATGGTCCTGGGTTTGAATCCTGGTCGGAACAGGGCCTTTCTGAGTGGAGTTTGCATGTTCTACCCGTATCTGCATAGGTTTCCTCCGGGTGCTCCGGTTTCCCCTACCACTAAAAACATGCAAAATAGACATGAATGTAATGAGTGAGGGAATGGATGGTGTTGGTTTAGGCTTTGATGCGGCAGTGTGTTCGGCTTCTCGCTGAATTCTCTCATCACCGTGTTTGGAGAGAATGAAAAATATCTGAACTCTGAACATTGTAAAGCGCTTTGGGTGACCTTGGTCTGTAATAAAATTGCTATATTAATAAAGATTACTTACTTATTTACTTACTTGTTCGCTCAAATGAAATTGGAAGTTCCAGTTTTCACTTTTCACAATTACAATTATCAAATCTGTAAAAAAAGTACATCACAAATAGCGTGTACGTCCCTGTGTTTGTAATATTCACTCTGTTTCTTCCTTTCTAGTACCTGCCTGCTGCAGCCACTGCCCCTATGCAAGGAACCTACATTCCCCAGTACACTGCAGTGCCTGCCTCTGCCATCACAGTGGAAGTAAGGACACACAAACTCTTGTTTATTGAGCCTATTACAGGAGCCAACTGTCGGCACAGCAACCCACAGTGGTCTGCAGAGGACACATTTAAAAGCTTTACGGCTGTGGCTTGAAAGCACTTGTGGCACATCAGAACTAAACCAGGTCTATTAAAGCTATTGTCTGTTGAACTGCTGTCATTTGTTGAGTTGTGGTTGACATTCAGCCAGATAAATGTGTGCTTTCTGGATGCATTCCGATCATAAAACTGACTAGATGATGAGGTGATGATGATATATACGCGCCACACAGGTAAATGACTTCCTCAACACCTCGGGAATAGTTATTAGTTGAATAATTAACCACATACATACAAATACATACCCAAATACTAGACCAGAGGTGTCAAAATATTTTTGTGAGAGGGCCACTTAAGTTTACCAGGCTTGTCCAAGGGCCGACATCCCACATTGTTTTGGCTGGTTTCGGGCTGATCTGAGCTTTATATCATCTGGTTCAGAGAAAGAAACTCTTACCATCAGTTTGACTTTTACATGTGCTCCTCTTAGGTCAGGAAATGTTCATCTTGCTCTACTGTAGTCCATTATAATGTGATTCCCTCGTGCCAATTCAGACCTGTTTTGCTGAACGAATTGTTTGAGCATTGTTATAGCTGGTTCACCTAACTTTCAAACGACACATAATGGAATGACAGATGGCCATCTCGCCAGCTTCAATAGCAGCAAAAACTCATGATTAATCGCATTCTATTTCAAATCCACTCCAATTGAAGTTAAATGAGATTATCAAATATAATGACACATTTTCATTCAAACCAAATGTACTTAAATCTGTTAGATTTGCTCACAACCTTTTGCTTTTGGGCACAACCAAAATGAGCTGTTAATGAACGGGGGAAATTTACATACCCCAGCTTTTTATTCAGCGAGTTTAGTTTAGTTTAGTTTCAGGAGGAGACACGGACACTTTTTGCGGTGTATTTGCATGGACAGGTTACGCACAGGTTGCAAAGACACAAACACAACATGCTGAGAATAGTTCTGTGGCGTGTATGGTCTTATATGACCATGTTACCGCGGCATCACTCACTCACAGCCGTGTTGTTGTTAGCGGCTCACAGCCAGAGCGGCCGCGGAGGAGGCGGACTTCAGTTCATTGCAAACAACAGCAAGTGCCCCACGGTCAAGCGCGTGTTCTTTTAAAACTTGAATTCCCAGAGGGCCTACCTGCTCTGATGCCATCTCACATTGGACATGCGTTTATGCGTTAATGAAAACGTGAGTTGACACGATAATTTTGACAGCCCTACTTTATATACGTATCAAGTCACCAGCTGAAATCCAGATGTTCTTAGCTTGACTCATTGTAAAACTAAGAACCTCTGGATTTCAGCAGGTATACAATGCCTGTATTGACTGAGCTATAGTTGGCTGTATGACACTGTGAACTTGTGTTTTAGATCTGAAAGGATACTTTGGGTTAGCAAAGCGGAGGGACAAATGAAATTATCCAGTGGGCCGCAATTAATTAAGTAATTAAGTAATATATTCATACATCACATTAATCACATTGAGACAAGTTGAGCCTTAAACTGTTTTTGAATGGTTTTGAAAGAAGACAGAGCTAGTATATTTCATTCAGAAAAAAATGCCTAATTGTACATTTTCTATTTGAAATTGGTATCAAGTTAAAACGTGTGTATTGTGAGTGACATCTCTATTACATACAGTGTAAAGGGCCAAACCCATTTTTCTTTTATGAGAGATTTTGTGGTATTTTGTGCTCCAGGGCGTGGTGACAGAGGCCCCTCCGCAGACAGCCCCCTCTACACAGAACGCCAGCGGACAGCAGCCTTTATCTGTGGATAGCACGGGGGACCACACCACGGCCTATTCTTACCAGCAGACTAAGTGCGTATAGAATTACAGCAACTGTACACCCGCAGTCACGCTCAATACTAAGGAGATGGAAATCTGCTCTGTGTGATTACATTATGTGAAGAGCAGTTGGATGCAATGGAGTTATAAATACTAAAAATACAACCAACCTTCATTAGAACTCGTATGTCCAATATCTCACTAAGAACAACCTCACAAGCCTCACACACCTCTTGTTATCACACAGCTCTTATGTGAAAACAGACTCTAAAGACCGATTGGGATTTTAAAGGGTTATCAGAAGCTTTCAGATAATCTGTAGTTTATGTCAATCTACTGTATCTCATTGTTGTGAAGTTATGGACACAAGAGTAGTGTGCAGAGTAGAGAGTAAGGTGCATTCACACAAACTAGCGCAAGCCCTGATGAAGTATGTCATATAATAGCAGTAAGGAACCTGGGGTTTCCTCCGGGTGCTCCGGTTTCTTCCTGGTGCTTTGGTAAAATTGCAACAACAAAAAATTATAAGAGCATCAACATCTGCAGATACAATACAGAGGACAAAACTCCCTATGGGGACAAAAAATGTATAACTTAACTTGACTTGATACGTAATGCATTTTTGGTTGTAGTATTTCTGGGGCTGTTTGTTATGCGACTCTCTTGTTTTGAAACTGGGACAGCGTCTACCGTACATAACTCTTTTTGTCTTGCAGATAAGTCGAGCTGGTGATTGCTGCATCGCCCTCAGAAGGACTGCACAGAACTGAGGACCAGGGGAAACAGTGACAAGGACAATACTGAGAGGGAGATGCCACTGTGCACAAACAAAAGACAAAAATGAAGAAAAAAAAGTTTCTTATGTGAAGAAAATTTAAGAAAAACAAACTGTTTGCTGGACTCTGCAACTTTTATCATTTCTCGTCAAGAGACTTTGGATGTTGCCTCTATGAGAAGACAACTTGACTAGAATCTGTACAGATAAACATGAACATTTGAATGTCCAGGTAGATTTTCAAGACTTTTTTATTCAATTCAAGAAAAAAATTGAAAGGAGACAGAGGCAGCAGTCTAGAAAAACAACGGCCGTCTTCCTTTCATACAAAGCTGCATCATTGTTTTTATGATTTGAGTAGTTTTTTAGAATATCAATGTTTTGGTAAATCTTTATTGCCTTAATTTTATGAAATGCTGGAAGCTAGAAGTTTCCCTGTTTTGTGTTTGACAAAAAAAATAGTATGATTCAAGAAGAGCAGTGAAAAGCTGACTGTACAGGCAAAAACCACGTGTTTGTAAAGAGGACTTTTACATTTACAGAACATTTGGGGAAAGAGTGCTGCTTCCTGCACCTTCACTGGCATCTGTTATTTCCATGCCATTTGTGCTTGCTTTCGTTCATCCTTTGCTAGTTGTATCTTGGAGACATTTTATTTTGCCTGCATCCTGCCTGACAAGCATTTCTCAGTAAAAAAAAAAAAAAAGCTAGAATTTTTCAATGTGCGACAAAGCAATAGTTTTAGTAGAGGCTGATCAAGCGCAGTCTACAGGTGGCATATTTTATACCAAAGATGAAGAAGCTAGACATCGAAGCGCTCTTCCATATTTGCTTTTGTCACTTTTTTTGTGTTTTGTGTTCTTTGGTAGTAGGAAATATCTGGGGATGCAACGGTATAAGTCTTAAATATACAAATTCCTCAATATGTTTTCATGCAATCAGATGTAAGCTAGTATCGTCTGAAAATAGAAAAACAATGTTCTCATCGGTGTATAGTTTTACAGTTGTGAGCAGCCAAATTACAAGCTTAATGGACTGACTGAAATGTTTTTCCTAATTATGACCGATTCATTGAGTTACGTAATGTGATTTCATGTGATGATGCTTCGAGGCTGCTGTGCGGACCAACAAAAGCCATTTGAAATACAGGCAGGGACCTCTCTGCGCGAAGACAACGGTTTCCTTTTTTAAAATTGAAAATCGTTTCAGTAAATCACAATTGCTTTTATGTTGATATACTGTGTGAGCTGCTATCACGACTTTTCGGTGTGGGATATGGGGATGTGGAAACGTTAAAATCATAAAAAGATTGTTCACATTGTAAAAAGGAAAAAAAAAAAGAATACATATAGTTTCTCCTTCTCTGCCACGCCCCTCTATTCATTTACACACAGATGACAGGAAGCTATAGTCTATACTGGAGTAAAAACAAGTCAACCAAAACTGAGAATCTACCAACATCTAATGAAGAATAAGTTATTGAAAGTTAGGAATGAAGTAGGAAGGAGACCGGAGTCGTATTTATGAGATTTTTTGTATAGGTGTGAAAAAGAAGATGCAACAGAATTATCTTTGATGATGCTATTTTTTTATTTGCTTGGTCACATGCCTCCCATGTCTTTCAAGTTGTGATTTTGAGAGTGTCTGTAGAACCAGTGGATATTGCTGTAGTTTGAAATGTCTATTTTGTTTTCATTTTAGTTTTATTTTTAGGCAAATCTTTCAATAAAAAAATCAAACACCTGGCATTCCTACGTGTTCATTCTTACAGGTGCGGAGTCTGCCCACTAGAGGACACTGTTGTTATGTTGGTTATTTTAGGGGGAAAGGACATATTTCAGAGTACTGTAATGCAGTGTTTGCCAACCAGGGCTTTTAATGCAAGGGTATTAAGGCGGCATACTTGAAATTATTTTCGAAACTCTCAAAGACTGAAAGTAAGAAGTTAATATGGGGTACTATGGCATGTTATACCTCATTGTAAAGCTGATTTTCTCAGGAGAAAAGACACATAATTTTGTTCTAAACATTGAACCCAGGGCACAATTAAGAGGAAGCAAGGTAATAAAAAGCTTCACTCACTTTTGATCCAGTTTTGTAAACTACATAATCCAAGAAATACTTAGTTACAAATGTAGTAGAAGCCTAAAAAAACAGTCCCCTCTGGCTCTGTAATGGATTGGTCAACATGTTTTATTTTACATCATTGGTAGGAATCATTTAAACAACACTGCTGCTGTTCTTAAAATTGTAAATTATAAACATATTTACACATGCTTTGGTATGACGTAAAGACACAAAAATGATTGTTGCTGCAGGAATGTTCGAACGAGTAACAATTTGGGCAAAGCTATACACCATACGTTCATTCCAGTGCCTGTGACTTACATGCTTAGTAGGTTCTCCATAGCTATCAATCGACTGGTTCGCAAATGTTGTTCCCAATACCATACAGTTGCACTATTAGCGTAATTAAAAGGGACATTATGCAACTTTATGTGGACAAAAAGGAGATATTTTTGCATATTTTTTTAATGCACATTTATCAACATGTATGGACATTGGTCATCCCGCTCCCTATGAACCAATGGCTTCTATGTGTCTGTTTATTACTGTATTTCCTGAGTTGGAACGGTGTGATTCTCAGATCTGATGTTGGCAAATCGGCAGCTTTGTAAAGTCCTCCGAGATGACTGCAGCTGTGGTAAAGGGCTACACCAAATTGATTGAATTGAATTGAATAGAATTGATTGGAATGTTTCCCCGGAGCTCTGTAGACAAGATACAACCCATAAAATGTAACTTTTTTCTCCACATAAAAACTTGCATACTGCACCTTTAAGAGTCAGCACACAAACCGCCAAATGAGCTCCTTTGAGTCCATCAGTGCGTTCATTCATTACAGTAAAAGCTGGACTCAAAGGATTTCTCACTGAAGCACCATTAAATAAGTGCAAGAATCTGTAAACATCCTCTCTCCCTTTGTCACCAAGAATACAATTTTAAAACTAATCCCTTCCATCAACATCCCGGAGATATTGCAAGGTAAATGCCAGGAGCTGCTTCATAACATGCCTCTGCTGGATTTAAGCCACTTCCTCTCTTCCTCTGCGTTTGTTTCAGTAGCAGGTGCGCACACAGAAGATAAAGACGATCACCAGGGTTATAATGGTGAGGGCTGAGAATAGAAAGATCAGTCCAGCAAAGAGAGGGTCTGTCAGGGGGAAGTTTTCCGTCACATCAGAGGGGATCATGTTGGAGAGACTCAGCATGTAGCCCAAACTCCACCCCACGCTTGTGTTCTTTATCTGTGGAAAATGGAAAAAAAATATATCATTGTTTTATGTATTATTTGTTCAGTTACTTATTTCTCCTGTTAACCAAAATAAAAAAATGATACTAATATTCTCTGTTTACAATTCTACTTGGCCATAGTTCCAGGGTCAGCAAGATTTTAACAACAAAAAGTGCATTGGCATGAGCGTATACAGTATGTCACAGCCAGATCCCGTCAGACATCTGAAGCTAAGCAGGGCAGGGCCTGGTTAGCGCTGTGATGGGGGACCTCTGGAAAAACCAGGTGCTCTAAAGTGCCAAACTGTCAATGTGTCCTTTGGAAAGACACGTAAGCCAATAATGAATCTGGTGTGTGTAAATGATTGGTGGTGGTGGTCTGGGGGACAGATATCACATACTGGTTGCCTCGCTTGTCAGTGTGCCCCAGGGCAGCTGTTGCTACAGTAGTAGTTTATCACCACTGTGTATGGAGCAAGCCCCGGTGATCCAAGCTAATGCCCTATTCAAATCAGTCTTGTTCAGTCTGCAGTACCGTGAGAATCCCCTGAGCACATGGGTCCTTCAGCTCCAAGCTAGTAATACCCCATGCAGATACAGTATTATAATAGATCGATGGTATGGAGTGAATGAATAATGCAGAGTGAGTCATCTTTATGTATCCAAAAAGCGCTATATAAAACCAATGTATTTTTATAAGTAACTTGATTCTGATTTATAATTGTTTCCCTATATTTTCACAAAATACTGAAGATATGGAAGTATGAAGGAGTTTTAGAAACATCTTATGTTTATTTTGTATAACAGCAATGTATGTTTCGCCATCTTTGTCTTAGCTCCCCCAGAAAATGAATGGAATACATGTTTTAAAAGCACATAGTCTGTTAATTTTCCTATTCGGGTACAGTTATAAATCATGGGAGAAAATAGTAATTAAAGAGTTCTGAATGGATCAATCCATCACTTGATGAACGCTCTGCTCCGCACACTAACCCCATTGTTGGAGTTTGGAAAGTGGAAGATTGCCAGCTGTACTTGAGAGAACGCTGCTTGTTTGAAGTTAAACGTTGCGTCATTTTGGAAACGGCGTCTGTGGAATGTTGTGTGAGTCATGAGAGAGAAAGACAGGGACTCTCCGCCGGGGGCCGAGGGAACTCCTTTGTGGAGTCTGCTCAGTGCCCTGCAGCTCCTTCAGAAATGTGTGTGTGATTGTGATGGGTGGTCCTGTTCCCATGTGCGTGCTAAATATGAAACTGAGAATTGGGCCTTGGTGAGATCATCAAATTGTCACCTACACAAACTGTTGCTTTGATCCAGATAAAAAAGCACCTTGTATAAATAGTGCAATGAACAAAACAAAATCAGGTCAAACTTTAACACAGTCAATAGTGCATTTAATTATAATGTGAAACTATTATACAATACACTCATTACAAGCAACGGGAGATACAGAATAGCTCTGACGTTGATCATCGGCTCACAGCTTGTAAAAATCACAAATAAATATCTCAAATGTCAGTATTTTTTTTTATGGACTGTAGGCCGAAACTCTGCATGTAACAGGCCTATGTTAAACCTTAGTTTGACATTTTAAGTTTAATATAAAAAATAAACACACTTGAATGATCTTCACGTTTACCTGTATGTGATGTTTGTGTTGTTGATTTGGGGTATTTTTATGTGTAAAAACATTCCTCTAAACACCACCTTCTACAGCATTACACTTGAACTGCCCTCAAACCATTGTGTGTCTCTGTGGAATAGATTTAAGAGTGAAATCAAAAGGTATCAAATTCCATCCTGTTTTATGGACAGAAACAGACTATTAAGGCCAACAAAACTCCTATGTGTATTTCTGTTTCCCTTTAGGACTAATGCAGTGCCTTAAGTGTAATCCCTGAAAGGCTTGCACATACAGACTGACAGACATTCCTTGCTTTTATAGATAGATATACATGTAACCGTCAGTCTGGCATTTTGCTTGAGGTAAAACTATACATCACAGTCATTAAAACTGCCTCAGAGACGTCAGGAGAAATGTTTGTCATAAAAACATTCAGTTTTGCTGAAACATACCTCTTTTTCAAAACGAATGTTGGACCAGGTGGTTTCGTCAAACTTGTATCCTTCCGTCAGCAAGAAATTGCTATAGTGGCCTGCAGTACAGTAGGTCTTGAGATATTTGTCTGAGATCCGGGTTTTTTCTTTTTTTAACTGGCACAAAAATGAAGATAATATATAATCAGACAGGTCAGTAAAAGGGTAAAATGACACAACTAGCAAAACATTGTGACAGGTAACCAAGGCAACCATAACTGATATTGCCACCACCAGTGTCTAGGCCCCAAGGATCATATTCTGCACCCAGGCGCAGATCCATTCAGAGCACGGCCACAGCCGGGGCCTAAGCTCCAAACCAATAAAAAAACTCAATCCATAAAATCTCACACGCATAAAGAACTCTTAAACGCATCTTGTCTCTTGTAGTCTCTCCAGGTTGAAATATTGTTATAACGATGTCTCATATGTTAGCCATAATAACTTTTGATCTGTTGTCTCTCCTGCAGTGAGTAAAAGTGTCTGCTGCATTCTTAATCTTAAAAACAAAATGCATAATGGCCACAGAAGATTATCCGATGCCGTAAGCAGCATGAGCTGCTCAGTTGCCAATCCAGGTAGTTCAATTATCAGAGGCAGTGTGTGTGCTGTCTGCAGAGAACAACTCTGGCAACGCATTGGATTAAATGTATTTGTCATCACATTTTACACCAAAAATAGCCATAACCACACAATATTCAACAGTACAATAATAGCGCAATAATACAATAGTAGTAAAAAATGTGATTCTAGGACATATGGTAAATGACTGTCCCTTCCCCGCTCAAACTAGCCTCCATCACACCCCTCCTGAAAAAACCCGGCCTCAACCCTGACAACTTGGACAACTTTCGACCCATCTCCAACCTCCCGTTACTGTCAAAAATCCTGGAACGCGCCGTCATCAACCAAATCCACCAACATCTCCACTCCTCCCATCTCTTCGAAACATTTCAATCTGGATTCCGTACACACCACAGCACAGAAACAGCACTTCTCAAAGTTACTAACGACCTCCTCCTCGCTGCCGACTCTGGTTCCTTATCCATCCTCCTTCTCCTCGATCTCTCCGCTGCATTTGACACAATAGATCATTCCATCCTCCTCCACCGTCTACAATCCATTGGAATTTCTGGCACAGCACTCCTCTGGTTCACCTCTTACCTCTCCAATCGTCTCCACTTCGTGTCTGTCAACAACTGCAAGTCCCACACTTCCCCCGTCACCCACGGTGTCCCCCAAGGTTCCGTGCTCGGCCCTCTCCTCTTCACCATCTACATGCTTCCCCTCGATCAGATCATCCGCCATCATGGACTCCATTTCCACTGTTATGCCGATGACACGCAACTCTACATCTCCACCAAATCCATCACCCCGGTTATTCGCTCCACCATCGAAAATTGCATCTCCGACATTAAAACCTGGATGGACAATAACCTTCTCAAACTCAACAGTAACAAAACAGAACTCCTCATCATCAGCCCCAAAACTCTCCTGCCCTCTGTCCAGAACTTCACCCTCCTCATTGACGGTCACACTGTCACCCCCTCATCCTCTGTACGCAACCTTGGCATCATATTGGACTCCACCCTTTCATACCAAACCCACATCAAACACATCACCAAAACCTCCTTCTTCCACCTCCGCAACATTGCCCGCCTCCGCCCCTCCCTTACCCCGTCAACAGCCGAAATCCTCATCCACGCATTCATCACCTCCAGACTCGACTACTGCAATAGCCTCCTCTACGGACTTCCCACCACTCATCTCCAAAAACTGCAATACATCCAGAACTCTGCAGCCCGCCTCCTCACCCACACCCGGTCCAGAGAACACATCACCCCTGTCCTCCAGCAGCTCCACTGGCTCCCCGTTCAATACCGCATCCATTACAAGCTCCTTCTCCTCACCTACAAGTCCCTCCATAACCTGGCCCCGCCCTACCTTACTGAGCTCCTACAGCAGCACCAACCCACCCGCCGCCTTCGCTCAGCCAATTCCAACCTCCTCACCCCCATCACCCGCACTAACCGCCGAACCTTGGGGGACAGAGCTTTTGCCATTGCCGCCCCAACCCTCTGGAACTCACTCCCACTGCTCATTAGAAACTCCGACTCACTATCAAACTTTAAATCAGTACTCAAAACCCATCTTTTCAAACAAGCTTTTCCGTAAACCCCTTTTTATTATTGTATTTTACTCCCCATGTGAAGCGTCTTTGAGTGTCCAAGAAAGCGCTATATAAGTTTGATGTATTATTATTATTATTATGACTGTATATGGCAGGTTACAGGATATTTTTCAGACATTGAATTGGACAAGTGTAGTGATAAAATTGTGTTTACCTGTGCCCAGGGTGTGTGGCAGAATGTATCCGTTGAATTGCGGAATTGATCAAGAGTTGCATAGGCCCCCATGGCTCTGGCTGTGAAGAATAATCCAGCATACGCCTGAGATGTTGAGAAATTAAAAAACATATCAGTTTTTAGAACACGTTTTGCGAACATGACATGTATTCCTCTTTATACCATGAACTTCCCGACGACCGGAGGCTGCTCCACTCCGTTGAAAGAGCAGTGGTCGGCATCGCAGGTGTCAAAGTCAAAAATCATCTTCACAAACTGTTTGCATTCTTCTGAGTTCCCTGTTCCCACCATGGAGAAATTCTGGTCCTGTGTGTATTTCGAGGGCATCTTTGTGCATGTGGTGTCGTAAATTTGTGATGCTTTGAGGGTTGCGTTTAAGCCAATCGCGTAGCAGGGGTTCAGGATGAGGTCTGGGTTGGATGCTCGCTGAAACAGAAAAAAGTTTTGTGCTCACTGTTTTGTGTGTCATCTTTAGGACATAGTGTCACAGGTGTAAACGGGCAGTAGAAGTCTTGAGGCTAAACGCTTCTCTCTCAGGCAACAATTAGCACCTAAATTCTCTAAACACATTCAGTTTCAGTTCAGTATATTTCAAAGTGGTCAATACAATTTTATAAAACACATGATTAAACATGAGTAAAAAAAGCCAAGGAGGCTATTTTTCATCTGTTGTCCTGTTTTATCCTATCTTATCATGTACTGTAGATTGTGTGTACTTGCTGTGTACTTATATATAGTATAGTTTGTTATGAAGATTTTTGAATGTATGTCTTTATATCTATTTTTTATTTTTATCACTTTTTGCAGCATGAGTCATAACAAAAATCCTAGTTTGCGTCTTCTGGTTATACTTCCCTTTGTCACTTCCTGTTGCTACCATAAAAGTGTCTCTGATTCTGATAATGTTTTTTGAGAAGCGGGTGACCTAAGATCTATGTATTCAAGGATATTAGAACTACTATCTGCATTATCTTTTTTTCCCCAGTCTATCATGATTATTTTTGGATGAATCTCTAAGAAATCAGAAATCTGTTTTGTTGTTATTTGTTGTTGTATATTGTCGTTTTTTTGACACTTTTGAGGGTGTGAAGCATGTATGCCTTTTTATTCATTGTATGTTTGATGTGATTTTTGTTGTACAGTTTTGTGTTTTTTATGTATGGTCTTGTTTTTTGTGTATACTTTTTTTAGTAATATTAACTCATTGACTTCCAGACGTTTTTTTTTTCCCCCACTGATTCTCAAGACCCACAGAAAATTATTTTCTTAGGTTACGTGATTTTCTTTCTATATTTTTATATATTTTTTTATATTTTGTGTAATAAAATAAATAGATAAATAAATAAAACACATAAGACAAGACATTGAAGACAAACAAAGAGAAAAAAGAAATAAAGAAAAAAAAGGTTACGTGAAATATGAAACCAGATTCTTAATAATAACAAGATATATATATATATATGTAAAAAAAAGAAAAAAAGAAAATTCAGAAATCCGTAAACCCTAATTTGCACTAATCAGAAGTCAGAACAAAATGCATATCTGCCAATATTCAAATCCAGGTTAAAAAATAGTATACGGTAAAATAAAAAAAATAAAAACATCTTTGTGAAGAATTATGACAGATGACATTTGGCCTCGATATGATTACTCAGGGTGTGCAAAAAAACCGGAAATGTGCAAAAAACAGGAAATATGCAGAGATGTTCAAAAGTTTCTCTAAGCGTACCACTAAAGGATTTTATCTTGACTTTTTAAATGTACTTTGATTGTAACGCACTTTGAGACGCCTTGTCTTTGAACCTTGTGTTGTGGGAGGCAGAGTGATTAACCACTTCATGTATGCCGATGACCTGGTTGTGCTCAGTCCGTACAGTGCAGGACTTCAGCAGCTCCTCAAGATATGCTCTGAGCACGGTCTTCAAAATGATATAAAATATAACTCTAGTAAAAGCTTCTTCATGATTGTGAGGACAAAAAATGACACAAAATCTGTATTTCCTCCATTCTCCCTATGTGGTAATGCTCTAAATGTCAGTGAGGAGGTAAAGTACCTTGGCCATTACATATGCAGTGACCTCACAGACGACCGGGATATACACAGACAGAGATGTAAACTGTATGGCCAATCCAACATGCTGGTCAGAAAGTTTAACATGTGCTCTGTGAATGTTAAAACCTCCCTGTTCCAATCTTTTTGTGCTCCCTTATACACAGCCCAACTATGGCGGAGCTATAAGCAGGCCAGTTTGCAGAAGTTAACTGTTGCCTATAATGACTCGATGAGGATGCTGTTGAAGATCCCCAGACACAGTAGTGCGAGTCAGATGTTTGCTGAGTGCAGGGTGTGCTCCTTTCCTGCCGCCCTACGTCACTGCTACTATAGGTTCATGCGTAGAGTGGTGAGGGTGCCTAATGCTATTGTACAGTCCCTGGTTTGTCCTTACATTAGCTCAGTCAGGTTCACTTCTTTGCTCTGGAGTCACTGGCGTGCTTCTCTGTATGTGTGACTTGGTCTAAATATGTGAATATGTGATTACTATGTGTGTTTTAACTCCGTTCTGTTTTTTTTTTTTTTACTTTTCTTTCATTATTCTTAGCTATGGATCCTGTGCTTGCATGTGAGTCCTTAATAAAGTATAAATAATAAAAAAAATACTGAACTATATCCTCTGATTGCTCAAAGGTCATAAACAAACTCCAGCCATCCGCCCAGACAACACGCAGTTTATTATTAATGCATGTGTTGTAACTACGTAATGCTACCGTTCAGTGTGCGATCAATTTATAACATAATGCATCTTCCACTTGACTTTTTCACAGCACAGGACATTGTTCACTAATCAATGTTCTATTAGGTATTAATGGCTGTTGGCTGCTGAGCTTGTGCTAATGCTGTGTATGAATCCAACCCCACGGGAGCCACACTCATCAGAGTTTACCTGCACTATCTTGTCCAGGACTTTTTTCTCGGCCTCGTTCTTGCCGTAGCAGAGGAAGCTGTGGGTGTAGACCGTATATGTGTATCCATACAGTTTGACGCGTAGGTAGTCTTCCCCCGTGAGGTTCTGTTCCACCGCAAAGGCAATCTGTGTGGAGGCCCCGCCCAGGTCCATGGAGCCGACCGTCTCTCCGCCTTCTGGCCTCACGTATTTGTTCCATAGATTTTTCTATAAGACACAAATCAATTTAGTCACTTGCATCACGTGACCATGTTGGATCTGTTATAAAATAATGTGTGTGAGGTCTAAGCACTCTATTGAATAGTTAAAAGATAGGCCAACAACATTACTGTGTCAGACAAACTTAAGTATTTTAAGGAAGGAAGTCAGGTTAGAAATAACATTCTAATTACAGTATGATAGTACCTTTTTAGAGGGTCAGACTGTGGGTGTACTATAATGAGACAGACCTTTCCCCAATGACCACAATTCCTGCTTCCTAGATTTAAAAAAATTGTTGTATAAAAATCCCTGAAAAAATATAAAAACAAAAATTCTATATTTGAAAAAAAAAAAAAACCTAGGCCTGATACTTGAGGACTACATGTTTAAAACTACATATCCCTCTGTTAATTAATGTTAAAAAAAAGTTGTTGAATTAGACGTTAATTACAGTTATTTGAGGAACTTTATTATAGGCTTGAGAAAAGTCACAGATTTTTCAAATGGTTTACCTCAAAAAAGTTCTCCATGATGTAGTTCACTGTGATCCATCCGTACAGGCCTTCCTCCTGCCCACTCATGATGGAGGCGTTTTGGAAGTTAAAGGGGAGGCCACTCAGGTACTCTCTGAGATCTGCCATGACCTTCAAGCCTCTGGTTTTATTACTTTCCCTTAAAAATAAGGACATACATCAGATCTCTTGTAAACAAAGTCAGAATTCTTGCCTAAATGTGTATAGTAAGGAAGATTTTACTCTAGCAATCTCATCCCGGCTGTAGCTCCCAAAAACAGAGGGGTCTTTTTACGTTTCTCTTCAGGAATTTTTTTGGTGATGTTGGCTATACAGGCTCTAAAACTTTTCCACGAAGCAGCATCCTTCTCTGGATCAACACCCATCTCTGAGATGCCGTCACCTGTGACCACAAGCCCACGGTGACATCAGCCCTCGATGAGTGAGTATTTGTGTTTAAAGATCACTTACCTGCAACTCTACAGTTCATCAGTTCTTTCACCATCCCTGTCTCATTCTGTTTTTCTCCAGGCCACTGGTACAGGTAAATAGTTGAGCGAGATGAACCAGAATCTATCACTATGCCATACTGAAAGGAAGAATGTTTGCTGTCAGGAAATGTGCCTCGACCATATTTGGAGTTGCCCTTGTCTCAAAGCATCTGGACAGTATCTGCTCACCTGCAGTTACCCAGACCTCGCAACACTTAAAATCTGAATTTATGTTTTAATACAGATTAAATATTCACCTCCGTATTGTAGGAAATAAAGCTCAATTTATCCTGGATGACGGCAACAGTGATCAGAGCTGCGATGCTTCCCAAAAGGAGGAACAGCACCAGGGCGATGCGACACTTGTACCCTGCGGACTCTTTCGAGGCCATTTCCTGTGGATGGGAGATGAGGTGAGCACTTTGGTTTTCCATAAAAGCCTTTAAGTTATAATAGAAAAATACCAGGAGGGAAGAGAGTGGGCAATAATGGAATTATCTTCAAATAACTTCACAGGATGCTCAGGGAGGCTGAGAGAGTTATCGACCTTTTCTTCATTTGATTGCAATATATTTAACTGGGTTTATAATTACAGATTTGCTGAAACTGTCAGCAAATCAACTTTCATGATTTCAAACACTGTTAAAAGTTTGGAATATTCTTTATGGAGTTTTAGGTGATACAAATCATTCTCATAACAAGTATGAGTCAAGTCTGTGGAGACCGGCCTTAACTCTCCAGACCTGACTCATACTTGATGGTAAGAAGCTTTTTAAAAATAAATATTGCGGCGGTTATCAGCTCTGTTTAAAACCACAAAACTTGATTTGAAAGTGGTTTGATTGCCACTTATATGGAAATGATGTGATGGACATTAGACAATAATCACTGAGATTTGACGATGTGGTGCCTGTCGTGCTTTGTGAGGAGGTGGATGTGGCACTGCTGGTCCCAAAGGACTGTATCAAATGTAATCATTCGGACAAAATCATTTATGAGATGGGAATGTATACGTTATTATTCTTCACTGATGATCCCAGATGTCCCTGTTTCCTGACTTGCCCTGATGTGAGCTTTGAGGAAGACAAATTAACCTTTGTACAGACGCATGTGCTTCCACTTTGAGCAGAAGGTGAGCGTGAAGCATGTCCTGGAACATGAGATATTCATGCTTTTTCTGACACGATATTGAAATTTGCACTAATCTTTTAATACGGACCGTTTGTATGCCTTAACTGTGCTTTCTGCAGGTTTAGTCAGATATAATGTAAAGGTCTATGTCGATAAAGCCACGCCTTTTTCCATTCTGTTTCATTTGACTTTTTAATCATCACAAGAGGCATCTTTAAGCCTCATAAATCCCTACAATAACAGTGTCTGGGACGTATGATGTGCTGTGAATGCACTCAATGTTGTCATGGGTACTTTGTTGAAAACAAGCAGAGCAGGTGATGATAGACAAGCTGTAATTTGAACAACTATAACATACCTCATGCCACAGATGTTTTTAGTCGGGTTCTGCCCTTTTGGGGACAGCACATAACCAGTGTAATGCAGTTCAGAGGCATGTGCCTCTCCTAAGCCCATTGATCTCTGGCTTTACTGGTGGCTCCTGGTTTGTCTTTAAAGTCACTGCTGTGTCCTGCTGCTTCAGTGACTTCATAGGAGCGCATTAAGCTGTTGTGTAAACTGGCTGTTTGTAACGGCTGGTTTCCAAAAGTCAAACACACAAATTATGACCAATATGTTTATGTCAGGGCTGTAAACAGTTTGAAATGTTGGGCCAAAATGAATTTTTCCACAGACGGAGAACCAAACATATCTGTGATTTGTTTAAGTGTTAGTCCTCTCTGATGACAAATAATGATCCAATCAGAGGGTCAAATTCTCTTCAATGATTGTTTTCTTAAGGGCAGAGGAGTGAGGACATCTCCTGTCCAGGCTTTGAACTGTAACAATCATGACTAACTGCTTCAAATGGTCCTTTAATCAGGATTTTATTCACATATAAAATCCTGATTAAAGGATTAATCTGAATTGTAAATGCTGACGGTTAAAATCAGAAGTTTGTATTCATGCTGTACTTCTTATTATGGTAGTTGAGAAAAATAACAATGGCATCCTCCTCTATTCTGCATTTAAAGAGACAATATGGAATAGCATTTACTGACTGCTATTTATTCATTTATTGATTTTATTTAACCAGGAAAGTCTCAATGACATTTTTGATTTTTTCTTTGGCTCCCAAGAGAGAGGACAAGTAGGGTCAAGGAGGGTTTATTTTATTTTTTTTATTTTTTTTACAAGTTTTTAGTGGTAGGGAAAACCGGAGCGCCTGGAGGAAACCTACACAGATACAGGGAGAACATGCAAACTCCACACAGAAATGTCTGAAGGTGGAATCAAACCCAGGACCATTTTGCTGTGAAGCTCAAGGGTTAACCACAGTGCCAATGACTGCTCTTGCCTAAAGAAAAGGAGTCATGTAATATTTGTCTTTATTAATTCATCAGCTTTAGTGGCTTTAGTCTTTCATTTGATCAGAATTCTATGTAAATTGTTAATTTTAAGGTTTTGAATCTTCTTTATACTAGGCAGTAACTCAAATTGGCAGATATGATCACATTTGTTCACATAAAACTTCTCTTAAACTGAATGAGGTTAAATCTAAAACCTGAACTGCAGATTAATGTTCTGAACTAACTATTTAGTTCTTAAAGTGACGGCAGTCTAAAAACACACAGGGATCTTGCATGTAGGAGCTCGCCCAGGTGCTCATCATGGCACCGCAGTAACAGCTCTAACTCATTTCACAACACACTTTTCAACTGAACACACCACAACGCATGCAAAAAAAATGCACAATGCTGCTGGTTTCTCACCTTTAGCAGAAGTGGCTTGTGGACCCCAGCCTGTTTGCAAAGTTCAGAGATAGAAGTGAGGAGTGTGTAGTGAGTGAGAAGGATGTGAAGAATGAGCAGCCCACAGGCACAGGAGTCTTGTAGAGCCTGCAGCAGAGAGGGAGTGCTGGGGACTGGGGAGGAGCCTCAACGTCTACCCCACATTTGCCCCGTGCTTATCTGGAGCAGTGCAAGGTGTGAGGTTCCCCTTCGAGTCACTGTCAGAATGATTGAGTCACGTGAGAACTGTGTGGTTTAAATGCAAATCAATGTATATCACTGGGATTTGGTTTTGGATGCCTGTAACAAATGTGCTGGCATTCACACCCAACATAACTGCACAGTGTTCAATCCAGGATATTAATATCGATCAATCAATTTTTATTTGTAGAGCGCCTTTTCGGACACGGGGCAACACAAAGCGCTTCACAGTCCACATCATAAATAAAGCATAAATCATCACATAAAAGCAACCATTAAAACACAATTAAAAAACACAGGTCCTTCAGTTGTATGCACAGGCAAAAAGAACTGCCTTAACCTGGCTTGCCTCACATTTTCAGGGAGACTGTTCCAGATTCAAGCTGCATACATCTGAAACTCTGCCTTCCTATGATTGTCATGGTTTAGATTTATTTCCTGTTTTATTTTGAAATGTGTTACCCTGTGTGTCTTCTTCAGGAGTACTTTCTGTTTGTGTGATGACGTGCCCCGCCCTCCTGTGTCTCACCTGTGTCTTGCCAGTCTAGTATTTAAACCCTGTGTATTCCTTCACTCCCGGTTCCGTCATTGTCATACCACGTCTGCTTTTGTTCTTGTCCTCATTCTCTGTGTTTTTGCTGGATTTTGATTTGCATTACTTTTTAATAAATCCAATTTTTTGCATGTCTGCCTTTTTGGGCTCATTTAATTTTACCCACATAATGATATGTTTTTTTTACAATTTGTTAATAATGCACCGGTCTCTTGCTGCTTATTCGTGTCTAAGCTTGCCCCAGGTTTGCGTTAGCTTATCCAATCTGAATCGTGATAGGGCTGAAAGCAGAGGACACCTTTCCCATTTGTTAGTTCAAAGTCAAGACATCCTGCAGATACAACAGGATACATGGTTGTACTTATGTTATGCTATTTGCAAACCTTGTGTATTCTGTCAGGTGGGTGGACTGCCCCTTGAGATAACAAAGCAGCCTCCGCTTTCTTTGTGTTTTAATAGTTCCCAAAGATTCCACAATCTGATCCCTGGGTCCTTCCCGATATGATACAATTTGCAATATTATCTATCTATTCTCAAACTCTTCTCGGTAGAAAAATGCAGAAAAGCATATTATATTTGCATCTTTATAAAGCAAATGTCCTGTGAGTATGATTCAGAATGCGTTATATCTATATATTTATGTCCTTGGATCATTATGACGCTCCTTTGAGACGACTGTGACGGTGGGTGATACAAAACAAATTGATTTGATTGGATAAAAACTAACCCAGCGTATTTGCGTTTGAGGTCAAGTGTGAATGTATTTATGTACTGTCCGTCACCAAGGTGTGTAGGCAGTGTGTGTGTGTTCTTTGGGAGCTTGTTGCCATGGAGATTAGTTTGATTGTCAGCTGATTTCCTCTCTTGTGGGTTTTATGATGAATGATTAAAGAGTGGCATGAACAGAACCCAAACTAAAGTGCATTGAATGAGAAAGCACAGTAACAAGTGTGAAAATACTCTAAGGCCTTGCAGATGCAGAGTATGGTATATAATGATACTTATTGAGATATGATACGTGAAATATTGGATACAGCGTTGGCTCTTAAACCCTTGTGGTGGTGGAGGCTGATGTAGTGATCCGATGAGAGGAAGAGTGACGTCCGACTGTTGACCTGGTGACCACAGGAGGCGGGTTGCAGCAAGAGCTGAAAGTGTTGGCACAGAGGAAGGCTGGCACAGTAGGTGAAAGCAGATAGTTGCAGAAGCACAGGTGTTTTGTAGAGGAAGAGTGAAAGTGAAGAGGTGGAATAGCGATCACAGGTTACATTACAATCTGAACAGTCTCTATATTGTAGCTCCATGAGTAAGGACTTTTTCAAAACAGGTAACTATAATAACTTATTTCAGTTAAGTAATATTATTTAAGAAAGCCCAGGGAACTACTTTTGTCAAAACTAGCCTTGATCTATGTGAAAACAAAGGCCACATGGACAAATGGAAGCTACTATTTTGTGTTTGTGGTATCAGACAGAAAAGTTAGTAAAAATCATCAAGTTTAAGTTTGTATTCATAATGTAACTATTGTTGCTATTAGTGTTGATACAAAAATATGTATTGTCCCAGATTGCATGTTTGTTTAAATATAGAGTTTAGAAATCCTCTTTATAGAATTCCATTGAAGAAAGATGGTGCTGCATTCCTCTGAGTGATTCCAGCAGCTCTGCAGACAACAACACAACAGAGCGTGTACAAGACGGCACATTATGGACTTCAATTTGGACCCATTCCAGTGCACAGCTCACTAATTGTCTGTGTGTCTGTGAATCTGGGCTTTCTAAATGCACTAACACCCCGATGAGTCCGAGCTCTGTTGGCGGAAATGTAGTTGGGCTTTTGTGGCAAGATCAATTAGAACAGAAGCACTCCCAGTCCACAGACGGAGACAGACACTCCTCAGTTTTACCATTTGGCTTAAACTTTTACGTCTGTGGACTACATATATTGGACTTGAGATTATACTGTATGTGTGTGTTTTGCTTATTTTTGTACTTATTAATGAGAGCGTCTTGAGCCTATTCCTTTATAAAGTGACCAATAATTCTGCTTAAAGATAAGTTCTTACTGGTGGTAAAATATATAGTAATAAAGTTTCCATGAAGGCAGGCTGACTAAAATTTAATCAGGGAGTGTGCAAAAAGTTTATCAATTTTTCATATGGTATTTTATTGACCTTTTCAAACCTGTCCTGCTGAGATTTCAGAATTTCATGTTCCGGTTTCCCAAGCTGCGGTTATGCGTGGATCCCTTTGGAGAGTTTTATTTCAAGACAAAACTATGAATAGGTAAAGCATCTTATCCATTATGAGACCATGTTTCTTCCGCCCTCTATTTTCCAGTTGTCTTGAAGAAGGAACTAAGGCCAAGGCTCTCACTTCACCGTTTGATATACATTCCCACCCGCACCTATGGTCATGAACTATAGGTAATGACCGAAAGGACGAGATTGCGGATACAAGCGGTGGAAAAGAGCTTCCTCCGCAGAGTGGCTGGGCGCTCCCTTAGAGATAGGGTGAGGAGCTCAGTCACACGGGAGAAGCCTGGAGTAGAGTCGCTGCTTCTCCACATCGCGAGAAACCAGTTGAGATGGCTCAGCTGCGGTGGCCTCCTGGATGCCTCAGTGTTCCGGGCATGTCCCACCAGGAGGAGACCCCGGGAAAGACCCAGGATCTGTTGAAGGGACATAGTCTCTCAACTGGTTTGGGAACGCCTCGAGATACGCTAGTGGATCTGGAGGACGTGTGTGTGGATATGGAAGTCTGGGTGTCTCTGCTTAGACTACTGCCCCTGTGCCCTGGCAACGGATGGATGGGTGGATATTTTGCAAGTTTTGTTTTGATGGCTTTGACTTTGAAAGCCATCTTAATCTTACTTATCGCAGTTCATAGTACTCCCACAATCTCTAATGAGACACACAACAAGATGTTCATTCAAGAGCTGTTCAAAAGTTGTTCAATTGACTTCCAATCCAATTAATGAAGGAAACACTTAGTATAATATCAGTAAAATTAGTTTTAGTACAAGACTGAAGTCGTTGAAATTGCATGCTGTAGTCATGACTTCAGATTCCCTAATGCGTTGGTGCTGTTAAACTGTAATGTGTTCCCAGCTAATTCTTCCCCAGTGTTTCAGCCTCAATAACCCAGATGGTGGAAAGTGGAGGGCCTGGGCCACATGAGCGGTCAACACTGTCTTTTACACAGCGCTAAGTGATGTTCTTTTAAGCTGTTTTGTGCCTTGGTAATTCTTGTTGAATGGTATTGATTTGTGGGAAGAAATGTAGTGACAATATTTTACAGTAAAAAACACACAACTAGTCTAACTCGTGTGTCCTTTGAAAGTGAATGGGTTTGGAGCTGTAAAAATGAAAAATAACAAATGATTGTAAGATAGAAATGAGGATTCTGCTGATTTCCCTCCAGTCAAGAAAGTAAGTAAGAAATATTTATTTATATAGCACATTTTTACAAACCAAGGTCACACAAAGCGCTTCACAATGTTCAGAGTTCAGATATTGTTTCACTCTCTCCACACACGGTGATGACAGAAGCGAGACGCAGAACACACTGGAGACTCTATTGTGCATGTTTTTAGTGGTAGGGGAGCACCCGGAGGAAACCTAAGCAGACACGTGGAGAACATGCAAACTCCACTCAGAAATGCCCTATTCCGACCGGGATTCAAACCCAGGATATCCACTTGTGCTTCAAGAAAGATGACAATTTACCGACAAAGGATCAGAGAATTAAACCCAGGAAATGCAATAAAAACAAACCCTTCGTCCACAGTCTCGGGATGACTAATGTCAATAAATGTTCATAACTTGGTGATTCGCTTCGAACCCATGTATTCAAATGACAATGTTCACTGTTTCTTCTATGTAATCATGATCCAAGAAACATGTACATTGTTTCAAATGTTTGTGTATACAGGGGTCAATTGTGAGTTGGAAAATGCCCTTACCACCTCCTGGAATTAAAAGTTTCCGTAGCTCTTTTAATGTTTACTCCTTGAAGAAAGCAACGTAATTTTTTATTTTTTGAAATCATCACTTGTTTTGAGGTTTTTGTTGTTGTTTTGTTTTTGAACCCCTAGTTTTTAATTATTATTATAGGTCTTTACCAAATGATTGTGATGCAGTTTGATGGTAAACATGCCTAAAACCAAGTGAGATGCCCCTTGAAGCCAGTTCCAAGCTTCAAGTTGATACAGTGACCCAAAAGGTTATCCACCAAATAGTTGAGGAAACCATTAAATGATTAACAAATATGTACTAGATTACTGCAAAATGGATTTCTGTCCATTTTGTGACATTGTCAAGGCTGTGTTAACACTTCTATTTACCTTAAACAAATGTCAGGGATGTGAAGCAGCCAGAGAAAGTGCTTGAAGGCCGAGGTGTGAAAATGTAAATGGATCTTATAATAGTGTGTGCAGGCAGTGCTTATGCAAGGGGCAGATCAGACGCACACATGTCATCCCGGTGTCAGTATCACTGGCATATTTTGGACCAAGGCATTGGATGAAAACTGACACAGACAGATAAGAGACTCGGTGATTAATAGTGACATCTGGTGTGTGAGTAGAGCAAATGCAATTTCGTTGCAAAAGTGTTCGTGGAAACACTAATGTTTACACCATCTGAAATATTCTTGAAAGGTGCACCAGGGACCTGTGCCAGTGATTAAGACTCCAAAACAAAACATTGCATTTTCAGTGGAGATGGTCCACAAATGTATACATGTCATCCATGAATTGGCTCAAATTCAAATTACCCAATGTGTTTCATGACTTATACAATTCAATCCAAATCATTTTATTTTTGTATAGCCCTATAGTATTTCACAACAGCATGTGTCTTGGAGCACAACAACAGATAAAAAAAATTAAGCGAGAATCAGTTTGAACACAGGAAATGCAATAATGTCTGTATATGTTCATAAATGTCCATAAATGTCCGCATCATCACTATCCTTAGACCTTCCTGCATCTGCAAGGAGCAAGTCAAAAACCCAGGGAGAAAAGAGCGCCCTTCGAGGCCCATTTAAGAGTTAGATCCCTCCTATGGACGGACAGGCTGTAGATCCAGGACTGAGTCTGTAGATCCAGGACTGAGTCTGTAGATCCAGGACTGAGTCTGTAGAACCAGGACTGAGTCTGTAGATCCAGGACTGAGGTAGTAACATTAATTACACCTGTCTGAATGTTTTTCTTGTATTGGATTTTATTCTGTAATATAAATTATGCACAGATTACATACATATTATCATTTAACAGATTTATTTTTTTGAACACAAACATGTATTCCAGAAAATTGAATATGAGATTAGATCTTCCAATCAATTAGCTGAGTAAAAGCAAAGAGCATCTATCCCTCACTTGGACCAGGCTGTCAGGGCTGTAAATACTGTGTGTTACACAGACTGAGGTGTGACCTTTCTGTTGCACACAACACAATGCTCCCGTTTATGGGACAATGTTTGTTCAGCTTTTGAACATACAGCTCAGTGAGGAGGCAAATATTACATCTATTTGCATTTCACGCCAAATACTGGCTCTATTGTTTATCAATATTAGGGCGCAGGCTTTACACTTTTGCTGTTTGACATATACAGTTGTATTCAACTGTATTCTTGAATATCTGCAGATATAGGACTGAGTCTGGATCGACAGATAAAGACCCCAACCAGGGAGCAGGGAGGCAGTGGTGACTGGGCAGGACAAGCAGCTCATTCCTCCATCCATCCCTCATATCATTCATTGCTCCTTGCCTTGCAAAAAAAAAAAAAACTAAACTTCTGTGTTTTTGTGTGAGTCTTTGTCCAGGTTATACTATAGTTTAGAATTATCTATTAACAGTAAACTCTTGGTAGACAACCTTTTCAAGGACTTTCACGATGAATGGTAGATTTGAGATGGAAAAATATGTTGATAAGTACTGTAGTATCCAGACTGCTCTTCTTAGAAGGGTCTGATGACTGCAGTTTTCAGGGCCTTTGGGACTGTTCCAGAATGAAGGGACATGTTTACTATCTGGGTGAGTGAAGGTGAAGTGAATATCTCTTGGACAGTTTTATCGACAGGTGAAAAATGAGTTAGCTCAAAAAGCGTCACTGGCTGTTGGATTATTATTTGTGAATTGGAGACAATGGCATTTTTTGCTTTGAAAAAATATGTAAATTCATTACATTTAGATTTGGATGAACTCTAATGGCACTATCTCTTTTGTGCCCCGCCCGGGTCTGCTTTAGTCCACGGCGCCTTCTCTTATTTTTCACTATTTTACCCTTCACAGGAGCGATTGGGTCCAAAACATTCAAAACTCTACAGGTGACAGAGTTTAACACTTACACATCGACAGTAGACACAATGCATTCTAAAAATGTATCAAGCCAATAAATCTATTTGATTTGTTTTATCTTTAAATTAAATATGCTTACTAAACATGCAAACGTTTTACATTTTCAATCAAAACTCAAATTTGCTTTCAACAAACGAATCAAAGTAGATCTCAGTAGTTAAAATAAAATAGAATATAGATATTACATTAACCAAGACCAACACTTACAGCCTTATGTGGGCCAAAATGACACTTAGGAGGGCTGCTCTTCTGCCATGACAGGACAGTCTATGGACAGGGCCAGGATCAGGACGGGACAGGACAGCATAACATCCTCAGTAGATTTGCAAACATAGCGCTCGCCACCAGAGGGCACTATAAACCGACACAAAACCAATTTTTTTCGAAAAATATAATTAAATAACCATAACACACAAAAACAGTTAAAAAAAAATTCTATCGATAAAAACCTCACAAACAGCAAGCAACATTTGAGCAGCCTTTTATTTCACAATCACAAGGTTATATGCATGGCGTACTGCTGAAAAACTGAAATTTGTGAGGTTTAGTTCAAAGTGTGTGTTTTTTAATGTTTTTTTTAAGGCTTAAGGTAAGACATTTAAAATATCTATGAAGAGCTGCAAAGTCTTGTTAGCTGAAAAATGTATAAAACACCAATTGGAAACAGATTCTTTCATAAGACATGTTTTGGAGAGGCACATACTGCAAACATTTCCAGTGATCCAAAGACAACATATACAGCATAAAACTTACATAAAATACCTTTCCATATACATGTAACAAATAAATAATATGTTTTTTTGGGTGAAAGTAAAAAACATGTATTTTTGGTAACATGGAAGAATGTCTTCATAATTTCCAATCTCGGACAATCTACAGACACAATCATCTTTGCATAAATACACATCATATTACTATAACACAGTATCTCACAGTGCAGTACAGCATGAATGTCCCCAAAGAGATGAGACCACAATATACCGAATGTAACCATCAATTTTAAACATGTGATGAGCAGGAATGTATTTTTTCTTTTTAAACATGACTATAATAATGTGTTGTTTCTGCCACAGGCCTGCAGGTCTGATGGCCTCCCTGCTGTCAGTTGATCTGCTCCTGCAGCAGCTCGAAGGTGAGCTGCGTGATGTGCTGCCAGGCGCTCTGCACATGGTGCGACTCTGTGCTGGCGGCGCACACGCAGAAGCGCAGCACCACACGGCCCGCCAGCTGACAGGGCACCAGGTGGATCTCCCTGCACTTTGTGATCCGCTTTAACAAGGCCTGGTTCAGCTCATTGGAGCCCTGGACACAGCACAAACATCAATAAGACAAATGTACTCCTGTTAAACTGAAAAGTCTTTGTCAATTACCTTGACTCTGAAACAGACCAGGCCCAGGACCACCTCAGCACAGATCTCAAACCTCTTGTCAGCTCTCACAAGACTCTCAAACTCTTTAGCCAGAGCCACGTGCTACAAGGATAAACAACACACACAATGAATGATACTTACACATTGTTAGTAACAACATGTAATATTTGGACAAATGATTAGATACTACATGTATTTGTATCAATAACTGTACTGTCTCTGTATCTGGAACAATTAAGTAGGAATTTTGTCTGCACCAACCGTACTGCTCCACATGGGGGCAGTGTAATACAGTTTAGAAGAAGATTCTCTCCTTCAACTCAGATTCAGGCAATGGTTTATGTTTCTATTGTTCATCAATATTCTGTGTTGGTTTGTATTTTTAAAATAAGTATTTATTAAATATAACTAGATGGACACTTTCTAACACATGTTCAAATGGAAATACAATTAGAATAAGAATGTAACACATTTCTTCCCCACACTGTTAAAGCTGATTTCATGAGACCCAGTGAATCATATGCTTGCTTTGTAAAATTATTATCCATTAAGTTTCCTGCCAGAATGACCACCTCGGCGCGTCCTCATTCTTCGCCAACAACTCACCATTGCCCAGAGCTTTTTATAAGCTTTTACCGCGGCAGCTTTTTGATGTTGTCATAATGTACATGTGATCTAAAATGACATTGCACTTGTCAAACGCAGGCTTTGACGTGTAAATAACGGAGCTGTATAAGAGAAAATGTCTAGTACATGTGTGTTAGTATCAGGCCTGCAGGGATTATTCTACTTCTGCTTGATTTCAAATAGAAAATAAACAGATAACAGAGAGGGCAGACGGGGCAGACTGCAGGGACAGGAGCGAAAGACAAACTGGAATTGACAGCATCATGGCAAGAATAAAGTGATAATGTTGAAGGGGTTCTGTGAAAACGGGCTGTAATAAATTCAAAATGGTTCTGTGTTTTTTGTGAAAGGTAAGATTCATGGGTTAGATTTTTAAAGATTTTTATGGGTTTAAGCGGACTAATTCTGGTTCACACTTAACCCCACTTTGCCTGAAGCCCCTGCTGGAAGATCTCAGCTCCAGTGGACTCACCACCTGCAGGAGGATCAGTGAGGGGCTGGTGCTAAGTGTACCCTTAATCCCAGAAATGGATTAAGGGGAAGAAAATGGATGGGTGGTTTTGGATTTGGACACCAACTTAACATTTTAGAAACATAGACTACAGTACTAACCCACTAGCTCAATGAAACCCAATAGGGAAGCGCTTATGGATACATTTTAGCTCCAACTCGCTCTGGCTCCTATTGACTTAGCTCACAGATTTGTGAGAACATTTACTGTTTGTCAATGAACTGTGATAGATTTTGTAACTCATTGTAACATGTTTGTCTGATGGTGATTTCAGGGGAACAAAACTAGCTAGAAACAAATGTATTTTTGCTGATTGGTTTCATATTACACATAGTCATAGCACACATTATTCTGCGGGTCTTGAAAATCAGTGAATTCATCAAAAACAGCTGGCAGTCAATGAGTTAATTCTCTGTCAAACAAGGACTATTGTAATTATAAGTAACATGTCTGTGTTGTAGGCTGTATGCTGTGGTGCTGCGTACCTTGCGTATATAAGCTTGCAGCTGTTTGATCCCAAACATGCGGAAGACAAACCACATTTTCAAAGAGCGAAACCTTCTTCCAAGTGGAATCTGCCAATGCTTTGGATCAAAGAAGACAGAGATGACTTCATACATTACACAGGTATTAAACTAAAATAAATTAGATTCATTTTTAAATTATCTTACCCGATAATCCGTGACCAGCCCTGTTAATGATAATTAAAAGGAAATGTTAGGAACTTTGATGAAAATATAGTACATGCACAAAAATAAAGGACACCTTATATGAATAACTGTTTAATTTTGATACAATCGAAACAATGGGCCCATTGTTTACTTTAATATTTGCTCAAATCTTCTGGCACATAAATGTAACTCGACCCCTTCTGTCTCAGTCCTTTTGTAATAGTATGATGTCATTGTGCCTCTATGACATCACGTACAGAGAAGATTTCTGCCTTTAAAAGCAAAAGTCTTGTTCCTAAATTAGTAATTTCTCATGTGAAATTACATTCTTTTCTTGGTTGTGTTTGCTGCTGCCTGTTTGGAGCTTTCCATGGTGCTGGAGAGAGTTTTTATTATACAGTATATAAATACAATTGTTTTAGTACAGATTTATTTGTTTGTGTGTGTGTGTGTGCGTGTGCGTGTGTGAGTGAGAGAGAGCTCTTTTAAGTCTTTAATTTTAATGTCCCAAATAATGCTCATATTTCTTCCACACAGATACAGATAGTTTACTGAGAATTTTATTGCATGTATGTTCTATAAATAAACTGTATATATTGTCCTCGTCCAGGTGGTTCTGTCATTCTCAGCCCGTCACTGACACAAGCCCTTTGTCCCACAATCCCACGGCTCATCTGTGCAGAATGAGGAGTCTGTTTGGTGACGCTAATGACCACTAATTAGTTTGAACAGAGAGTGTGTGAGTGCTGGGAGGCTGCTCTTTGTGTCTGTCCATCATATAAATGATGGTGGAGCTCACACATCTGCAGGTAAGGAGCGACTCCTCAATGCTAAAGGTACGGAGTGGTATGCACTTCATTAAATTAGGTCACAACTGCAAATCAGCTTAACTGTCAGTTGTGATGACGGATTAATGCGTGTATAATCTTGAACACACACACATGCAAAGAAACACACGTGCACACACACATGCACTGAAAAACACCTGTGCGCACACACACACACACACACAAACACAAACTCACCTGACTCCTGGTTGTCGTGTTTGAGGTAGAATGGCTCCACCTTGAATGCTCCAATGATATCTGTTCTTTTCTTCACCCTGTGATGTCACACATAAATAAATGAATATATTTATTTGTTATATATGCACCATATACCATAGAGGTGCATGATGAAGTCACACCTGTACATTAGTTAATATAGTATATAAAAGCAAAGCAAAATAACATTATGGTGTCACGTATTTTTATGTTTTGATTGTAGAAAACACACTTTAATGTCTTTATCACGACACAGAAACCCCTTTCCTGTTTTATTGTTTAGCTGTTGACACATGAAGCAGATGAAATTAATCTATTTTTACACTGCAAATACCAAGCGTAGATGGATGGACACATGATAGCAGATACTGCTGGATTTGGTTCACAGAATTGAAATAGACACACAAAGCTTAGAATAGCCAAACTGTTGTGCCTTTTTTGTAAAAAACAAAACAAAAACACATTCTTACCACATTGCGGAGCAATCAAAGTTGATCAAAAGCCATTTGTGTGGATTGAAGTTGAAGGAATCTGCAAACTAGAAAGAAGTAATTCATTATTCAATATAATTATTTGTATATTGTCCTACCCTCTAAAAGTGACTAAATATACTATTACTAACAACTGCATGGGCTGTTTTTATAGTTATTGTTTGAAAAGGTTTTATTCATTTGTTTATTTGAATGGGACAGTGCACATTGTTGTGTCCTTGTACTTATCCCTGATTGAGATAGTAAGTAGTTGGCATCCAACACAGTTTGTTTTATATTTGCAGACAATAAGCTGCCATTTTTTTTATCATAAATAACAAAACAACATTATGGTATTTTTTAGTCACCACAATGTTTTATTCAACTTCTGTGAAAATCTTTCCAAAGCTGCTCACAGGTTCTCACATTTTGCCTGTTTGTGATGTTTTTCGGTATCGGTAGTATCTTGTTTTGATACTTTTTCAAATTGAGTACTGGTACGAGTTCAAATTTAATATGTAGCTAATTTAATATAGAATAATATCAGAGTTTTCAAAACAACAGTTGCTGAAACCAAAACAGTAACACATAATTTGAAATGCAAAATCTCCAGTACTCTGGAGTACATGATAGAGGCATCCTCCTTTTATTATTCTCATTATATTTTCCTCAAAGTGCCGTTTGTAATCAGTTCAAATCTTTTTGTTGCTAATCTTTTCTCATATCCTTTCTATACCCGAGCTCCTCAAATGCAATAACCAGCACACAGAAGCAAAGCCGGCTCCTGACTGAGGCTCGTGATGCTGACTGATTCAAAGGCCTGTTGCCCATCACCCGTCTCTCATAGCAACGGCCCTCCAGCATCGGCAGCCTCCAATCACAGGGTTATGGCTTCATTGCGCACTTTGTATCTCCTCATCATTAACTGCATCAGCCCAAAACAAATGTTTCAGTAGCAAAAAAACCAAAAATGTTACACATTAAATTGTAATAATGTCATGAAGCCATTTTGAAATAAATCCGGACAGTGGCAGCGAGAAAGCAAGGCATGGACGCTATTGTTTTTTAAATTGGACAGAGAGTGGGGCATGAAGGAGCAGTGCAAGTTTTTACTTTGCTTTGTCTATTATTTTCAACAACACCAGTGAACTTCCAGAGCTGAGTATTTGGCAGAAAGTGTCCAGTGTGAGCCGTGTGGGAGACTAGAGCCAATTTAGAACATATCCTGTCCTTATGCCAAGCTGGCTTAGCAAATGGGAGGTTTTAGATGGCGACAAGACCAGGTATTGGCGGAGAAGCAGAGGGAGAAAAATATTGAAAATTAAAGGTCCCCAATGGTTTACATTCTTTAGGCCTGGAGAAGCTGCAAGGAAAGAGTCCGGGATCATGGGGATTGTTGCCGCTGCAGATGACTGGTACACAAGATCAGACCAATAAGACTTCAGCTCAAAGTCCCAGTTGAGATTGTTGATTCTTGGGTCAGTAAAAACTAATTCAAGCTAACTGTTCCATGATGGAGGAAGTTTACGGGCAGAAAAAGGATAAATGTCAGTCCCTGGTCATGGAAATCCATGTTGGAAAGCTTGGAACCTGCTAGGTGAAGTGGACTACAGGGAATTTCTAGGGCAAATCAAAAAGGGTCCAACTGGTGAAACACTGACCAGGAACATCAAAAAAGTGGTTAGAATTATGACTCGGCTCGGCTTAAAGAAAGGCATAATTCATCTGATAGACGTGAGGGAGAGCAGAGTCAGGGGAGGTGGTTCCAGGATGCCAGCCGTCAAGCCCTTGGTGACAGTCTTGCTATGTTGTATGTTTTACAGATCCTTAAACATGAAAAAGATCAAAAAGATATTACCTTTGTCATTGAGTTAAGCACTTTCTTACTTTGTGTACAAAAAGTGTAGCGCCGACAGGACTTTCCTTGTATCTCATTTATTGCTTTAGTCTTGTATGATAGATTTACCAACATTTTTGAAAAAAATAACAAATATTGTCACATATCATCACTTATTAATGAGGACTGATAACTATATTTCGGTGCATTTCAGTCATTATTGGATTGGCTTGCAACCATTCGTCAATAATGTCTACTCTACAGGAGCGGTTTACAGCCCCAACATCCACGTCCTATCTCGCTCCACATTGTTTGAACCTGTGCGCCTAATAAACAGTGATATCTAAAGGTCGAGCGCTGCCTCAGGAAATTACTCTGTCCTTATCTGTTGGTCTGGGCCACGGCAGCCTCTTCTCCAGCCTCAAAGAGTCGGGTGTGCTCCTAAGATCCAGACCCATCACTCAGTCCTCCACGCCTTCTCCATGGCATTCACATGAAGCCAATTCAAATAACCCAAGTGATACCAGCAAAAGGCGAGATAATTATGCTGTAGCAATTTACTGTGAATCAAAATGTTCACTTTTCACTTTTTGAAATGTCATGTTAAAGCTGGAGAACCACATTATTTTGTCTCATGAATATATTTTGTTTAGATCAAAAGAAAGGTTGAATGCTTAAGTAACATTGGGTGAACAAAACAATATTAGTAATAACAATGCATCGGTTTTGTGTAGCGTTTTTCTGGACACTCAAAGATGTTTCACAAGTGACAAACTGAGTGTTACCAGAAGTCTCCCATCCCAGTTCTCACCAGGCCCTGCCCTACACAGCTTCAGAGGTTTGATGAGATCTGGCTTTCACATGCAAATATTTGTAAAAGCACAATTTTAAGTTTGTAACATCAAGATAGAAGCAGTGTGACGGTTACAGAGCGTTATAGGCCGAGGTTGGAAGAGCAAGGATTTTTTTTGGGACTTCTGTGTTAAATACAAATGAGGCTGATGAGAACAGAGAGCACTTCGGGTCAACCTGGGCTCTGGGTTTAATGATTAATACTAGGTCTATTCTGAGATATTATGTGCATTCCGTCTGTATTCCTTGAGTCTCCAAATGTATCCCTCCTTTATGATTGTTTTATTGTCATATTTGAAGGTGAGCGATCGCTGCTGAAGCCAGGCTGCTTCCTTTATCAAAGTGCATTTCTCCAAGATAAAGGATGAAATAATGAAATACCTCAACCACAAGTGATTTGATTATTATCTTGGTTATACAGTATGTAAAATTAAGTATATTTTGTACACTGACTATCATTGATTCAAATTCAGAAGTAAAACCATGTTAAAAACTTGTACGTTAGCATTTGTAAGTGGAATTTGGTAATGTTTTGGCCTCGGTGAGTGATTATTTGTTTTTGGGGTGAGTAGAAATTTCCTCTAAAAAAATAATTTTACGCAAAAATAGAACGTTCAAGACAGAAATCATGGCCTGACTTTGTGACAGTGTGTTCCATTAAACAAACCTCTACTCCGTCCAGCAGAGGTCTAAACTCAGGGCAGATGAATGAGCTCCCAGCATAGGCAGCGTCCACGTGCATCCACATGTTTTCTTTAATACCTAGAGCAGAAATCATATCGTATCACTGAGAAGCTTTTGTGTCGACCTGTTCTTTGTGTTTCTTTGTTAGTTGTGCTCTTACATATGGGGCCAAGATCCGGGAGGTGATCGAAAGAGCAGCAGGATGTTGTACCGAGCGTAGCACAGAACTGAAAGACATCATGCACTTTCATTGTAGTGTGAACTGTTGTGAACTACTGTGTGAAATGGACCTTTTTTAATGATTGACAACATTAGCAATATTTAGACTTTACATTACAGCAACAGTGATGCAGCAATGAGATTAAATAGATTTGGGTTAACCATCCTGCTGATCCTTAAACTCATCTACTCCTCTTTTATATTACCTTTTTAAATATATAGATATACTACAGTGGACAGACAAAACCCAAAACAGATACACACCAGAATAACAACAACACCCTAAATTAAACCCTTCTATAATACAGCATTGTTGAAACCAGGTCTATAATCCAGTCAATGATTGCATTATATGGATTTTGTTTTTGTCCCATAAAGTTTTTATAATTTGAGCATAATCCAGGTTTTCACTAGCCTGACTTTTGCCAGACCCGAAACGCCTCTGGTGGAGCATGGCGGAACTACAAGGGTCTGGCTAGAGTCAGGCTAGGTTTTCACATCAAGCATACGGACCAGCCCACACAATAATAATGATTGACAAATAGATCATAAATGAATGTGTTCTCACAAAGAATGGGATGAGCCCGGCAGCCTTGTCTTCCTCAATCATCTTCTGGAGCAGCGGGCCTCTCAGAGAATAGTTGAAGTCTGTGGGGACTTTCTTCATCATGACCCCACCAATCAGACCAGCTCTTTCCACGGACGAATGAGCCTGAGAAAGACGCAGATTTATGAACAAAAAAATACTACAAACGTGAAATCATTTAGCACAAGCGTTCTTAACACTAGTACTCCCAGAGCAGTCAATTTGACGTCTTTTAGTTTTGGAAGTGTAATTACTCAGCTCTTGTTCAATTTTAGTCTTTATAACTTTCTGATTTTTTCTGTATCATGTTGTTCATCTGCCTTGAAAGAGAAGAGCCAGTACTAGTTTCCATAGCAACTCACTGTCTAATGGAGAATTTTTCAGAATTCCATTGATTTGAATGGAAGCAGTTAAAATGATGGCTCTGGGAGTTCAAGTAGCTTCAAAATCCTACTGTTACTATATACGATTCATTTCCTTTTTTCTTATTGTAAAGATCTTTGAAAACTAGTGACCTTTGATCTAATGTTCCATTCTTAACTTGGTAGAAAAAATACTATTATTGACCGACTAAATATACGACTACTACTATAGTAGAAGACTGAGACACCCTCAGTGCAAGAAACAGAGCTTACAGCAGGGCCTTTATCCCCACTGCTGTCAGACTGTACAATAAGTCACTTTAATTAAGTCACTAATGCACTAGGACTAAAAAGAACAGCACTGCTACAGCCACTTTTTTATTGTACATAATTATATCCTGCACAGACAATAGAGTGATTCTATCCATGCCAAATGTGATTTCAGTGTGAGATCAATAAAGTCTATCTTATCTTATCTTATCTTACAAAAAAATAATGCAGTGATGTAAATGTAAACGTGCACTTAGGGAACGTTGCCCTCTGCATTTGACCCATCCTGCAGATGCCGCTGGGGCGTGTGTCAGGAGCAGTGAAAGGCATGTCTTGACACTGGCAGTATAGACACACATTAGCTGGTCTTGTTCAAAGGTCTGTGTGGCCCTGAGGCGACTCACTAACCCAATCACAAAGTGCGTCGGAGATTTAACCTGATCATAGCTTGTGACAGTACACAGCAACACAAGCTTTATTCAATCTACACACACACTGAGCTCTGGGACACGAGAGAAGACTTCTGTTAGCGATAAATCCTAAACACAATCATGAAAAAGAATCTCAAATCACACTGCAGAGTTCTGTTATTCTGAAAAATCAATGAGCTTCAATGTTGCTTATTTGAATAGAATATTGTGTAACTCTAGTTTCATAAAAATACTGTGCTTTTTACTGAATTATTTTATTATTCATTATTTATCAAAATAGTAAATATATAAATCTTAAATATTCCTGTGTAAGTAACAATAGCTTTTCAATAACCCTGATACAGCATAGAATCATGACATATATTGTAATAAATCAGAATTATTATTATTTTCTTCTTTAAAAATGAATACAGTGAATTCATTACAATAGCATGGTGTTATAACTGATAAGAATTAGACATATTGTGCAGAAAATAAGTGATTACATTTAAAAAGATTTACACATCAGTCAGTCGCAAGACCTAAATTATTTTGTAAACGTATGTGATGTTGCCTGAAATCAATAAATGTGTTATTGGTTTGAAGATCTTGATAACATACGATAAGATAATATACTATGTCTGTAAAATGCACTTGTGAAATGACTGTAAATCTAATCCTCAAAGTGAAGGAAGAAAACTAGTATTCTCAAAACTAGTATATAATAACTTGTTTGTAATTACTTTTGTGGTTTTATTCTGTATGTGTTTAATATTTCTTGTGATATAAATGTTTGTTTTTAATGTCCTTTGGGCTTTTAATCATATTTTCTAATAACTTAATGTAGATTATAAATGTTTAATGAGCCATGTTTATTTCGAGCAAATGAGTGCACAAGAAACAAAAGTAGAATATCAAAATGGTGCATGAATAACCCTGAGTTACAATTACATAATACCAAATTATAAACAACAGTGGGGGTGACAGTGGCTCAGTTGGTAGAGCATTGGCCTTAGAGCCTGAAGGTCGTGGATTTGAGCCCACCACAAGACCTACTTCACGACTCCCACTGATGACTGCTGTCGTTGTGTCCTTGGGCAAGACACTTAACCCCACTTTGCCTGAAGCCCCCGCTGAAAGATCTCAGCTCCTGTGGACTCACCACCTGCAGGAGGATCAGTGAGGGGCTGATGCTATGTGTCCTGGCAGTACACCCCCCTGCAGGTCGGTGGCAGTACACCCCCCGACCCAGAAATGGATTAAAGGGAAGAAAATGGAAGGATGGATGGCAAATTATAAAAATTATATACACAAGAGAAACACTTGCAGATACTAGAAAAGTTTATGATTCATGCCTGATTGTGATATGTATTCTGAGGCTCTTGTGTTGCTTTGTGTAGGAAAGGCGCTCTACAAACAAAAGTTTATTGATTGATTGATTGATATAATGCATGTTGATATCAAACCTACCCCTTATTCCAGTTCCATTGGCTATAAATGTAAGTTCTACAGTACTCACAAGAACCTTATAATTTTTCAGTGATGCATTGACTACAAATAATGATACAGACACATATTTGCACTTACTTGTTCAGAAGTGTAAGCCACTAGTTTAGAGCAGATTTCCGCCTCTGACAGCTTCGGGTTTGAGGCCTGAACTCTTTTGACAGATTTACATCGAGCTGCTAGCAACGCCACCAGTGTCGCCTCGCTAGCTGTGGACTGTGGGACAAAATCCAACAGAAAATCCACATAAATATACAGTTTATATAAAGAATCTGTCATTTCAATTCAATGTATTTTAGTCTCACCCTAAATAACAACATTCAAGGATTTTACAAAAATTAGAGAATAAAGCAATTATAAAATGCGATAACCTTTTTCAATCAGAGAGCTACTTTTATACAACAGAAGAGGCAGAGAGCCACTCTTTTTTGCTGTCATTATTAAAGTCGATATAATAATTACGACATAACATGGAAAACACATGGAAAATATACCATAATACTGTATAACCCTATATTTATACTTATAATAGATACGTAATGACCATAAAATGTACTCATTCAAGATTTGTTTAATTCTAAATCCTTTGGGGAGCTACCTGAAAGGGGTTGGTGAGCTACTAGTTGGAGACCCCTGACATGGAGCCATTGTTCCATTTGATAGTGGGAGATCAGTGTATCTAAATATTCATACATGTTTATAAATGTCCTGGATCATCACTGTCCTTAGACCCTTCTGAATTCTGAGTTAAATCATTGGTACTCTGTTTGTTCAGGCCAAAAGTCCATACACAAATCAATACACATTTCAACATAGATTTCTCACCAGAATGAGCCCAATATCCTATCATGACAAACAGCCAACAGAATAAATTGGAGCGTTTAAGCCCCCTCATTTTGAAATCAATATGATGTAAGTGGCAAATACATAAGTGGCCCAATCCATAACCAAAACAAGGCACAAACAAGGCATCTTCCTGTGCCTCACCTTCAAGCACACTTCCTGCTTTAGACATTTGAGTAATAAAAGCCTTATAAAACTCCGCGGTGGGTGCTACAGTGATGTGTGTGCAACATACGCAGTCCTAACAACCTACAGCAGTGTGAGAATACGACAAAACCTGTTGAAAGTAAATGTAAACGTATCATCTTAAAAGCAGCGAACTACTATTCAATTCAAATCAATACAGTTTTTGTACAGCCCTAAAATTGCAACTGCAGTTATCTCAGAGGACTTTCCAACATTGTCGATTAGCCAACACAGATCTGGGAATCAAACAGTTTTAACAAAGAAAATGCAATGAATCAAAACCACATAGAACTATTAGTCCATAAGGGGGAGATGACCAATGTTAAGAATCCATATCTCTGCCATAAATGCGTACATTTTGATTTTACATGCTGAATCATATCTCCAGTCTTATATTTCTTTATACCGCTGTTTTGTTGCTGCCGTGTTATGGCTGAGGTCAACAAAGACGGCTCTTTTCATGTCCAATGTCTTTAATTCTCTGGGATAGACAATGCGCTCTCCTAACGCTCATTAGCCACTGCCGCTCTGAGTAGCTCTATCCGTTGCCATAGTGAGCCACTGTAAGCTGCTCTCCAAAAGCCCAGTCACCACACGGGAAACAAAAGCACATGCCAAACCCACCACTCACAATAAAGAAGGCCTGAAACAATCTGTCATCTGCTCACACTCACTTCCTCTGCCGCTCACCCCCACCTGGGTGCACACCACACCGGTATAGAGGCCCGCCATGGAACACTAAACTAATGTCTGAGTCTTAGCCACACGAAAACAATCATTGAGCTGTCACATCTCTCTGTCTGAGGATGACACATTAAAAGGCAATTTCCGGTCAATTTTTTGCCAGTGTGAACAAGGGAGGACAAATCTATGAAGGTTTCTGCGACCTTTGAAAGACAGGCTGGCTTTATGTTCAACAGGCAAATGAGCAGTGCTATAAACGGGTGCATAACAAATGGATAGACAATGGATATTAAGTCTTAAAGCACTGCAATAACTATATCAACAAAGATTACTCTCTCACTTACTATTTATTACTTATTTATTTCAGGTAAACACAGAAGCATCACAGTTGCTACAATAAAAACATGCCTATAACAAAATAAAAATAAAACAATTTTGCCTGAAAAGGAGTGAGAAGAAGAGACAATAGAATATTAAATTAAATATCCTACCCAATTTCCATTTACACATTAGCCTCTTTGTTACTGTAAACTTAAAAGTTATTTTAAATATGTATCCTTTTAGGATAGACAGTCTTTGTATGAAACAGAATAAGTGGCTCTGGACCTGTATCACTCCTCCTCCGTGCCCCTCAGTTCCAGCGATGAAGCAGTCGGGAAGCTTCAGCATCTTTCCGAGCCAGTCCAGCATCACTGTCTCCAGCTCCGTACAGGCTGGACTAGCAGCCTTAAAAGCACATTTCACTTTTCAGTAACTACACTATTTGCATCCGAGTGGGGTTTAGTAAGGACTTGAACTTACCCAGGAGAAGCCGATGCATCCAATGGCTCCGCACAACATGTCAGCCAACATCGCAGGGTAAGAAGAGGCTGTGGGGAAGTAGGCGAAGAAGTTTGGACTGTGCCAGTGTGTCACCTGGAGACATAAGCATAAACAAATAATGTAACATCTTATTATATTAAAAGTACAATGTATCATATTATATGACAGTAAAACAGATAAAGGAATGAATGTTGAGAAGTATTTCTGTGTATGTGCGCACATTGTTACACACATTGACTGCTGCTGTTGGAGATGAGGATCTGGAGCATGAAAAAGTAGAAGGAAGCAAGTTTTTGGATGTTCTTGTTATGTTTGCAAAGCTGTATATTTATTTGTTTATTCAGATTCAGATTCAGATTCAGATTCATTTATTAGCCATGTGTAGTATAAAAACTACATTGGAATACATTTGCAAAAAAAGGTACTCTGTGTGCACCGACAGAATAAAAAGCACGATAAAATGTAATATAAAATACACATACACTGAATATAAAATAATAAAAAAACAGCTGACACTGTGGCACCGATCAACAAAACAATACAAGGGGTAAAAGCAGGAATTAAAGTGCTCTGTTTAGGCACAGCCTGTGGAAAGAAGCTGTTAGCATAGCGAGATGTCTTGCATCTCAGCGACCAATATCTTCTGCCAGAGGGAAGAAGCTGGAACATGGCTTTCCCAGGGTGGCCAGAAGAGTCATTGATGATTTTAAGAGCTTTGTTTAAAAGTCTGGATTTGTAAAGAACCTCCAGAACAGGAAGCTCACAGCCCACGGTCCTCTTTGCAGAGCAGAGCACCTTGTTTAAAGCTCTCTTTTCTTTATCTGTGATGTTTCCAAACCACACAGACACAGAACCAACAAGTAAACTTTCAATGGTGCAGCAATAAAAGTTAAGCAGAATCTTAGAGTTAGTGGTAAATTCTCTAAGTTTCCGCAAAAAGAAGAGCCGCTGACGTGCTATATTTAAAATGATTCTTTAAGAAACAAAAAGAAGATAGATACGTACATAGAAAAACATTTAATGTAATTATGGTTGTATTTTTTGCGACAATGTATTTATCTATGTATGTTCACCTGCCCAAAGACTGAGATGGAAAGTACAGTAGCTGTGGCTAAATCTGGTGCAAACCATCTCTTCTTTTGTAAAAACTAATAGTATTGTACATTGTCCCTGTTTTATGAACAATTAACTAAACTAACCTAAACACTCAGGTCCGAGATGACAAAAAAACTCTGAAAGATCTGTATAATCTCCACACAATTACAAAAAATAGTCAAAGAAACGTTAGACTTGTCCTGGACCATCAACACCTCCAGCCTCGTCAAGAAGGCCCACCAGCGCCTTTTCTTCTTGAGAACTCTCAAGAAGAATCACATGTCCCCGTCCGTAATGCTGCATTTCTGTCGCTCTGCCATAGAAAGCATTTTAACAAACTGCATTATGACCTGGTTTGGGAACTGTACAGTGGCGGAGTCCCCAAACACCGAACAGGATATTTACAAGGGGAGTATTTGCAAACACCTTAGTCAACAGACTTATCCCAATTGATCTTATAATCAGAAAAGTTCGTTTTTCTGTGTTTGAGCTTCTTTGTTTCACAAGGTGGACATTGAGGTACAGATCCGTAAAGCGAGAGATAATAAACATTAAAAAAAAAAAGATAAATGTACTGTACAAATAAAAATGATGCCCAAAAGGAGTCGGCAGAAGCAAAGCTTATTATAGCCTACCCCCTTTGACATTCACAGATCAGCAGTCGACTTACAATTTATTTGCTATTATCAAAGTGTGAATGGTCATAGCTTTATTTTGTGCGTGTGCATCATCCATGTCCAAGCCCAAACACACAACGTGTGCGTGTGCCTGGTTGTGAATGTATCTCTAGGTAATTTGTGTGTGTATCATGTCAACCAGTCCTGTTCTGGACTGTCCCGGGTGGTTCAACTCACTTTGTGCATATTGACAAAATACTTTTTGCTAAAGCCTTGTTTGAAATTTTCTAAAGAAGTGCAATCTTTAAGTTCAATATCAAGATTGTTCCATAGGTCGACCCCACATCTTGTAATAAACTTTTGTTTCATTGTTGTACGAACATACTGCTTTGTGAAATTCGTTTTGTGTCTGAGAATGTAAATGGTATCTTTATCACTAAACATTTGTTGGATTATATTTTGGGAGCATGATATGTCTTGCTTTATACATTATTAGGAGTTTCATTAAGTCCTCAAGTTTCAGGACCTTGGATTTTTTAAGAACAGTAAGATCGTATTTTCTCTGTTACCAGCGTTGTGAATAATACGTACAGTATTGCTCTTTTCTGTTGCATGAAGAGACACCACATATTTGTCCGATAAGTATTTCCCCAGATTTAAAGGCAGTAGGTAAGATGTGGGAGTACCATGGAGCAATTTATAGTGTAAAGTGATTTGTAATTCAAGAGATACTTTGATTTACCCATAACGGAAATACACTTGGCAATCTTTGTATTGATGTAAGATATGTGAGATATTCCTCTTTAAATAAATGTCTAAATAAATAAATACATGTGTGATTTCCATGTCAGCTTATGGTCCAGGTGAACAACTAAAAAACTGTACCATTTCTATAGGTTCCTTATTTATTTTGATTGCAGCACTTGGACTTTTTTATGCCCAAATATCAGCGTTTTTTTTAAGTTTAAGTGAAAGCTTGTATTCAACAAATGTTTAATTATACCCAATTCCGTAGTAGCCTCGGCCAGTAGCTGTGGAAGATCTTTGCCCTTAAATAAGATGGTAGTATCATCAGCAAAGAGAACTAATTAGGCTTTCCCCAAAACATTGCACAGGTCATTTATGTACAGTAGAAACAGCAAAGGTCCTAGTACCGACCCCTGAGGGACACCCATTTGCACATACTGCTGTCTATTTGTGAGATAGTTGTTAAACCAGTGTAGCGGAATTCCTCTAATACCAATAATTTATTCCTATACTTGCGCTATTGCACTACTGGTTAGACGCTAAACTGCATTTCGTTGCATTGTTTTGACTTTGTAATGACAATATAGTTGAATCTAATCTAATCTAATCTAAACGGTTAAGTCAAAGGTGGGCAGGGAACCAGGCAAATAAAGGAAGGCCTCAGTCCCCAAACACCGAACAGGATATTTACAAGGGGAGTGTTTGCAAACACGTTAGTCAACAGACTTATCCCAATTGATCTTATAATCAGAAAAGTTCGTTTTTCTTGGACTTTTTTACGCCCAAATATCAGCGTTTTTTTTAAGGTTAAGTGAAAGCTTGTATTCATTAAACAAATGTTTAATTATACCCAATTCCGTAGTAGCCTCGGCCAGTAGCTGTGGAAGATCTTTGCCCTTAAATAAGATGGTAGTATCATAAGCAAAGAGAACTAATTAGGCTTTCCCCGAAACAATGCACAGGTCATTTATGTACAGTAGAAACAGCAAAGGTCCTAGTACTGACCCCTGAGGGACACACATTTGCACATACTGCTGTCTATTTGTGAGATAGTTGTTAAACCAGTGTAGCGGAATTCCTCTAATACCAATCATTTCAAGCTTTCTGATCAAAATACTGTGATCAATTTTAAATCTATGAATATGGCTAGAGAGAAATCTTTTTTTTTCTATGTCTACTGTCGTTTAGGATCTTAAATTTGGCAGCAAAATTGGTTAGTCCTACAGTGAATAATTTTTCTAGAATTTTTGAAAACAGAGATAAAAGTGAAATTGGCCTATAATTGTCACCACTTTTGAAAACTGGAATGACTCTTGCCATTTTCATTTTTGCTAGGAATGTACCTGTCTGGAATGAAAGACAATGTGATTCAAGGGTTTCACAATGTCAGAAATTACACTTTTTATCAAAATCCATTTCTAGGTCATCACAGTCTGTGGATCTCTTGTTTTTTAATTAGTTTACAATACTGATAATCTTGTTTACTGGCTTGAGGAAGAATGAATTTGGATTTTCATATATACCAACAGCAGTACGAGCATTGGTTGAACTGGTTGAGGATATTTCTCGAGCCAGTTCAGGTCCTATGTTCACAAAGAAGTTATTAAAGCTATTTTCCACTTCATTCATATCAGCAGTTTCATCGCTGTTATTAATATAATAATCGACAGTCCCATTTAATTCATTTTAATTTCTAAACAGTCTATTCAGCACTTGCCATATATCTTTTATGTTATTTTTGTTATTTTCAAGAAAGGTTTGGTAGTAATCCTTACATTTCCTCAGAATTTCAGTTAAATAGTTTTTATATATCTTATGCCGCATTTCAGCAGCAGGAGTTTTTCACAATTGATTAATTTTTCTTTTCACATGCATTTACCAGACCGAGTTACATTTCCTCTTTGCGTTGTTTAAGCTAACAATTGGACAGTGTGCATTGACTACCGTTGTGACTATGTTTAAAAAGGAACCATACGCCTGGTCCAGATCGTTATTATTAAGAATACTGTTCCAGTCTTGGTTTGAAAACTTTGTCAGAGGGCAAATATAGCTTTGCTTCAGATAAATTCTTTTCAGCAAGTCACACTTTCTCTGATGTATTGCTGTCGTCTTACAGAGAGAGGTAATATAGCAAAAATTGGAAGGTGGTCACTGATGTCATTATGCAATATCCCACTAATAGTCTTACTGTCTAATAGTCTTACTATCTTTGTGAATATATTGTCTATTAATGATGAGCTGTATGAGGTAATCCCAGTTGGTTTTGTTATTTTGGGGCATCATCAGACTACACATAGTATTTACAATTTTTTGAATAGAAATGTCACCACGAAAGCCATGCAAAGCTCAATTGGAATCAATTGGAATGATATCAAACAAATATTTGCTTGCTCTGGAGCCCCTGGCTATGGCAAACAACAGGACTGAGAGGAAATCCCTGTCTCCAACCTCTGGCAAGAGCATAGGGTGAGAAACACCTCCTGCCACTGTGTCACATTGCTGATGAATTTTTATGAAGCAACAATTTAAAAAAATAATGTGTAACCATTCTTAACAATTTTGATAAAGACCACAGGAATAAGCCTTAATGGCATTGAGTTATAAAAGACCCACTGGTAATGTAGTTGCTGAAGTGAAAAGTGAGACAGTGTGCGGGACACTTTCTTTCTAAATTAAGTCAAGTCTGCAGTCTACACAAAATGTTCCTGAGGCACCGTGAGTTATAGGCCACAGCCTTCTCATGTTATCAGACACAGGTGATGCCTTTATAACATGTTTGGTCGCTATTGAGTCATTTTGGAAAGGCTGGAATCTGCAGGCAAATCATTTAGCAAAGATCTAACAACGAAGAGAGGGGCCTTGTTTGCAGCAACACTTCTCTACTAATGTCCACTACTAAAAAAATCAGGAATCTCATTGGCAGGTCAATATTTGAAATGAACATATGTAATAAATAAGTAGCAAAAAGGAAGCAGACTTTCACACTTCATCTCTTTGTGAAATGTTAGTAAGAAATGTTAATTCATTGCAATATGATAATAATATGATAATGATGATAATTTCTAATAAACTTTATTATAATTGATGTTATTATGTTATAGAGCCTGAAGTAGATTGGTCACTATAGTTATACCACTGCTGAAACTCAGATCACTCTAAGGAAGGTGAATAATAGCTTTTGTTCGTGCGGGATTCAAATACCCAGTTGTCGAGTCTTCTTGTTTGTCACAGATGTAGAGTGCAATCTCACCCCAGGCATGATGACCCGCTCCACATCCTTCATAACCTCTTCATAAGACTCTGGGTCCTCCGGTGCCTCGGTGGGGATGAGCTTCCTCAGATAACCGGGCTCCACGTCTGGATACACCGGCCGCTGCTCAATATTCTCCAGATAATCAGCCACATAGTCGACCATCTCCTTCCCTCTGCGGCGAAACTCCCCCGCGTCCATTCGAGCTCTGCCAAGTCAGGGTTTTATGAGGCACTCACCTGAGAACTTTGCTCTCTTTGAAAAGTTCACGCAATAAAAAGACCAGACAAACACAGATCTAAAGCAGTGCAGAACACGCTCTAAACAAAAAAAAGTAACAAAAAAGCAACAATAACTGCATGACATTAATGCTGAGGTCGACTAAGCCACAAACACACTTCAGGAAATCTATTTTTAAACCAATCCAGAGCTTATCCTACTCTGTCAATGAAGGACTTTTTGTTGTCTTAAACAGCATACATAGGTCAAGGGGATTGTTAGGGGACTTGTTGGTCTGTCGGCAGAAGAATGACTCTTAGCACGTCCTATAACAGATATATGCCTTCATGAATGTTGCAAATGCTGTGAAGTGGGGGCAACAACATTTGTTTTTTAAAATCTTTACAATACAGATCAAATCAATTATGTTTGTATTGCACAGACATCAAAAGATTAATTTTAAAGGACATAACCAAGTGGATAATCAAACTATGACTATAAGAAAAATAGGACCTCACAGGAAATAAGCAATCAGAATCTCACTCCAAAAGTTTTTCAAGCGAAACAGTCATCCACTAGACAAATTGTACTTCCTGTATTTCCTAGACTGTTCACATAATGTTTAATATTTAGAAAAATATTTCAACCTTACCCTATATACAGTATATATAAGCTGATTTGGATAGCATAAGAAATAAATGTATAGACTAAGGTTTCTTATTTTACAATTGATTCTAATTATGTAACTGTCCACGACCCACCATTAAACTATGAAATGAGAAAGAGTCAAAGTCTTTCTAGCTCAGCAGGTATAGTCGCCTTATCTCATTCACTTTAATACAGGATTATGGTGGTGCATACTCACAGTGGCGGTTGTAGACGGAGCAGAATAAACTGTGCTGTCTGGTGGTCTGCAGCTGGACATATGCTGTTTGTGTGTGAAAACAGCACAGGAGACATTCACTCCTTTTATCTTTCCACTTAGAGCCCCCGCCCCCTGCCCCCTTCCTCCAGCGCCTCTCACATCAGCCAATCACAGTGCAGCTCTTCATGTGCGCATTAGACTGATTCATAAACTCTACTCTTCCTTAGTTTGCATCCAATGCATCCAAGTGTGTTTGTATAGTTTATTCATAGTTTAGTTTATTATATAGATCCCTATGAGCAAGCTGCTCTTTATGGCAGTATTCCACAACCTTTTTGAGCCGTGGCACACCTTTATCTTTGAATAAAATCTCCTGGCACAACACCAATACAATACAATACAATTTATTCTTGTACAGCCCTACTGTAAATCACAACAGAAGTCATCTCAGAGGACCAACACAGATCAGAGAATCAACAGATGAGACCCAAAAAAAAAAAATAACACATGTTAAAAAATGTCCATACATGTTGAAGGATGTTAAAGTGTCCTGGATCATCACCACAGTCCTTTTTGTTGGACACAAACTGTCCAACAGACCCTCCTGCATCGGCCTCGGGGAGACCCGCATATTGAGAAAGGGATCCGCTCCCACGGACAGACGGGCTATAGATCCAGGACCTAAGCTACAGAACGTGGACCAGCGGCCGCTGAACGTGGACCAGAGGCCGCTGAACGTGGACAGGTCCAGTACAGGACTGAAGCACTCCCAGGTGGGACGGGCGGGGCAGTCCGCAGGTGTAGATGGAGGAGGCCAGGTCCAGAGGTCCCGTCATCGTACTATGAAACAGACAATGGGACAACAGGTGAATAGCAATGAACACACTACAGTCAAAATCCTAATAATGCTAAACAGATAAAGTAGGAAGGAGGAGAGGATAGTGCTCAAGTTACCATACTTCTCCAGCAAACTGACTCCCTATGCAGCTTGACTGACAGTCTGAGGAGTTTAGCCTTCCCTGAGTCTTACTCAATTGATATTGGAATGTAACTTAAGTTATCATTTTGGTAAATCGTATGTGGCTATGTGCTGAATGCTCTGTATTGTAATTCACTTTAGCTTCAGGAAGAAACCGGGAGGCCTGGGGAGCTCATATGCTAAGTGTCTTTTGTTGTGTTGGTTTCTTCCTTTCCCATCTGCATACGAAGGTGTGTCTTGTTCTACCAAAAGGGGCTTGCCATCTGTGAATCTTCAGACTTGTCCTGAGAGAGGCTAGGGTCTGTGCCTTGCCTCTGTCAAGACATTCTCCTTGTACAATGTAACAAGTAAAAGATTAACTTTCTCTTTGATGTGTGAGATTTCATCAGGTTCAACTGTAGTTGAAACAGCATTATCATCAATGAAACTCTGCAGCCTTTGATAAGAAAACAAAGTAATTCTCATCTAAGTGTATTATAAAGAAAATCAAAAAAGTAAGTAAGTAAGCTTTATTTATATACCGCCTTTCACAGACCAGAGTCACAAAGCGGTTTACAATTGTTATTTTTTGGGCACTTGTCCTCTCACTCCTCACAGAGATGGGAGCGGGGTCGCCGAACAGGAGGCGCATGCCAGACCTATTGTACATATTTTTAGTGGTAGGGGAAACCGGAGTACCCGGAGGAAACCTACGCAGGCACGGGGAGAACATGCAAACTCCACTCAGAAAGGCCCTGGTCCGGCCGGGATTCGAACCCAGGACCTTCTTGCTGAGAGGCGAGAGTGCTATCCACTCAGCCACTGTGCCGCCCAAATCTTCTCAAATTATTTTCTTTTAACATTATTTGGATTACTTAGAGTAGAATGGAGAATTCCAAAGTCTCATGGCAGTCAACATACACTGTAAGTATGCACTTACCAAACACAATCCCAACAATATTAAAAGCAGATTCAATATTTACAGATCAGAACAATTCATTTACAGGTAGTTTTTATTTTTTTATTGTGTGTTTTATTTTTGAATATTCTCTTGGTCGAATAAAGCCTAGTAGCTAAAGCCCTGTCTGCTACTTTGTTCTGCATCATTTGGAGCTGTTCAAGACAAATATTTTGACTGTTTTTAATTGAGATGTGAAATTGACAAATTCATTTTCAGAACTAGATTAGTCAACTCCGTCATCAGGTAATGACAACGTCTTCTTACTGCTGCCAAAGAGGGCGGCAAAGCAGTAAGAGCTTCTGTTTTACAGCAAGAAGGTCCTAGGTTCGAATCCTCATCCAGTCCTTTCTGTGTGTCCCCTACCACTAAAAACATGTACAATAAGTATGAATGTGTGAAGTGAGTGAGTGAATGGATGGTGTTGGTTGGGGGCTTTGATGCACCAGTGTGTTCGGTGTCTCGCTTCTGTCATTATTGTGTTGAGAGAATGGAAAAATATCTAGACATTGTAACGTGCTTTGAGAGACTTTGATCTGTAAAATGTGGTATATGGATAAACATTACTTAGTGCATTTCGTAGAGTTGAATAAAATAACAAAATACCTCAAACTTGAGTAATTCAACTCTTAACTTGGTAATATGAAGATGAAACATACACAGACCTAAAGTATATTAGAACTTCTCCACATAACATTTGATCATATTTCTCTTTATACCAGTCATCAGGAAAAAAGAACACGAAAAACTTGAGAAAAACTTGAGAAATACCAAGGGCTCAGAGAGGAGCTGGAGAGAGCCTGGAAGGTAAAGGTGCCCGTGGTGATCGGTGCACTCGGGGCAGTGACCCCGAAGCTGGAGGAGTGGTTACAGCTGATCCCTGGAACATTGCTAGGAACAGCAAAGATACTGCGCAGAACCCTCAAGCTCCCAGGCCTCTGGTAGAGGACCCAAGCTTAGAGAGGGATAACCGCCCGCGGAGGGCCAAAGGTGAGTGGAGAATATTTTTTTAATATATATATAATGATTTAATGATGAACAATCAAAAGTCCAAGAAAAAAACAACCTCAAAAATCCATTGGAGAGAACCAGGAATCAGACTAGCAGGAATACAGACTAGCATACACAGACAAAGACAGTGGACCAACAACACATGAGGATGAGCACAGGTACATGTAGACAGAAACACAGGTAAGGCACAGGAGGGTGGGGCAGACAATCAAATGAGTTTTACTGGATAGAAAGTAAAACTCAAAACACAACCAATGTTCATGTCCAAATAAAAAAACAATGAACAAATTATCCCAGCCATGACATTTTCAGCTCGATCTCGATCTGGGCCTAGGCCCACTTTACCTGGGCCTTTGGTCGTACTTGTGACTGCAGCCTAAATGTTTTCTGTAAGACTTCACTTACAAGTTTTCACTCATGATTGCTGTTTTATGTCCTATGGTCCGATGAAACCAAAACAGAATTTAGATTAGGATGCAGATTAATAAAGAAACAGTCACATCAAAGAGTGACAGACATGATAAACTAATCTTATCCTTGCAAACATCACGAACACCTTCTTACCATAAAACAGAGCCATCTGAACGACGCTGAAATCATGCTATAGTAATGTTTGCCCTGTACAGCCTTCTCCTTGATGTAGTTTAGATGTTTCGTCCTGAACAGTGGTTCTGACACTCACCTGACCTCAGCCTTCTTATTTACAGCTTGCGAACAGTCTGAAGGTGTTGGATTTGTGATAGAACCCATGCATAGTGAGAAGCTTTTAAGTTTTAACTTTTGTTAACATTTTTCTTACCGCCTTCAGCAGCGTGTTTTCATCTGAAATCTTCTTGATGTACGGTGTGCCACGATCGATCTATCTAGATACGACGTATCTGATGCTCACATTCTTACTTTGCATTTGATTAAAACAAAAAAAAGGAAAAAAAAGATTCCTCAAGGAATAAAAAAAAATAGACACAAATTATAGGTTCTGTTATTTTGGGGTTGAGCACAAAACCGATCCCCACAGCGGGGAATGATTCTAATGTCAGTATTAAATGAACATTTAATTATTTATATTATTTGGCAGGGGTAGTCCTCTATAGTTGAGAACGGGGAGCTAAACATGAGCATTGAAAACATTTACATGGGAGCCGAGTTATTGTTTTGTAATAAAGAGAAGATCAATAATCAGCTTCTAGCCTACACTCTGACTTTTCATTTGTTTGACTTAAATTGCATAGGCTATCCATGCATGCATAAAATCCATTCTTCGCGCACACACACACACACACACACACGCACACGCACGCACGCACGCACGCACGCACGCACGCACGCACGCACGCACGCACACACACACACACACACACACACACACACACACACACACACACACACACACACACACACACACACACACACACACACACACACACACACACACACACACACACACACACACACACACACACACACACACACACACACATGAACATTCGAAACTTGGCTTTTAATCCAATAAATGTGGCACCTCGAGGGTCAAGGGTCATGAGGGCGGGTGTTTAAATATTTCCAGGGATTTAGGGATGTGTCTGTCACACAAACAAGACGTTGTGATGGTGTTGTGTATGTGTCTGTCCTCTAGTGGTGACGCTGTAAACTACACTTACAGGAACAGCAGATGAGTATTGAGTCTCTGTTGATTGGTGTGATAATTGGATATAGGTATTTTATAAAATATGAAATAATGCGTTGTCAAAGGCTTGGGATAAGCCCATAGGCACTGTTCTGTGAGGCAAGCGTGTTGCCTCACAGAACATGATACCACTTTAAATGTGATACCTTCCCAACAGATAAACATGAAATGTTCAAAATATTGTTCAAAAGTTAATTTATTACTGAAATGTAACTTAAATTGTTAAGCACAGATATGAGATTGAATTTCATGGAAAGCGTCATATGCCAAGCCTTTGTTTGTTCATGTTGATTATATCGATTGATTGATACGGACTTTATTTCTATCAGGACATTCAGGAGACCATCAGGAGGTGATACAGACAGTTGTTGGATGTTGGAGAATTTAGCTACTAGATGATTTCTGGTCAATCGTGAGTCAGCAACTTTTTCACCATATTATGTCTTTTATAAGAATCTGTGAGAAATTATGTAATACATAAATAAACTGGGAAGGACCCCTACAGGCTTTAAAATTCTCCATCTGAACCTTTTTGAAGGGGAGATTTCTTTGTGATACATTTTCTTCACATTTCATTGAGACAAAACAAATGGTTTTCATTTGGAAATGACTTGTGTTTAGCACGATGGACTGCATCCTTTATTTCTGCATTTTCACAAATTATGTACTTTACATTATTCACTACACTCGCGGGCGCAGGCTTGATGGTGAGAACCTCAGTACTTTTCACACACTATTGAAGTTTAAATACATGTTTATGTATGCTGTAGTATTTCTCCTTTATATGGACAATATAATATTTTTACAATTTGAGGAAAGGTATTGAACATTTTATTTGGTCAATGTAAAAATGTATCTACCCAAATCATTAAAATAAAGAAACTAAATATTGAATTATTGTATTAATATTTTATTCTAATTACAATAAAGAGAATATATCAGTCCCTCGTTTGTACAAAAATACCTGAAAAGGTTACAATTATTATACACCATTTAAGTATTTACAAAAAAGCAAAGCACATTTAAAAGACCATATCTCTCCATAAGGGAGGGGTTACCGTTTCCTTTTTGCATTCCCTGAAATAATGTGTATCAAAATGAAGGTAAAAGCATTACTTTCCTTGTGTGCATATTCTTGTAAAACAGAATGGGATGAACAGGCATGTTCAAATGTATCCAATATCAGGAAAAGTTGTCACAAAAATATTCCTCACACGCTTTAATATTGGAGTGCCCTCATTTTGAAGAGTCTTACACATCCACTGAAGCCTCGATTGAATTATCTTTTGCAAAAAAGATGTATTTCTTCCAGTGTTAGAATACAATATCATTAAATCTAAGGATTCTGAATGTGGTTCAGATAAATCAGATCATCTGATGGACAACTCATGGACAATGCAACATGAATCATGGCCTTTTTAACTTGACACATGCACCAGGAAAGAAGAAATCCATGGATGAAAAGTGTAGCTAGCTTCCTCACTCTCTGGCCGCTCCGTCCTATTTGCTTTGTTGGATCCAGTTAGCATTGCAGTTATAATACTTAATTATACTTTTTTATCATTGATATAATGTCCAGCTCAATGTTGGCAAAATTGTTTTAAGAAAGTACAATCTTTCAAATGTACTTTGTTTAATCCAATAATCCCATTAGTAACTGCCTACTTTACACAAACTCATCTTGTCAGTGGTGCATCAAAACCATGATCATTATAGTTCTGTCGTCTTCCCTTCACATGCCGTTGATATGACCAGTTTTAGAAGCTTTAAACATGGCTTTCTAACGTGAAATGCTGTACCTGAACTTTGTAAATGTATTGGAATGACAAGATCACACAACTGACACCAGTGTACCATCTCTGGCTTCATTTAAAATTAGTTATTCAAAAATGAGATGCTATGTTATCACAAATTACAATAAAATCTTTACAAATATATATCTATAATAGGTCTTGTCAAAAGAAAACGGTATCAAACAGCGCTGAGTAAAATAAATTGTACATGTTCAAGTAATCAGTTACATCCAGATAAATAAATACATTTTGAAGTAATACTTTAAACATGATTGAGTCCTTGCATTCTTTGAACAAACAAGAACTGTGCACATGGTGAGGGACAATGATCTCAAAATGTCTAAATCGAATTTCACAATTTTGTTTCTGAATTTCTTGCCACGTCTTCAAGTATTTCCTGTCTTGAGTGCATCGATGCAGAAAAACAGTAGAAAAACGTTGATAATGGAGCTGTGGTCGGACTTTTTGGGATACAGTTAAGCCATTAATGATATTTGATGAGAAATAGGTAGTACAAGTGAAAAGGGAAGGTTTTGATGATCATTTGTAACTTCTAGGACTTCAAGTAGACTTTTGAAGGAATGTAGTGCACAGTGGTGTCAAGCTAAATCTCGTAAACCTGAATGAACAAAGAAATGTGTAAACGTCAAAAAATAAACAGCTTCCTCTGTCACATGTTAGTGGTTCATTCACGTTGTTCTCCATCAAAACTAACAGCCCCGATGGGGAAGAGTATTGCCTTAACAATTATCAAATGTTTTCGTTACTATCGCAAATTTCTTGTGCATTGTATCAAATGAACAAAACATGCATTGTATTCAAATCGATTACCAAATTTGTAACGGAGTGTTTGTGTTTTTATGGATTAAAAACTATGCAAAAAGTATTAGAAGTGCAAACAGTGACAGCATGTGTAAATAACACGAACGATCAAAACCCTTCGAGAGCAAAGGGGAGATCACTGCATCTGCTTTAATTACATGAAAGTTTTATATATATATATTTTACTCATGAGAATAAATATGAATTTTATATTTTTTATATTTTTCATTATATTTTTTGTAGTTTTGGTTCTCCATCAGGAAGCGGATGGAGCAGTACGAGCATTTATCGGAGTTTACAATTTCAACGGTGAACTCCTGTAAAACGGTGCATGTGTCCTGATTATCTATTTTGTTGAGTTCTGATTATGCTTTTTTCATTTTAAAAAAAAATACATATTCCACTTTTAAAAACATCCTTGGATCCTACTTGTCTTTACAAGAATGTGACACTAGAGGGAAGTGTGGCACCACCAGTTTTCCAAGAGAAGGCCACTCCCAGGCAGTTTCGAGTGCAAAGCTACAACCTCTTATTACATCCTTTCTTTTAAGTGTGTCTGTTTCTGTCTGTTTTAATCGCTCGGAGTGGTCCACACAAAAGTTTGAGCTGATGATTGTCTGAGTGTAACACAACTTACAAATCAGCTGTGCAAAAAAGTAACCCCCCCACCCCACCCAAAAGAAGCCCGAGCTTATTGGTGACTGTTTGTAGCGAGACTTGTGGAAGATCTTGCATTGACCCTTGTACTAACAAGTCAATATCCATGCAAAAGACTTCATCACATAGTCTTTCAAGACAAATTATAGAACAGTAAAACAACTCAGTTCATTCACCAGCTTCTTAAAAGTCTTGAACCAAATGAATAGCTCATTTGTTTTAGGCAAAATAGGTCAAGTGACGGTAGTTGGGTCCGGTGACTTGCAGGTGTCATAAGGCCACGACGGTGCATGGGTGTCTGAGCTTGCAGGGCAGCACTCCGCGGTTCAGCTGATAGAACTCCACCAGCTGGATCAGGTCTGTGAATTTGGTTGAACCGTCATCAAGGCTGAAGAAGAGCTGGCCGTCCTCCTCACACTGCGACAGAAGATTACAGGCGCTGTAATATGGGTGCGTGTTTGGAGGATTGACGGACAGAGTTGGTGCTTACCGGTAGTATCTGGAAATGTTTGATTTTCTGATGATGGCACAATGTGAGCACGAACGCCTTTGGATTGCTCTGACTGACTCGTAATAGGTATAACCTGTAAAGAAAGCATTTTTATTTAGAATGCATGTTATATTATACACTTCAAGGTATATAGATTTTTCTACTTCCGGGTGCATCATCAAAACTTTTGGTCCTCCAAATTGTCAATCATTCGGGTGATAGGTGCTCGTTAAATAGGATCCGAGAGTTTTGTTCAAAAAAGTGGAGAGGGTGGTTCTTTCCTAAAATTTGGGGAAGTCCTCCTATATAACTTTTAATTTAGCAAAAAGCTCACATGCATAAACTCTATAATACATTACTTGTGTGATTTCATTTGTTATGTTTTTTTCTTCTGTGTGTGCTTTATATTCTTCATGTGTTTTAACTGTTGATTCTCTGACCTGTGTTGGTGATTTCAATGGTTTTGTTAAGTCCTCTGAGATGACTTCTGTTGTGACCTAGGGCTATACAAGAATAAATTGTATTGTATTGTATTGTATGTTTTTCATATTTCTTTGTGATTTTAATGCCCTGTGGGATAGTAAATGTTTTTTTAATGACAAAGGAAGGTTGCTCACCCATCATCTGTATTTCAGTAAACAGATTTTCCGAAGTTTTGTTCTTAGTCCATGCAACTTTCCTTAAGGAAATGTATTTGGATTAAGAACGAAACGTCGGAAAATCTGCTAACTGAAATACAGATGATGGGTGAGCAACCTTTTTGACGAATCCCTGTACGACAGAGCTTACACAAACTTAATGTATTTTTTATGTTTATGTAGATTTTAATGTTTATGATTTTTGCTTGATGTGATATGGATTGTGAGGCGCTTCGTGTTGCCTTGTGTAGAAAAGGCGCTCTACAAATAAAATTGCATTGATAGATGTATAGATGGAACGATCAAAGACGCTTACACAAGAATTGTATATGAAGATGTCTTACCCGTCTACTTGTCCCTGTTGGTGGACAATTCGATGTGATTCTTCTCTGGTTATCCGCCCATGGAACCACAGCTGGGCTATATGTATAACTGTTGAGTATAGAATATATCAGTATTTCCAAAGAGTAGTGACATCATTCACTTGAGGATTCTTATTTTTTTCTCACCGGAATTGAAGGAGGAGTGGTGTAAGGGACTATGTGACCCCAAGACATTCATTCGCTGAGTCCTCTTCTAGAGACGCCACAAAAAATGAGAGCATATGGTCATGGATTGCAATTCAAACATGCCACGATTGCACAAAACAAACAAGACATTTCACATTTACCCTCCAGGCTTGCGCTTCCTCCATTGCTGCACTCTGGGCCTCTAATGGATTGTCTATTACTCTCCCTGTCCGCCCTGAGAAATCCATTGCCACGAGAGAGTTTTCCGAAACACTCCTCTAGAGGGAGACAAACGCACACAAATGTAAACACCACGGGCTGAAGTTACTGAGAGGATTGTTGAGTCCAGGTAAATTTGACTTACAACGGGAGCAGAGAAGTGCGAGAGCAAAGTTTTCCTTTGTTGGGGAATCTTATAGTTCTGGTACAATATGATCCCATACTGTGAAGGGAGAGAACACATGAGTTGTTTCAGGTTGAGTGAATGGTGAGACATTAGACAACTTGTGAACCAATTGTTGTTTTCATATCAATTTTTTCCCGACATGGAATCAGCTAAATTAGTTTGTTGAATAAATACTAATATTTTTCACAATATCCCAACAGTAGAAGTAACAAATATACCTTAAAAATTCTGAAGGCAGACATCCAACATGTCCGACCCTGTTCGTCCTCAGCACACAGCATCCTCAGGTCCTTCAGCTCCCCTCTGCACTTATTGGGCTGCGATTCCAAAAATAAACACAAATATTACTTAACCTACCGTAGCATTGTGCTTCAATATCGAAATGGCTCAAATTATGGTTTTTATTTGAGTGATGTGGGGCCACTTTAGTTAAACAGACTAGTCAAGGGCTAACAACATCGTAAAACTGTTTTGACTACATTCAGGCTGTTCTGGGCTTAAAAATGGGGCATGATAAATCTATGTTGATTCATACTACAGCTAAATTAGCACTATATAACCTATATAAGGTCCAGCATGACTATAATCATTAACCCTCAATGGCTACTTTGTGCAAGGCCACATAAAATGACAGGCCGCATCTGACCCGTGGGCCATAGTTTGGACATGCCTGGCTTACCTTGATACAGAAGCCAGAGTCTGTAGGAGCGCCGTGCTGTTTTTTACTTGAAATAACGGTAAAAATGTTGCTCTCGTCAAGATCAGCAAATAACTGGAGATGTCTCGGCTCCTTGAAATAAAATATTTTCAAATGTTAGAACAGTTCTGAAATGAAAAGCTATATATTTATGCTATTGGCTGAATATGCAAAATATTTTCATGAATATATTTCTTTATGCCTCAGTTTTCACAAATATGGCCGAAATTGATTTGTACACATTCATCAAATCAAATATGAAATAAAGTATAAATGTGTGTGTTAAATGTACCTTTGAGGTTCCTTTAGTTGAGCAGTACAGACCAGAGCGTCGTAAAAACATGTAGACCTTCTTCCAAGACTTCCTTCCAATTTCTTTCACATATAAATAACCCTGCACCTCAGGACAGCTGCTGGAGGATAAAAAGTTCTGACAGACAAAAGGTGACACGTGAACATTGATGAAATGACAATTGCAAAAGTTTCAGAAAAAAATACCTCTGACATTCATAACAAGAGGGTTGGGCTAATACGATTTTGATTTTGTTGCTATTATTTAAATATATATACTATGTCCAATGTTTATTTGTTTTTCTTTTTCTTGAACACACAGCATTGACCAATGGAACAACTTCCCACAGCCAATTAAATAGCATAAAATGGTGTGTATATATATATATACACACAGTATATAAGTCCCATCCTATTCAGAAGATTCTCATCTATACGTTACAAAATATAATCTAATCCTTAAAGATACTACATCACTGCCAAATATACTTGTTTATGTAAGAAAAACAAGTCTGAGTCAGAATCCAGGTTTAGTATCACAACCACTGGGATGTGTGGTCTAGATAATTAGTTTTTTCTGTATTACACATGTGTGTACGCCTCTGTTCGTACTCACACACACACAATAATTACACTTGAAGCAATACCTGTAATTAACATCGTGAGATATTCCACATTCCACAGTGAAGACAAATATATAAATATGCAGTCTTTGTTATGTAACAGAGCAGGCGAAGCAGTGTCCGTCACAGGGTAAACATACAAAACATTCCCACTGGCTGTTGCCTAAGCCCAAAATCATCTTGTGGCCGTCTGAAAAATGCAACATTTGTGGTGTTCGTTTCACATAATATCACACCATGAAGTGGCAGGTTTACTTATTAGAGCTGATTTGGGATCTGGGGCTTGTGGCCTGAAGGAGAACAGTTCCAGAACTCCCTCAATATTAAAAGCACATGTTTCATACTGTTTTGGAAACTTTGGCTACAATAGAACTCATGCGTGAGTGCTTTTTCCATACAAGCCACATTCACACGCAAAGCAAGGAGAAGACCAGATTTTGTTTTGTTTTCTCTGATAACCAGAGGGGTGGGGGGGACGTGACAAGACATGTCATCAGACCTGCATATCTTAAATACAATTTTCTATTTCTTTATTTGTGGACCATCTGCTATTTTTCAAATGTGGGTACAACCTTCTAGAATACAACTGAATTATATACTGCTACAATACTGCACTACAATATGCAATATACTGCATACTACTATACTAGCACCAATAGTAATCTTAGTGCTGAACTTTATTTTAAGTTTTGCTGCAGAGTGGGTTCCGGGAAAGCAGTATTGCCACAACTGAAGAATAAAAAACCACATCATTTTTTTCAAAGAAATACTATTAATGGATTTTAATAAATGTTTTGACCATATTTAAAGGAATAAAGGCTGTTCAAAAAGCCAGCCCCATCCATGGGTATCAATATGATGACGAATGAATGCTGTCATAGCAATTAACAATTCAAAAGCAGATCTTGCTACAACAAGGAAGTGTTTGCTCATATCATACAATTCCTGCGACATTTGCATGAATTACTTCCCTTTCCCTATCCTTTATATACCTACTATAAGAAACAACTGAAAGCTACCATGAATCTAGTCTTGAATGGATTGACATCTGGGTCATAAAATGTCACTTTCTCCTCAAATATCTTTCTCCAAGTTTGTTTACCACTACTTTTTTTAGCTTAAAGAAAAGAAAAGTAATGGAAGTGCCACAATACTGCCCCTGGTCTGAACTACTGCACAGACTACTACTACTATTTTGTAAAATATCTTAAAAGGTTTGGGAAAGACTAATTTGACTTATCCCATTTACTAACAATGCATTTTTGTCCAGCATGTGTAATCAGGCAGCCATGTACTTTGTTACAAGCCTGATTTTGAATTATTCAAACATTGTAAGTTAAGCACTGCATGTTCTACTTGTGAATGCCTGAATCCATTCTTAGCATAAGGCAACTGGTGGTACATGTGCCGAGACAGTGTTGTCAACGGAGGATCAACACCAGTCATTAGTGTGCACGTCTGTAGACATAGTGTCTAAGGGTCAGGAGCGAGGCATGTCAGCATGATTGTAGCGTGAGCTGCTGCTGACGGGCACATAATGTAAGCTTCCACGGTTTGTTAAAGTGGAGGGAGGGGGGACATGTGCACACCTGTAGGAGCTGAGACGGAGGAATCGTGCGGTTTGTCTCCTGGCACCATGCGACCATGTGCTCTGGGAAAAAGGACTGAAAACAAGCAGACATGTGTTTGAGAAGAAAGCATCTGGAGACATTTTTAAAATGGCAAATATTAGTGGTGACTATTCGTATTATCTCTCACATACAAGTCTTTTTTAAAGTGAATATGTAGCTATTCAGACAAGTGCCAATAATCAAGAGCAAAACTACACAGTGTACAAAATAACTGAATTCTTTTGTAAATTCTTTTGTTTTTTAAAACACAGGGAGAATGGGACATTTCAAAAAAGTCTGAAATGTCAGCCAATTCATGCAAAGCGCCCCCCCCCCCTTAAAAAAAAAAAGCTTCTGATGATTTCTTATTCACTGACGGCAATAGCAGCGCGCAGACCTGTGTGCTCCTCCGCTCACACACAACGCGCTCGCAGCTGAACGTGTGCTTCCATCTCTCGTTACAGTACATGACTCCTGTCTCTTTCCTCCCATCTCTTTCCTCCCATCTGACTCACTCAGATTTAGACGGCACTAAAGTTATTTGCTGCGCAAATGCCCTCGCACCCGCCTGTTTTCGAATCGCTTTCGGTGAGAATTTGCAATATACTTAATGTCAAATAATGTACTTTAAACAAAACAAATTTGAATTCTGCCAATACACAAAAAATTCTTATCCCTGAAAACAGAACTGAAGAAAGACATTGGGTGTTAACAAGTGTCTATAAAAAAATTGCAATCACCGAAGGGTTTCTGAAGAATTCATATTTGGCATAGTTCTTCCTGAAGACAAATCTGCTGTCGCTGTTCATTAAAGCCTGGACTTGAACCACCAACTCGTGATCCTCAAGGCACCGCTCTGAAAAACAACAGAAAAATATACTGTATGTGAGCATTATGTGAGAACGGCCATATAAACTTCATGAGGCACATTTAATGGTTCGATAGATTGACTTTGGCTATAGTAAAATAAAATAATTGTCTCAAGATGGATTTTGATCGGCTGAAGGTGCTGATCAAGGTTTGAGGGCTTGGACGCAGGATAAGACCAAGGTTCCAGTCAATGTCGATTATAAACTGAGTGCATTGACACACACGGACAAGGACAGGACTTTTCCGGAATCAAACTGGCTGTTGCTGGCTTGTGTGTTAGCAAGTAGGGCAAAGATACAAGATAAGAGAATTGAGATATTAATTTTACAAATGAATTACAAATTAAACGTGAAACATTAAAGCTTCCAAGTCATCCCCTCACCTTACACCCCTGCGTGTTACCGTGTAAACTCTGAATATCACTTATGTGCGGACTCGAGTTGTGTGGGTGTGGAATGGAGACAAATGCGGAGTGGTGTGTGTGTGGGGCAAAAGGTGGGGGTATGAAATATTACAGCATGCTATGTTATAACATGTATTCTGTAAATGCAATTCACTTGCATGGGAAGATGGTGAAAATCTCCCACTCTTACAGTGTGCTGTCCCTCAACATAAAAAACCTTTTTCTCCTTGGTCTGGGCGCCTGATGACTCAGTGTTGGTCGTGACAGAGACACACCACTCATCACTGATGTGAATGTTGTGAATGTGGCTCAGGCTAATAAGCACAGGTCAGTGTTACTTATCCAGCAAAGAGCCACTCAATTCCACTCCACCATTTACAAGGAATGGATGATTATTTATGAACCAAAATAGAATTTTATTCAGCATACTAATGTTAAAGGAAAGCTCTAACCTCTATTTATAATTACTGCCACAGTGTACCAATGTGCACAAGCACAGACTACAGATACATGATGTTTTACTGAGAGAAAATTTCACTTGATTTTGCAATGGGGCCAGCGTTGTTGAGAAACACTGATATCAAGTTATGCTTTCCCTATGATGGGAGAATGTTTTTGGACATCACATCTAATTTACTGGAAGGTACAATAAAATATAATAAACGCTGGTGGAAGCTAAAGAGATTATGGTTGCCATACAGGTGCTCCAAAATGGAATAGACACTGTAATACAATAGATAGTGACTCCAGGCCAAAAATTATGTCATTCACAACCAGCTCGACTTGGCAGATGATCTGCGGCACAACAAATATGAAACGCATAGCAGCATAATGATGATGGATTGTCAGACAAGCGGATGGTGTAAAGATGCAATTATTTTATACGCCAAAACCATTATCTTTCAAATGATCACTGTAACCAATTAGAAGGCATACAAACTCCAAAGAATGATTGCATTCATTTTCATGAAAAAAATTCATGTCTTGTTTTGAAAAATGTCAAGATTAGGAAATACAGATGTGTCCTTTGTAATAGTTTAATAATTGCTGTATCCTCTGAGAAAAGACACTTGATTACCGAGACGTTTGTTCCCTCAAGCCTGAATTCATAGTATGAGTATACAAAAAAACTGGCTGATGTAAGTTACAGGTGAACTGTGAAATGTACATCTTAAGTGTGTCGATGTGGTTCCTCATTTGTATTGGAGGATTCTATATTAGCAAACGTTCATAGAGTGATTTTTGAAAAGTAAATGCTTCTCTGAAGATGTCACCATAAAATAGCTTTGCATCTTGTTGCCAGGGAGATGGATTTTAAAGTTTCCAGCTAATGGCTCCAGTGATCATAAGGCAATGAAAAGTTATATCAAACTATTGTGACTCAATCTGCTATAAGTAAAAGCATTCAGTTTTAGTTGGTTCCTAACATAATCATGTTGAGCCTCTATATTTTTTATCTGTTTTAATAGGATCAAACCGCAGCTCATGAGTTGGGTCTTGCTGCAGTAATGGATTACATCACCATCGCTGCATGCATAAAGTACAGACATTTGTTTCTGCCTGATTACCAGCAGGAAAATAAGAGGTTAAAAGTCGTTTTGAGACGAGTGCTGCTGCTCTTGTGAGTTGTTGGTTCTTACCTAGTCCGAGCAGTGGGTGGTGCTCAACAAGTGCCCAACTGTTGTCATCCACACAATGGCTTTTATAGACCAGGAGCTGGCACAGGTCCCGGGCTGTCATGTCTGCTGGTATTTCCACCACTTTCCGTGTACCATCCTCACCAAAGATCTTCACAATCTAACCAGGAACACAGTGAAGTGGTAAGTTCACAGATCAATCATTTAAGGCACAGATTCTTGAAAAAGTAAGTGATAGCATGTCCTTTCTCTTTTAAACACATTCTTGAGACCAGATTGTTGGTAGTGTTCTGTGGTCTGGGACTGAGAATAATTCTAGTTGAACAGGACATGCACAGTTTAGCTTTACTTGATGCCATTTGTACTTTGTGTCTTAGTGTGTGTCTCAGTCTGTCTGCTCCTAGATTCCGCTCCATGAAAAAAAAAATTAAAAAAAAAACTCACGAGGACACAAAATAAAGTGAATTACCTTGCGTGTTGCGGGCTTTAGTTTCAAAAGGTCAGCATTTATAAGTCATATGGTACTCTGATCAATTATCCTGGACAATGGTCTTTCACTATAACAGACTAATGTGTGGGTGAAGCCAGCAATTTACTTCAAACGCCAGCATAGTATTTATTGTACAGTGCCCCTTACACTGTGCCATAGAGAGGCCTGTAATTACAGCACACAATAGAAAAAAAAAATACACACACACACACTTAAGACTATGTAGCAATTGTGGCATTAAAAAAAAACACAGGCACGCATTTCTTAAAGCAACTTGTTGGTGTAATATAGAAGCAAATATACAGGTGCGTATAAACTGTGTCTGTGCTAAGTACAGATATCCAGGGCTTGTGCGCGGGGAAAAGACCGTAGTTAACTCTCTCTGCTCAAGCTCAATTATATGTCAGAAACTAGAGGGCACAATATTCTCAAGATGATATTTTGAGGATGTTCAGTTTAGAGTCGAGTACTTTAGTTACAAAGTGGCACATCTGCTGCCAACAGATGAACTCATGTCTAAATCTCATTAATAAACGGACAAATAATACATAATGAGATAAAACTCGTTGTTCTGTAAACGCAATAAGTTGACATTGTTAGACTTATTTATACAGAAGATATGGTATTCATATCATTAATGTTTGCAAAACTACCATTCCATATTTAGACACTTAAATGCCAGACTGAAAAAAATTACAGAGAGAAAAGTAGAACAGCCTACTTAACCCACAGAAACATCCAGCTAGCTAAGCCTACGCGCACACACACACACATACACACTATAAATGCACACGTCCCACAGAATACATTATGAGAAAGAAAATCATCTTCCCATTCTTGAGGATTTAAAAAAAAAAAACATCCATACTATGCAAAATATCTTCAGCAATTCTAACCAGATTGGGTTTGTTCAGCCATTCACACGCTGACAGTTACGCCAAGGATAATTGAACAAAATAATCTAGAAATAGAAGCATCATTTTACATAGTCTTACCTCAACGGCCCGCAATAGGCAGCAGTCCGGGGAACACGAAGGCATTTTTAGAGTGCGCCTTACTCCCCCTACTCAGACACACTTCCTTTGGAGCTGACTCAACCCCCCCTTCAAACACCTTTCCTTCTTGTGACGAAAAATGGTTATAATATTCTTAAGGTATCCAGCAGGTATGTGAAAGATGTTCTGACCGTTCCAAAAAGCCCAGAAACTCAACAGCCTATATATGACAATAAAGACTATGTGACCAGCGCTCTGGACAATGCCTTGGCAGCAGGTACAGTAGAATGCTCCCAGCGTCAGCTCTGGTCTGACAACTATCTTTCCCTCTCTCTTTCTCTTTTCTTCTTCCCTCCTCTCTCTCCCTCTCTCACAAAGGGTTACAGCCTCAACTACAGGCTCCAAGGCACAGTGAATCAAACCACACGCCGGGCGACCAATCAGCAGGCAGGAGCGGGCTGATGTAATCATTCCCACACACACCCGCCGGTAGACACACAGACGCACAGTCATGCACAGACAGGGCCAACTTTTTTTGCCCTCTTGAAAGCTCTCAACTTCAGTTTCTCTTTGCTAAGAACTGGGGTGAGCATGATACAGATGGTGTGGCTTGGCGCAGTTTGAGACATAAACATTAGGGGACTTCTGAAGGAAAGTTTTATGTTTACAAGGTTGAAGTTTCTTCTTTTGACATTCTATTCTTGTCTGTATTTAACAATACTAGAACAATATACTAGTAATTACTTAATAGTAGTAAGTTAATTAATAGTAATGTGTTGCGACTATTGACATATTGTGCCAGCGGGTAAACGCTTGTATAATCCAGGAATTAAACCCAGTTCCACAGAAGGAAGTGGGAACTAGCAGTGTAAGTGGTAACACCAATAAAGTGGCAGGAGAGAAGGGGGAAGCGAGGTGGGTGACTCATTGGAGGTGAGTGAGAGAGGGGGAGGGAGGGGAAGTCTGATGACACAGTAGAGCAGAATGTGTAGTATGAATGCCTCCTACTGTTAACTACATATCGAAGCGGCACAGCTGTCACAGACACCCGCCCCGCCCCCCTCCTCTGCACTGCACGCACATAAGGCTGTGACGCCCTCTGTGACTTCACACACAGTCAGAGAGGGGAAAGCCCAGAGACACACATCAGATAGCACAGCGGTTTCTAAAGTGGGGAGTACGATAAGACTTTGTACATTCAGTTTTAATATTGTGTATTGCTATTGTAGTTTGGGAACCGATTCCCAAACTATACATACTTGTAAGAAAGAGTCCTGTGAGTCACGATTTGATGATTTTGGCTGAGAGCTGATTGGCTGAGTGAGGAGATGATCCTTTCTTTTTTTCTTTTGTCTGAAAAAGCTGATCTACCCATGTGACACAGGCCAAAAATGCACGCATGTGAAAACTACTAATAGTATAAACGTTTAAGAGCCAGGAACTATCATTGGAGAAATGTAATACATTGTTAAAAAAAAAAATTGTGGTTTGTAATTAAAGTACTTTGGCTTTAAGTTAAGCTAATACTATAACTGTGTTCATTTGGCCCTAATCTTTTTACCGATATTAACAACATCTTGGGGGGAAAGGTATATTCTAACTAGGTGGGCAAATTCATTGACCCATTATGCAAAACAGCATATTGACATGTCATCTGGTTTAAGGAGTTAAGTAGTAGTAGATGCATTCAATTTGGAGGATGTGATGCTGTAAAGCTTAATTTATTTTTCAATCGCGCAGGAATATATACACACACACACACAAAACTGAAACACACATGCAAATAAACCAGTAAAAGCAAATTCTGTTTCTGGCTGAGGAGATGTGTCCCTAAGCATGTGTGCACACGCCCCAGCCGCTCACACTCTGCTGTTCCCAAAATAGTCACTGGTATTACAAACATAACTGCCTATTACATCAGATGGGATTACGCTCCTTGGTCACAATTTAACACATTCTTTTGCCTTTGACGACAAATGTTACAAATTTTGTAGCTTGAAGTTCTATTCCCTGAGAGACAGGCAGCACATATTGTGTGCTGTCATGTGTATTCATATGCAAATGAAAAGAAGAATTCCCATGCCATCCCATCCTGCATCTGCTCCATTTGCATCTTCAGTATAAGCCTATATAACGCAATTCATTACATTTGGATATAATTAAAGACTAATTCACATGTTACAACAACAATATGAATTATGTTTATTTATTATAAATAAATATATATTATTTGCAAATGGGAGTTGCGAGACCCTTCCCCAATGTCCCCTGAATCAAATATCTTGATTCAGGGGACATTGGACATCAACATTGTTGAGCACCCCGACAACATACAAGCTTTTGCTCTACTAATTAACAGTTGGGTTCTAATATCAAGTATGCTGACAAAGTGTTTCATCAAGTCATTATTGTTGGCAAAACTAGCTAAGGCCCCTTCTGCCCTGCAAAGCCCTACATTAGTGGCTAACAGAGGCTGCAGCCATTGATGAGCTGATTTGGCTCACAAGACTGTGCCACCTCCATATTCCCATTAACAGTCCCTACATAATGGCCCTTTGACTGTAATGTGGAGCTGTGTGTGGTCTGGGCCGCCCAGGAAACGCTCGTCCCAATGATGAGATGGAGACACAAAAACCTGAATGGGGCACAGACAATTGGCGGTCCCCACTCTGCGCTCCAGTCAGCAGCAGTGGGAGGCACAAGCCAAGAAAACTCTGCTGACTCATGAGTAAGCAGAAGTGTCCCTTGTCATCCAATTACCCCGTCAAATTAAGACCCGAGACACAGAGGCCTTTCTGGGTTCAGCAATTCATAGAAGTGAGATTTAGGCAGGCAGCAGCACTCGGGAGAGGTAACGATGGCTTATGGTAAAAGCTTCACAGAGATGTATAGAGAATACTTTGCTCAGTGGCTGTCTGCCATCAGGCTGTTGCATTACACTGTACAGTGTATTGAGGTGTTAGTCTACCTACAGAAGGCTGCTCTGTCTATAAACAAGGAACTTTTACACCCACAGCTTTATGAATCTGGAACTGTAACATTAGCACTGGGATAATTAGTAGGACACATGCCTATGTTTTCTTTGGCAATCATTCACAACAATTATCAAGAAATGCTTTTGTGATAAAATGCTACACACAAAACATGTTGAGTGCTATTCCATGTCTGGTGAAACCCTCATCACCAGTCAAGCAATGGTATAGTGTAGAGCCCTGCTGAGAATCCCTCCACATGGAGCCAAATCTTTCACCAAAAATGTGCAGCGGATGTTCTATTGCAAAGAGGGCTTTTTTCCAAAGAACCATGGCCAGCAAAAAATCTTTTGAGGCCTGATTTGGAACTATTGTCTAACTCCAGCAGGAGGGCAGCTGGTGAGGGCAATCAGCAGTGTTTGAAAGATGATGACCTGAAAGTAAGGCCACGGTCACATAGGTTTTCACAACTAGGCCAACTAGGCCAAGTGGCCCGTATCATCGCCACAGGGGTTTGAAGAAGGCCCGCGGTAAGAACGGTTTATTTTTTCAACCTTGCCAGCCCAAAAGCAGTGTAGTTCAACACTCGGTTCAGCTGGTGGCGCCAATATTAACTTCAGCTACTGCCTCAGGGCTTGAGTCAAGTTTCCGTTTACACTGGGCTACGGCTTGCATTCTTTGCAATCAGAGTCAATGTGTACAA